CGAGTGGGTTTTGAGCCGTGAATATCAGCGTAAGTAGGCGAATCTGAGATGTGCAAACGCCGTGATGCTGCTGTTCTCAATATCCGATGATGATGGAGAGACGCGTCGTGGCGAGATCAATTAATTTTAGTGGGGATTCTGGCCTGTGCCTGGATCTACATGGCAGAGGCTTCAAGTCACGCCAGAGCAAGAATGTATGATGATTAGGAGGAGGTTTGCTCACAGGTACATGGGCGCGCGCCCCTTGTGCTAGTGTGAAAAAAAGGCAAACCATCAACTTCAACCCGTTCAAGTTTCACCAGACAACCATAAGAACCACTCAAAGCTTCATCTGAGCGTCAAACAGCACAACCATCCCATGCCTGCGGAACAAAGTATCATGCTGACACCCGTTCCATTCATTTCTCCGCCGTATTTCCACCAATAAAAGTATTTTCTTCACCCGCCATTTACCTTATTTGCTTGTCTTTAGATTGTCACACACGCGCATTAGACCTTTACATTGTGTGTTTCTTTCACCTCGTCTTCAGACTGTGATACACGCGCACAAGACCTTTATATTGTATGTTTTTCATTATAAGTGTTTCGCTGAGATGGTGTATATAGCAAATGATTCAACAATAAACAAGGCTGATTCGAAAAAAAAAAAAAAAAAAAAAAAAAAAACAAGTGATACCCCGAGAAAGCCCATCTATACAAAACATCTTTGCATCTTCTAAAAAGGACGGCCTTTCACCCATGTCTTCGTCTATTGTGGTCCACCAGTAATGTTATTCCAGACCTTGCCAGCCTGTCCTGAGAGCCAGTCCCATGCATTCCCCACAGCGCCCACAAACGAGCCCAAGATACCGTGATCTTTCTCCTCACCATTTCCCTCGTCGCTCTCGTCCTTTTCCTCGCCATCATCTTCGCTGTCTGTCCTCGCGGGCCCCGTCTCCTCGGGTGCCGCCGGCGCCCCTTCCGTCCCCGTCACCAGTGTCGGAGAGGGCTGCGCCTCGGTCGTTTCGCCGCTTGTACTCGACGACTGTGTACTTGTGAATGGCAATGCCGACTCTGTCGCGTCTTTTGTCAGCACAGGGTCCTGCTCCTCCGCCACCTCATCCGTATGTGTGCCATCAGGCTTCAGCGGTAGCCTCAGAGTGCCGTTGTTTGGCTCAGGAGTGATGCCGACCGAGTCGCACAGCAGATTGTACAGCTCAATGTTTTCTAAAATAGTTTCATCCTTGTCAGTCTCGCGACAGTATACATCGTCTCGCGCCGCATATATCAACTCACGGAATGGTTGCATTCTGCTATTCGCTGGGTGCGGAAACGCTGGTCCTCTGGCGATGAAAATGGCCCTCATCAGCGGATGCTCGTGGTCGTAGCCGTGCAGGCCACGCGGGTGGTAAACCTCGTCTTCGGCAGCTGTCGCGAGATCAAACTCGTGTTTCTGAACAATTGCCCAGCCTGTCTTGGGCACGATCCAAAGAGGTGCGATGCGCTCATTCTTAGAAAAATGGTAGCGCTCGGGCATGTCCACGTCTCGCATGTACACCTCGATGCTGGACGTCGCATTCGCCTTTTCCCTGAGCCCATCGTACAGTGACTGCGTGTCTTTAGGGTCCTTGGGTCGGAGGCCCATAAGCGGCCAACCGTCAATATGCTCAATTTTGCTCGTGTCGACCAGGTCCTCGAGCTGTAGCAGTCGCGTCCTGTCCGTCGTGGCCATGCCGTGATCCGACACGACCACGACGTTGACAATATCGGTGAGATTGCGCGCTTTCAAACCCTGAAAGATGTTGCCCATCATAGCATCCACAGCTTGAATTGTGCTGCGAATTTCGGTGCTGTTGGGGCCGTACTTGTGTCCATCAGCATCAACATCGGGCACGTAGGCGGCGATAAGCTGAGGACGCCAGTGCTCAGGGTTGGCAGATTCGTCTTCCTTGCCAGGCATGTCCAAAAATTCCATGATTCTCGTAACCTTGTTGTCAAGCTTCTCATCACCATTGTACTTGTCCATGACGCTGGGCTCAATGTTGAGAATGTGAGCTTCACTTCCAGGCCACATGTGAACGGCACTTCGGACGCCCTGCTTCTCTGCCGTGGCCCAAAACGGCTCACCACCCCACCACTTGGGATCCAGGCTGCGGTTTGGATCCGTATAGTAGAACTCGGCCTCGAGCTCCGGATCCCAAAACGTGTTGCCCACGACGCCATGCGCTTCAGGATAAAGGCCCGTCGCCAGCGTGTAGTGGTTTGGAAACGTCACCGACGGGAATGACGGAAGCATATATCGCGGCGAGATGCCCTCTTTGACAAAGGCATTCAAGTTTGGCGTCAGACCGCGGCTCAAAAAGTCGGCACGGAAGCCGTCCAAGCTCACGACCAGCGTCGTCGGTCCAAACAGCGCCGTGCCATTGCTCACAAATCGATCCTTGACAGCGGCACCGGCGTGCTTCTTTGCTTTGGTCAGCTTCCAGGCGACAAGCACGAGAATCGTAAAGCCAATCGCGATCAGTGCGTGTATCAAAAGCCAGCGCCGCCAGCTGCGCCTCCTCTGCACATGCTCCTGCGCCACCAGCCCCAGACGCCGCCTATCCATCTCGTCGCTGTCGTCGCGTTCGCTGCTGTCGCCGGTGCTACTGCCCTCCTTGAAGCCGCCCTCCTCCATCTCGTACATGAGCTCGCCGTCCTCGCCGTGCTCAGCGCGCTCCATCAGCGCCTCCTTCTTGCGCCGGCGGCGCTCCCGGCGACGCTTGCGCCTCTCCGCGTGGTTCAGCCGCAAGTCATCGACGGAGCTGGCGGCTGAGGATACCGACAAGCCCGACAGGCTTGGGCGGCGGAAGAGATTAAGGGGGTTGGGCACCGCGAGGCCGGAGCCGCGGCGCTCGCTCTCCTGCTTCTTGCGCGAGTCGGTCACGAGGCGGTCAATGTCGTCCTCCTCGACCAAAACGATGCGGTCGTGGGCTCGCAGCTCGCGGCTGTTGCGGGCTGCCTGCTGCAGCTGGTCGTCGTCGCTGTCGGAATCCTGGTCGCTGCGCGAGTGCAGTGATGCGGCGTCGTCGTCGTAAGCGACCGGCGACAGCAGCGAGCCTTCGTGCTGCCGCATCGGCGTGTCTGTGTTGAGCCGCTTCAAAGACATGATGACTGGTGAGGGCTTTGACAGAGCTCAGAAGCCCATAGTTGAGAGATGATGATCATACAATGTCGGAGCAAACAATCGTGGATGATGAAGAGAGTGGACATTTCGAGGCCCCTGTTGAGCGACACGAGCGAGTCCACACATCACGGTCGGGGTGGGTCACCCCTGTCTTGGCCTTTTTGTACATGTTTGATATGATATGTACCTTTATAGACTATTTTAGGGATGTTGTTTAGGTATTAATGATTCGACCTGTATTTTTGTCGTAAATTCTCTTATCATGGCGATATATTTTGTTGAATCTTGCTCCTAAAATTCAGCGGCCCAAGTCTCTGACCGATGCAGTAAATACATACATACCTATCCCACGCAAGCCAGGGATCTCGACGCTGGACTGCGTCAAGGTCCCGCTATGCACGTTTGAAGAGATGTATGCTTAAAATGACTCAATGGGACGACGAGCTCTGACATTCTCGCTTTTCCTGCAGTTTCATGTACATGTTATGCTCGATATTGGCGTTGGCCTAGAGAGACACGGATCATGGTGAACTCCTCGCAAGACCCTCCGAGTAACTCTAAACTCTTTCACGCCACAACCTAATAAGTAGTGGCTCATTGCTGCTTATAACGTCAATCCATCCTCATCAAGCAGAACCTCGCCGCTGTCATTCAAACATTCATCGTGGTACATTGCTCAAAAGACTTGAAATGCCACGAGCGGAAACTGGTGGCCATCGATCGAACAATTGAAAAATGGTAAATCGTATAATTCGACACGCTAACGTTAGCAAATATGTATAGCAAAAGGTATATCCAAGCAATGGTCGGTCATAGCAAATAGTAGTAGCAAGGTTTTCATATATTCCCCCTTTTCTCTTCCTCTCGTCCCTTCACGAACCCCGTTCTGCCGTCTCCGCGCGGGCAAGTCTCTCTAGTCCTCGCCGCCGAGCTCCGAGTACGGGAGCCGCCACCCCGCGCGTGCCATTGACGCCAGCATGCCCTCGCTCTTGATCGATTCCAGATACAGCGTCCGAAAGTCGACATTCAGTCCTCTCTGCGCCTTTCTCATCGCCGCCGCCGCCGTTGCCGTCGACGTGTCCTTGCCCGCGCTCGCCGTCGCCGCCGTCGCCGCCGCCGCCATCGCCGCCACTGCTACGTACGACTCCCGGTCGCGAAGCATCGTCTCGGTGGGCACGTCGTCGGCCGACTCACACCGCAGAAGGGGCGGCAGCCGGGCGGCCTGCATGATGGGCACCATCTCCGCGGTGCCCCAGTCGACGATGCTAGAAGACGGGGCCGTCATTAGCCAAGAGGAGCGAAAGTCAAGGCAGAAGGGGGTGAGTAGATACGCTTCAATGGTGAATTGCTCGCCGCTGCTGATGATGCTCTCTGCTTTCAGGTCGCCGTGCTCCATGGCAAACAGTCTGTTGTTTTTGTCCTCGCCGAGGACGCGAGGCAGCAGGGCTAATTGATCGAGCACGTCTTGCTCGGCCAGCTCGGGGAGGTTGCCTTGCCGGATGCGTGTGAGCCGCCGTTGAATCTTTTGCTCAAAGTACTCGTACGCCGTCATGTCTCCTAAAATGAAACATCCATCAGCCCCCCCGCGCTACAGTTTTTTCTCTTCTTGTTTCTGTCGAAACCCCGCACTCGCACCTTTGCCCTCTCCCCCATCTTGTCGCTCTCCCCCTTTTTTACTTCTTTCCTCTTCAAACTATTTCAAAATCAACCACGTACTAGTCTCCAGCGTGCGTTGCACCAGCTGCATCTGAATCTCCGCCAGCCTCCTCAACAGCGCCGCCCTCGCCGGCTGCCGCGGCACCTCGTCCGTCCACCGCAGCCGCTCCTCGCCCGCGAAATCCAGCACCAGGAACGGATACCCGATTGGGTTCGCAAAGGAGAGGCTCGCGCCCACCAGTCGCGTCGACCAGTGAAAATCCACCTTTCCCAGCCGCTCGTACATGCGCCGCTCGCCCTCGACGCGGTCCAGGATGGCCTGAGGCGCATCCTCGTGCCGCGCGTGCTCGACGCGCAGACACACGCTCGGCATGTCAGAGAAGCTCACGCGAAAGACGTGGTATTCGTCTCCGCCGTAGGCGCCCTCAAAAGTGGCGTTGCACCCGCTCCCGGCGCCGTGCAAGATGGACGAAACAGCCTCGACGATGGCCTCGGGGGAGAGGTTTTGCTCGTGCAGGAGGAGCATGTCTCTATTTGGGAACCAAGGGGCGAATTGACTTTCCAAAAACTGGTGCGAAATTTTTGGTGTACAATTCTGGCGGGATTTTCCAGGGGTTCCCGTTCCCTTTACAAAAGGGTTGGAAAAGTCTGAAGTCTGTTGGCCGCAACGCAACGGTTCAGAAGCTTGTGTAACCAGGCCCGTTGAAGTACGTCTTGGCAGAAAATGAGGGAATGGGCTTGTCTAACCAGGCTGAGGTATCACATCAGATACTGAGTAACGCTGCGTGGTTCTGCTCGGATCAACTGCACTCTCGTGACAATTACAAAAAAAAAAAAAAGCAAACACAAAGGCCAGTCAAGTGTGGCATATGTTGTAAGCTCACGAGTAAAACATGCGACGAGACAGGCCATGTCCGGGCCATAATAACATGGCCATCATAACATAGCCAGTATTGCATGTATCATCATATACCATATCCAGCCTGAGACTACAAGTCTCGTCAAGGGAATCATTGCCAAGGTGCCGTGTATACCGGGTTTTCTGATGACGATGACATAGTTATCTCGACGAAAGAAGCAAGTGTAAGCTCGACCGAATGAAGTAATACAGCTTTGCTCTCAGCTTTGACGAATGCATTGTATTGTAGTTACCCTTGGGTTGGGTGCCAGGCCAAAAACAAGTCCCACCCAAAGCCCTGCTGGCCACACTCTATCAACGTGCTATTGGTGGATTTGAAAGCCTCTGTGTCTCGGAACTTTGGCGAATCGCAGTACAATGAGTTTGCAGAGGGATCCACCCCTACAAGTCAAGAAAATTGCTCTCAAGCCACATGGATTATTAGCGCGGGGTGAAGAATACTGTACAAGCATATATATATTCGGCCCCTCCCTCATCGCGCGCCCGTTTAAGCTGTTTCCTGCAAATGCTCCTGTATTCGCCCCCGTGTTGGCGACCTGGAGCGACACACCAGCAACTTGCGTGGCTGTCACCTGCGAAGACGAAACGACCGCATTCCGGACGACGATGATTATTCTAATGAGCAAGTACTTGACTGCTCAGTAACAAGCAGCTCCCTCTGGTCCGAGGATGAGATATCTGGCTATCAAAAGTTCTGTGACTCGATGATCCGGTCCTAGTCTCAGGGGGATATACAAATTCTTACCTCTGCCGACGACGCTCTCCCGTTATAATCAGGTTCAATTGCGCCGTGGTGCAACAAGAACCCGAGCTGGTGTACTGGTTCGCATGCCATCTGACACGCGGTGTTCCGTGTGCCCCAAAGGGAGTGGAGGTCTGGGTTCGAATCCTAGGCTCGGGATTCTCTTCTTGGTTTCTCTTTTTTTTTTTTGTGGCGTAGAGACGGCGGACTGTCGACGTCACCGTGCGCCTTGTATCACTTGGCTGGCCCTTCTCGTGATCGGCTGGTATTTTGGCCAAGGCTAGCTGATTTACTTTGACCTCTAAATCTCCTCCCCGGTCTGCAAGTAAACACATTTTGCCCGCTACCAAAACTTTGGACTCGCGGATTTGGGAAGTAATCGCTGTTGCAATGTTGTTTGGAAAAGCCGAGCTGCCATTAGCAAAAAGGCAGGCCAAGTAATCCAGGATGAAAAAGACGTGCGCATTACTGCTGGTTAAGCCGCGTAGCGAAGGAAACGAGAGAGGTCCAATTACTTTTGTTGAATGTGATTCAAAGTGCATGTATGAATGGTAACAATGATGGCATCAAAACCAACTCATTTTCGTCGCGATTGCTGCAGAGATCTGTCGCTCTCCGCGCTCTAAGCCCGGCCGGCCCTTGTATGGAGTCGAGCGCCGGACTGATGCCAGAGACTGACTCTGCGACGAGCCCTGGACAGCCAAATAAACAGCGAATTATACCCGGACGCCGTCTCATTTCGAGCCAGCACTACTTCTGGCGGATTGCACCTCATCAGACGTGTATGGGCTTCACAAGGTCACTCGTCTGGTTTCGTCTCAAATGCTTCTTGTAGACTTGAATCATCTAATACTAGCTAGCGGCAACCATGGAGGAGCTCCTTGTCTTTCGAAAATTGTCTCAAATTTTCTTAATAGGCTGTTATGTCCTTCAAAGTATTTCCTCCAGTACATGTGATTGGGCAAGCTCGGCCTATTGGCCATGTATTGCGTTTGCACTGCTTGTTCATCAGTTAGTCCCAACATGGCTAATCGTACCTCGACTTTAACAACCTCTATTCTTAAAGACTCCAAAACTCTTGACCGGCTTGCGAAAGTCTCCAATAGTCGGAACATCTTGGCAGTGTTCGTTGATATCGAGGTATATGGATGTACCACCAACAGTTGAGCTCATCGAATGTCTGTATACCCCAAGCCACACCTGCCGTTGAGTTCTGGTGTAGACAACGATGCAACCTACTCTTAACCATTGAAACCGCGTGTTGTGTGTATTCGCCATCTCGGGCCCCTATGCATCTGTACCCAAGGTTATGCCGTCTTTCCCACGCTTTTGAGATGTTGATCCACTCGACATTTGGGAGACAATCCTGAAGAGCTCACATAGTCTAGCAATGTAGTTGGTATGTTGGCGGAGAGGGGCGCGCACCGAGGGTCTAGACTCTTGAAGAATTGATGATGCAGTCTGGGTTGTGTCAGAACAGTACGGCAAGTGAAATGATGCAGAAATGATATAGTATTTTCCAACCTTTGCTCAAAGCACGCAACCGCCCTCTAATGCTCGTGCATGTAGGTTTCCCCACTGGTAGATCACGTCCTCGAAATATGCTCTCATCACTGCTTTGTCTTTTTTGGCATACTTGTAGTACATCTCGTCGATATCATCCAGCCACACCTTCCAAAGTATCGGATCCTGCTCGTCCAGTCTGGACCAGCGTTGACAGCCCATCCGGCCCCGCGCAGCAATACCCGAACCTGACAGCAACTTCCGGGACAATGGCGCGGGCAAGCAATCGACCAATAACAATGATCCGGGTGCCGGGCGGCATAATAGCTCACACCAACTTCTTGGCCATTTTCTTCGTCGCTGCCATGGACGATGTCTCTTTGCTCTTGATAGACCGCACGCCGACGGAAAGACTGCCGGGAAGGCACAGTGCTGGCCACAGTCATATGGTCTGTAGATACCCTAGCCCTATCAGCTCTCGTATACTCGTGCTCACTAACTAACAATCATCGTGCAATTGCAGTAACAATGAAGGAGTCATATGTTCATCAACGTACTCGATCACTTCCTCTACTGCTACAGTACCAAGTACTGTACCACATATCTAGGGCACCAAGCTCAAGTGCCTTTGAGTGGTTAGAGAATCGTCCGCATCGCCGATCAGCACACGTCTGAAGCATCCAAGGGTGCTGTAAGCTGTGGCACCTGCACGTTTACGTGTCAGGCTGGGATTTGGCAAATGCAATGACTGATATCGTGACAGTGGCGGCTCGATGTACCGCATTAGTGATGGGCCCCTGCTTTCTAGTGATGGGCTTCTGCTTTCTAGTGATGGGCCCCTGCTTCCCATCACTTCTAGCTGACGTGACAGTATTCGTCGTAAACACCCAATGTCTACAGCTATATATACCTCTGCTCTCTCGAGCCCTTCCTAGTTGTTTGTACTCAAATTCACATCACAGGCAGAGTCTGTTTGTTGAGACTTTTTTGCAATATGCCTAAAAACGAAATGACCAAATCCGATGCGAGTCGGATTCAAAGCACCCAGGTACGTACGGTGCCCATTTCATTTGGAAAAAAACAAACTGGGCAATCTTCGTCAATGTCTGACAGTTTATACCACGCAAAGGATGATCAATCGGCCGGTGGCTTTGCGGCCAGAGCCCAAGCAGCTGGTGATCGCAATGCAAATGCCAGCCAAGCTGCCGGACAAACCAGTGGTGCTTCTCAACAGACCGCTGGCGCAAATGCAGGGGCGAAGAAGTGATGGAATGTTTTGTGGCAAGAAGTTTTTCTGATAGCTTCATGTGAGTTGGTTGAAGCTGTAACCAAGTGTAGCTCACATATTGCTGGCTGAAGGAATAAAGGGCTTAACAAAATGTCACTTGTCGTTCCACGCTCCATAATCACGTCGTCTTTGATCGTTGCAGAAGCACCTGCAGTATAATGCAGATATACATCTCGAGCAAAAAGATGTAATTCTCGCGAAAAAAAGTGATGCATTGGCGTTTTCTTTTACAATTTCTCGGAGCAGACTTTCAGCCCAGCTCTGAATTCCATGTGTCTCGGCATTTTCCTTGCATCGACAATTCAAGGACGCCCGTAGCGACGGCCACTGCCTTTGAAGTTTAGAGAGCTAGAGAGCTAAAGGGCAACTGTGTGATATATAGCTGTCTATGGTAAATGCATAAACACGTAGCGCATGCACGATTATAGGAGGCTTGCTTTGTATTCTTCGATGGTTGTTGAAAGTCAATTGTAGATGGCGCCGCCCTTTGCTCTATCGGCAACTAGCTGTCGGAATTTTTGTATCCTGCCAGATTTATCATAACTGTGTCTCGACATTTGCCTCTATATACAATTTGGCAGAATGGATATTGCGAGATAGTTTCCCCGTAGTAAATCTTTATACAGAGCATCATCTGTCCTCTGCAGCTCCCTCGCGCACTCCTCTAAACACCTCTTCTCTCTCGTCACTATAGCCTCTAACAAAAGACGACTTTTGGGACCCAAAAGCTTGGGATCTCCCCCAACAGCATGCTTAAACTCGACAAAGGCCAAGGCAAGGCCCAGGAGAAACCCCAGATTCGCACTCGGCCGCGCACTCCACTGCAGCATGTCATTGGCAATCCGAAAGCTCTCCTGGCCCTGGCCATGACTAGCGACTAACAGCAATACCTGCTTCAAGTTCCGAGGTTTGGCACTGACGGCAATCCGGGAAAGCTTCTGGGTAAGCTCCAGCCCGATATCGACTAGGCTGGTGCAAAAGTCTCGCCGCACCTCATCCATGCCCGCGACAATGTCGGATTCTATACCAAAGCCCGCCTGTGCTCGCAAGAGGCGCAAAATGCTCAAATGAACAGGGTCCGCGGTTCGAGACGGTGTATTTATTGTATTCTCCAAAAGGCTGATGTGCGCAAACCAGAGTGCTATGATATCCGGGAGTCGATTGCAGGAAATTGCGTTCAAACATGGGTGTTTTGTCAACGCATCCCAAGCACTGATATCAAAATCCTGGGGTGTCATGTACGAATTAAAAGCATTGAGTATACTGGTCGCACTGCCAGCTGACACATACGGATGATGAGAAGCCGGGTCTTGGAGCTCTGCCACGGCTTCCCGGGAAGTTACTGGCTGCCTCTGCGTAAACTCCCAGTATAAAAGGGAGTCGCTCTCAGGTTTCAGGGCGTCGACCCATTGACAGATTGTTGTAACCTCGTTTTTCGTAAAGGCGCCAAACATGCGTCCCCCCCATGACAGCTCTCGTACGAGCAGGCTCTTTTTGCTGTCCCCAGCAACCACCCACGGCTTTGCCCGGCTGAGGGCCCTCAAGAGGTCTAGCTCATTGGCCTCTACTCGCATTGTCTCTTCGAGCCATTCATGTAGAGCATAGGGACCTATCCGGGCCCTGCTCCGATAATGTATGCCGCGCGATACCGAAGCCTTGGTTCTGAATATACCCAGAACCTGGGTGCCAAGTGCACTTGGCAACACTTGCACGCTTTCAGGCCCCAATCTAGCCGTCGAAGAACAAGGATAACATCCCAAGGTCTGCGATAAGACGTGTCCAACCTGAATTCGCTTCCATGCCTGCCTCACGGCCGCTTCTCCCTCCATTGCTCGCAATATGTCGAGATATTGCACAACAGCATGTGACGCCATTGCCGTGTGTCCCGAGTCGGCATTGTCTATGCTAATGTGGATGAGAAAATAGTAAGGATCGATACCGTAATGCGCAAGCTCATGCGCCACCTGCATTGTGTCGAGTCGAACCTGCTCATAGTGCATATTGAAGCCGAGAATCTCGGGAAGAAACTCATTAGGAAAGAGCGAAATGGCCAACTGAGCCACTGCAGATTCCCAGATGCCATGGTTCTCGCAGGCTCGCTTCCACTCGCCGGCCTGTACGAAATCAGCGCTGTGGCCGCTGGGCAAGGGACGGCCAATGCTCTCCAGCAGCTTGCGGTAGAGAGTGACGTGATGCTTGTCAGGGTCGCCGTCGCCGAGTTCCTCTGACAAGACCTGCCAAGCATGCTTTGTAACGCTGCGGAAAGCAAAAGGTGTCGTAGTTTTGTGTACATGGCCAAGCCATGCGCCGTCGACAAACTTTACAGGAGCCTGCTGAACGAGCCAGTCTTTGGCCTGTTCAGCGCTCGCGAATAGTTCGGGGCCTTGCCCTTGCTTCCGGCGCTCCAGGTAGTCGGACCATCCTGACAGAGTCCTTTCATGTGCATCCCGGAGGAAGAGTGACATTGCTTCGGCGCTATAAGTTTCGAGGCTGAGGATGCTGCTGCTGCTATTGCTGCTGCTGCTGCTGCTATTGCGGTACGCTGGCTCCTCCGTCAGCGCGACTGAGAGTGCGTGAGAAAACATGGCCAAGAGCTCTTGGCGAGCTGGTTCCAGTACCTCTGGATAGTCTTCAAGATTCTGAAGCTGAAAGAACATTCTTCTATACCGTTCGGTTGATTTGTGCTGCGTGGTATCTGGCGTTGCCTTTTTCGCTTGGCTGTGCTCAGTGTTACACACGGGTGTAACGGAAGTCGCTGTCTTGGCCCACCTCGAATATAGAATTCTTAGAAATAAGAGAATAACCAGTAGAGGAGCGACAATGAGAAGAAAGCAGTCAGCAGCTCTGGACAGATCCATATTGGTGAGGCGTGGCATGTTGCTGAGGAACGAGAATAGCGCCATGATGGCAAGAAGAGTACGGGTTTCGAGATGGACGGCTCGCTTGAGCGCCGAGAGCGAGTAGACTTGGTTCCGAAATCTTGAAAGCCGCAAAGAGAAACACCAAAGCAAACGACGAGTATGAAGCAATACAGCGGAGCTTCTGTTTGCTCGAATGATTGGCTCACGGGGTCCATATGGTCAAGTAAACGTGGGCGTAGTTTTGCAGGCCTTGGAAGAAGTTGGCGCAGGTGCTATGCTGGCCTCAACTAGATGGCAGTTATACAATGCCACTAAGGCATGGAATGCATCGTACCCCTCTCAGGAAAAGATGGGCTCCTAGGAGCCGATTGTGTATCGTCGTACTGATGCATGTGCGTGCTGATCATCTCTTTACATATGTGGCAGCGGCACCCTCGGGTGTCAAGTGGACATCTTGGATGCTTCATAGTGTCACAATGCAGCTAAACTTTCTTGACATACACATGCATACATAAATTCCCGCAATAAGACATACAGAACACTCCCTGCGCCCACTGGCTCGCCGGCTTTGTGCGCCGAGTGGATGGGGGGGCCTGTAAACAACCTACTGCAGCACTGCAGATATATTGCGACTGATCATCGTTTACTGATCATCGCTGTTTAGCTGACTCTTGGCGGCCTAGAGCTTCTGTATTTTTTACTGCCATGTATATTCTTTTGTCATCTTCTTCGCTGTCCCAGCCGCGCACAAGAAACAACGCGCCTTCATTCGTGCCTTGCCTTCTTCTCCTCCTGTATATCGAACAAACCTTCTTTATCCCAAAGTCACCATGACTGTTAACAACAAAGAAGCATCTCTCGCGGTAATCAATTACGATGCCTTGGCCAACAAAGATCCCAAAGAGATCCAGAAGCTCGTTCAGGCGTGTGGATCTGTGGGCATGTTTTACCTTGACCTCCAGAATTCTAGTATGAAGGACGTCTACGAGGGCATACCGAAACTCCTCGAGGCTGGAAATGCCTTTTTTAACCTGCCCTCTGATTCTGAAGAAAAGAAGCAAAGTCTTCGCGAGGGAATGGAGCGAGGGTATGGAAGAAATCCTACTCCTGATACGCAGCAATTCTTCCCACAACGGGCAATCTTTGCTGACTTGACACGTTGGTCGTGATCTGATTCAGGTATCACGCAGCCAAAACATTCGAATACTACGAGGTAAGCTTTCAATCAGCCTGACCCGAGAAATCGAGCATCTGTTCGTCATCGTTACTCAAATTGACGTCTCCCCAACAGATAGCCCGAGATGAGTATCAGCAGGGTCTGTGGGCGCTACCCGCTAGCCTCAAAGCCCACGAAGCATCCATCACCAGCACCCTCCACTCTCTGAACCGTGCGATTCAGACCGTGCTGGCTGAGCTCTGTAAAGCCGTTCAGGTGGAGCTTGCCGAGCTCAGTGACGATCCAACTATTGCTAGCGACACGGCCCTCAAGCTTGTGTACAAGCCTCCCGTGCAGGAACCTGGTGCCATTGTCCAGCCGTGGCACACAGACTTTGGCCTGATGACGATGATGTGGTACCAAGAGGTGACTGCGCAGATTGCAGTCTACGACTCGGAGGGAAATCGTACCGAGGACTGGCAAGCAGTGCCCGTTGTCGAGGGCGCACTGCTTGTCAATATTGCAGATGAGCTCGAGAGCAAATCTCGTGGTCGCCTACGCTCGACTGTGCATCGTGCGGTGACGCCGCCTGGACCTAAAAGAGTGAGGAACGGATTGGTTTACCTTTTTCGTCCGTATAAGATTTAGTGTCGAGATGTACGGATGGATGTCAGTTGTGATCACTCAGCAATAAAGAAAAAAAAAAAAAACATGAACTTGTTCTTTATTCTCGTACATCTATCTACCGAAGACTCGAAATTGCGATGCAAGAACTACCTGATTACTCTGGTGTGCGATCTCAAGGTACTTTGATACACCGACACCGAGGAGTGGTGGTAGAAAACTTGATGTATCAGTGTTGAGTGAGGCTACAAGACTTACATCCTGACGATGAGTCAATTTGCTTGTTGATCAGCACTAGGTCTCGGCGGAAAGGCTCAGCCCGTACGAATCATCAAAACATAATAAATACAGATATTTACTCACACATGCATATGCAATCAATGACAAACAACTACCTCTGGCGCAGCCACCTGCTCCAGCTGGTATCTGCTTCCATTAGTTCTACCCTTGTATAAGTATGAAGCAGAATCTGTCTTGGGATGCTAGCGGGGGACTAAGTAAATGGAATAGCCTATTATAAAAATCCTCAAAGTAAGACTAAATTTTTATTTATTATCTATCAATTCTAGATAATAAATTTTAGTATAGAAAAGCTAACTTGAGATAATTTAATGGCTAAATAATGCTTTTCAACTTGAATGTAAATTCCATCTACTTTTTATCATTTTTATCTTGCTCAGTTTCTCTAGGTGCTGGTGTGGTGGTGATGTATTATGAGGACGGGCCAGCTTTTGTTGTCCCAGTTAATTTATACTAAAAAGTGACTGCTACCTCGAATGGCATGCGGTATAGCCGCTTTATTTCCCCGACTGGACAGATTTTCCTGGCCCTTTCCGTTCATATTCCGGTGCACCTACGCCAAGGGGCTGTGCTATTTAGGAGTCTGGCTGCGAAACAGTCAGGTAACACAGGCAGCCACCAGATACATGACAAGGCGCAGTAACAAGGTCATGGAACCAAAGTCCGACGAGGGATTACATGTGCGGACGTCATATGAATAAATAACGCTACAGTTCCCGAAAGCCGGCAATATCTGCTCCATCATTCTCTTGCCATTGTGTAGGCAAAAGAGGCACAACATGGTGTCCCTAAAACTGCGTCAAGGCCGCAACCTATCAACATCTCTCGGGAATAGTATGACCTCACGGACGTCTTGCAGCCCAAGAAAACTCTGCAATAGTCTGTTCAAGCCGAGCCCGCAGCCGCCGTGGGGCGGCATGCCGGCCTTGAATGCAGCCAGGTACGGCTGCCACTGCTCGCCCTCTGGATCCAGCGGCGGGCCACACACGCCCGCACGCATGGCTTCGCACAGCTCGCTGTACGCGTGGATGCGCTGACTCCCGGAGCAAATCTCGCGTCCGCCCACAATGGTGTCCCATGTGTTGGACAGCCCGGGGGAGTCCAGATTGGCTTGCGAGTTGAACTGGCGCATGTGTGCGGGATACTGTTCAATGGTGAAGATGTCGGTACTGGCAGACTCCCAAAAGTAAAGCCCAAGGGCTGCTTCTTCTTGGTCTCTAATCACAATATAGTTCATCAGTGCCCTGCCGTTGTGCTGGGAGACACACCACCATCGCCCAGTGGATGGATGCTCTACTACAAGATCCCATGGAGGAATGGCTTACTCACGTGAAATTTTTGCAGTCATCCGACGCGAGGCCCAGTTCCTCTCGAAGAATACGCTTTGCCTCGAGAAAAGTAATGCGAGGGACATTGCCATGCTCGTCCAGGCCCACGCAGAAAGGCCGCGCACGAGGATACAGCTTTTGAACAGCCTCAATCAGCTGCTTATACTGACTGCGTCGCTGAAGTTCCTTGACGACGAATACCAGCATGGATTCAATTAAATCGACTACTTCACGGTAGTCATCATGGAATGTCATGGCTATATCAAGAATGGTGAACTGAGTTGCAAAAGTCAGGGAACAGCTACTGAATTTGAAGGAGAACGACATGGAACAATCTTGGCATGACTTACTTCTGTAACATGCCTGGTAGAATTGCTAGATTTGACCTCAGCCCGGAATACGGGACCAATCTCAAACACGCGGCCCATGTCCATAGAAAGTGCCATTTGCTTGTGGTGCTGTGAACTCTGGGCTAGCCACGCGTCCTTTCCAAAATATGGCAAATGGAAATACTCGTTGTCGCCTGGGATAGTGGCACTTATAATCCGTGGCGTATGAATCCAGTGAAAATTATTGGAGCAGAGAAACTCGACAACCAGTTGGCACATGCCCGAATGGAGCTTGAATATGGCCCCAGAGGCGGCGTGTCGCACATCTAGGATGCGATTGTTGAGTCGTTTTTCGAGGTCTGCACGGGGTAGAAGCATCTTCTCCCTGTGGTGTGAGGAGTCAGAAAGGTCCGGTGCTGCCAGGGCGACGATAGTCAGGTCTGTAACACGGATTGCTGCAGAGACTGTGCAGTCATTGCCTCGACCATCATTCTCGACCACTTCTCTGACAAAGCCTGTGACCCTGACGATAGACTCGGCTGTCAGAGTTTGAGCCAGATCCCATGTCTCCTTGCCAACGGCATTAGTACTAATCGTAGCTTGCAAGGGCTTATTCTGAGCTCGAAGCCCCAAGCGTAAAAGCTCAGCATTCTCAAATCTAGCGACCGATTCGACTCTAGCATCAATGGTCAATTTCTGCGTTTTCTCATCCTGAGGCAATAGGCTCGTCTAGTTTTCATGTCAGAAATTGCAAGATCTTCAAGACAACCAGGTGAGACAAAGTCGAAACTTGCCAAAATGTTGACCTTGCCGGTGATAGTATGCTCACACGTAGGCATGATGCTTTGCGAGCATTAGAAAACTTCTTTCTGGCCAGCTTTGGGCAAGACGAGAAGCAACTCAGAGTGTCTGAATTGTTCATATAGAGCAAAGAGCAATGTCACCGCACATTCAAGGAAGACGAGATTTTTTTTTCCGCTGTCATTGACTTGGATGGCGCTTTGAGATGTTGCCCCAGCAAGTACGTGGAATCCTTTCGAGTTTCCAGATTGTTGCGGAAAACCGTCTGACAATTGAGACTTGCTGAAACAGTAGTTGCCAAGTGCAAGCTGAACATTCTTTTTGATTCACAATCCTTTTTGATTCACACCTCGGCCTTCTTTTTTTTTGTTCCGTTTTTGGTTACCAGCAGCTCCTGCTAGGTTGGGTCTCATTGGGATCCGCTGCCCGAATGCATGGCGTGATGTGATAGGAATGATCTGCCAAGCGGTATGCACCGTCGATTTTCTCTAGCTGTGCATGACCGCGTCTGCCGTGTCATGATAAGGGCAGCCCGTATGTACTCTGTGGTGTCATCGCCGCGTATCAGAAGCAAGGATGCGTGAATAGCCAAACCGGAGAAGTGAGACAAACCATCCGCCAGCTTTCTGTGATGAGTCGGTGAGAAGATGGCGAAAGTTGTTTCACCCAACAAGCCAAAGTACACTTTTGACTGCCTCTCAAAGACCCTAGTATGGCGACGATGAGCGTCTATGCAGCAATATACGCACTTTGAGGCCCACCAGTATGCAATGCGGCACGATGATGGTACCTCAGCTTGCTCAGTTCAGCCAGCCGATGTGCCTGCCAAGTTCATCCAATGAATGACTGGCGATCTTGACCTCCTCTGCAAAGGTTGAACCCCGCCATGTACGAGTACTCCGCACGGAGCAATGTATGAATCAAAGGGCTGCAATGCGACTCGAGATCTACATTGTGGCGTTGATACCGGCTGAGGTACTTGAAATAGTAGGGGGAAGATTCTATTTATCAAGAAAAGGTACCTGACCAGAATGCTGTCTTCCTCCATACACTCCCCACCACTCTGCTGTGTGAACCGAAACATGGGGTGCAATAGAGGTGTTCAGCAGGTACTTGACATTCAAACAAATCTCAACATTTCATCGTTTTCTGCCATCAAATCACCGCCTTGACGAGGCTGGAATGTTACCAAATAGCTCCAACCCCTGCTGCACGTTTTACGCAGTGCTGCAGATGCAACCTTTACCGACCTGTAGTCCAGTAGCTTACAGACACAGTATGGCTCGTTCAAGAGCGCAGCAGAAAAAAGCTTCACCTCAAATCTTTTTGTGGTGTTTGCGTAATTTGTTTGCCATCTGCTTGTCAACCTTGTGCTCCATTGCCTCTCTCACTCGAGCAACAGAAAAGAACGAAGAAAGCCGAGAAATTAGGGAGTCAAGAAAAAGAAATAAGAAAAGATCAAAGAGACGAAAATTAAAACATCTTGTTCACATATTTTGCCATGGCCAACGAAAAAGCCCCAGTTGACTGGTCCTCACGCATTGACGAACAGAACAATGCAGGCTGTGACAATGGATGGAGATTCATCGTCGTCACTTGCCCTCCTCTTACTGAGATTTGTGATGGAAACAAAGTCGAAGCAATTGACATACTACGTCTTGCCTGGGGCTTAGTGCTGGGAATTTACACTGGCGCAAGCGACATATCTTTTGGTTGTATTCGTCGCGAATCTGCCAGCAACGAGTCGCCCGTGAAAGAATGGGTGCATCGAATGGTGATTGACAGAAGCACCCCAATGATGGAACTTTTGAAACAGAGTTCTAGCAGCAAACTACACCAAAATGGAGGCCTGGAAGATGTAGCCTCGCAAAACTTACTTTTTGGGGGATGCGACACGGTTCTTATGCTTGACGTTGATTCTGGAGGAGCTGCTAAAGTACTCAGGCGACCTGACATGACCAATGTAAGTACCACCAAATTTTAAAGCGCATAACGTATGTGAAGATTACTTATACAAATGCAGGTAAATATCGTCTTGGTCGTTGATGGAACGACCATGAGCCTCGGCTACAGAATCTCAAAGCTCGGTGGCCTGCAGGCAAGGAGCATGGCAGCTGCCATGGGTCGAATCATTTCTACTCTGATAGATCGGCCCTTGACACCAATGCGTGATTTCGACATGTGCGACGACAAGGACATGACTATTTTGACAGAATGGAACAATGTTGAAACAACATGGACAGAGCAGTGCGTCCATGATTTGTTTGCCAAGCAAGTCGCTGATTATGCAGACAACATGGCTGTTGACGCCTGGGATGGCCAATTTACCTACCGCGAACTGGACCGACTGTCGTCAAGTCTCGCAGAGCATCTCATGGACTTGGGTGTCAAGCCCGAGACTTTTGTTGCTCTGTGTTTTGAAAAGTCCAAGTGGCTTGTCGTGTCCATTCTTGCAGTCATCAAAGCTGGGGCCGCATATGTTGTCATTGAGCCATATTACCCCCTTGCCCGCATGACAGACATTTGCACCCAGCTCGAAATAGACATCATGTTGGCTAGTCCAGACTTGCTCCATCTAGCAAATAAGCTCTCTCATCAGGCTGTGGCTGTAGAACCAGGTTCCCAGTACCTTGATCATGGCCAAGGTGCAAGGAAGCAAAGGAAAAGAACAACGCCCAGCAACCCCCGGAATGCACTCTACGTTGTGTTTTCTTCGGGTTCTACCGGCAAGCCAAAGGGAATCGTCGTTGAGCATGCGGCATTTGTCAGCTGGGGCACAACTCTGAGGCAGTCACTCTGCTTGGGTGCCCATTCTCGGGTACTTCAGTTTTCGAGCTTTGCTTTTCTCATTGCTCACCGCGACGTTTTGCTCACGCTCATGTTTGGAGGTTGCGTCTGCATGCCGTCTGAATCGCAACGACTCAACCACCTCGAGACATTCATTACGGACCATCGCGTCAACTGGGCCAACCTGACGCCGTCTGTGGCTGCCCTGCTCAATCCAGAAATGGCAACTGGGCTGCAGACGTTGCTCCTGACGAGCGAGCCCATGTCTCTCTCGAGCCTCACTACATGGGACGGCAAAGTAAACCTTTTGTTTGCGTATGGCCAAGGAGAGAGTGTCAGCCTGTGCTGTGTCAATACGAGCCCTACGGCTGGCTCTGATCGGAAGAATGTTGGCCATAGGGTTGGGAGAAAAGTCTGGCTGGTTGATCCCGACAATCACAATAAGCTGGTTCCTGTGGGAGCCATTGGCGAATTGGTCATTCAAGGGCCTATACTGGCACGTGGTTATCTCGATTCAGAGAGAACAGCGCTTGCCTTTTTTCATGATACGCCTTCTTGGCTACGAAAGCTACAGCCAGGATACAGCGGACGACTCTACAAGACTGGGGACCTGGCACAGTTTGCCGACGACGGCTCCGTTCGCTACATTAGCAGAAAAGACAACTCTGTCAAGCTATACGGGCAGCGACTAGACTTGGATGAAGTGGTACGACACATTGAGAATTGTCTGACAGAAATGTCAGACACTGCAGTTTCCAACGTGGTTGCGGATCTATTCCCTGTTCCTCACTCCAACGACGTCAAACTGACGGCTCTTCTCGGATTGGACTCTACATCGGCAGATACAAGCAATACTCTTCTCTTGGGACCCTTGGATCAAGCCTCTGTCTACCTACGGGAGTTTAGAGCCCGCTTAGCCGACGTGGTTCCTCGATACATGATCCCGGCTCTCGTCGTTCCCGTATCCCGCATACCACTCAACCTTTCAGGCAAAATCGATCGCAGACAGCTGCGCGATCTACTCTCTCTCATGACTGATGCAGAACTGGCATTATGTATGGAGTCGAATGCGAGCCATGAAGCTCCGTGTACGGCTCAAGAACTACAGCTTCGTACGCTGTGGTCACAAGTGTTGCACACGGCCGAGTCGAGCATCGGAAGACTCGACGACTTTTTTCGACGAGGCGGTGACTCGCTGGCGGCAATGAAACTAGTCTCCCTCGCGCACGCAGCCGGGTTGGCCCTGCGTTTTGGTGATATTTTTGCGCATCCGCGGCTCTCGAGCCAGGCACACCTTGTCGACTCTGCAACCGCACCGAGACGTGCACAAGACGATTACTGCTGCGCTGCCTTTGGCTTGGTTACAGAGAGCCGTAAGAAAATGATACTTGCAGTCGCCACCGAGAAGTACGGATTGTCAGAGTCACAGGTGGAGGACATCTACCCAACCACACCAATGCAGGAAGGCCTCATTGCGCTCAACGATCTACGGCCGGGTTCCTATGTATCACAACGAGTGTACAAAATTGCAAACGACGTCAGTCTTTGCAAATTAAAGTCAGCATGGAAGAGCACCATGGATGCGAATCCTCCATTGCGAACTCGTCTTGTACGGTGCTCTGATAATGGTTCAACGTATCAGCTCGTCGTCCGCAACCAGATGGCGATTGACATGAACAATGATTTGAACGATTATCTGACAAAGGACGCAGCCAAACCAATGAATCTTGGTACACCACTAGTGCGACTATCAATAATATGCAACGCTCAAAAGGCGCCGAACTTTTGTGTTGTGACGATGCATCATTGCATATACGACGCTTGGTCCACGTCCTTGTTGCTGAGACAGGTTCGTGACGCCTACCATGGAAGCATTCCATCTCCACAAACATTTAGACAATTCGTGAATTACGTTCAACAAGCGAGCCATGACTCGGCCGAGTATTGGAAAGCCGAATTGGCGGATATACATGCCGAGCCGTTTCCGGCCTTGCCGTCTCAGAACCATTCCCCCAGCACTACCGAGTCCGAGATGCTGAGTACACAGCTGCCTCGGAGCGGCGCATCAACAGCCAATACAACTCTTGCTACCTGTATTCAGCTAGCGTGGGCTGTAACGGTGGCCAGTTATACCGGCATCAATGATGTCGTGTTTGGCTTGACAGTCTCTGGCAGAGCATCCCCGGTACCGGGGATTGACAAGATGGCTGGTCCTACAATTGCAACATTCCCTTTGCGGGTTCAACTGCAATCAAATGCATTAGTACGGGAAGAGCTTCAGGCCTTGCAAAATCGTGTGCTATCGACAATACCATTTGAACATTTTGGGCTGCAGAATATTAGTCGCCTGGGAGACGACGCAGCCAAAGCATGCAAGTTTCAGAGTCTTTTGGTGATCCAGCAGAATGAATTTCTACCCAACGAGAATCGTGAGATTCTTATCCCTACTGCAGGTCATGTTGTTCGACCAACGTGGGATACATATGCGCTGTCCATCTTGTGCAGTCCTGCTGTTGATGGCAACATCCACTTCGAGGCTGTCTACGATGCTGCTGTAGTGCCCAAGGCCCAGACGCGACGCATACTACAAGTATTTGCCAACATTTTGAAGCAGACGGTTTCGTCACCAGACATGGTAGTGACTGACATTGATGGCATCAGCACCGAGGACATGCAGCAAATTCAAGCCTGGAACAACTCGGTCTCTCCGACCGTCATGAAGTGCATCCACGACATGATCCACGACCATGTCGTGTCTCGGCCAGAAGCAACCGCGATTGACGCCTGGGACGGCCAGCTCACATACAAGGACCTCGATGAGCAGTCGTCGCTGCTGTCTGCGGCGATTCTTGCAGGCCACGGCCTACTACGCCAGGAGACTTTTGTTCCCCTCTGCTTGGCAAAGTCCAAATGGGTAGCCGTGGCCATTCTAGCAGTCATCAAAGCCGGCGGCGCCTTTATACTCTTGGATGCTTCCCACCCGACGGAGCGCCTCGCCTGGATTCGCAAGAATGCACAAGCGCCCATCATCCTGTGTGCCGAGGACACGGCTGGGTTGGCAGCGCAGCTCGGCTGTCGGCTCGTTATCCAGGTAGACGCAAGCAACAACACCCAAGAAAAGGCACTCTCGGCGTTGCCGATTGGTGTACATCATCAGCCCAGCAGCCGCCCCCAGACACGCCCTGGCAATGCCGTCTGCGCCATATACACCTCGGGTTCGACGGGCGCTCCCAAGGGCGTCGTCATTGAGCACTCGGCCCTGGCCACGCAGATATCCTCTCTCGGTCCTTTATATGAGCTGAACCACCAGTCTCGTATCTTTCAATTTGCGTCTCATGCGTTTGACGTTGCCGTCTCTGATTACTTGTTTGGCCTGGCCACGGGCGCGTGCATATGCGTGCCCCAGGAAGCAGACAGCCGAGACAATCTAGCCGGTGCCATGAGAGGATGCAGGGCCAACTGGGCCTTTTTGACACCTTCGGTCGCCAGGACGCTGAGCACCTATGATGTACCCAATCTTAGGGTTCTGGTAATTGGTGGTGAATCCGCTAGAGCAGCAGACTTCCGGACTTGGTCTGGCGCATTAAGACTACTCTACGTGTATGGCCCTGCTGAATGCTCAATCTACAGCACAGTGCAGACCATCAGTCAGCCGACGGCAAATCCTGTAAATGTCGGAAGGGGCGTCACTGGCGCATGCTGGCTGGTAGAACCCAACAATCCGGAGAAACTAGTTGCCATTGGGGCGGTTGGAGAGTTGCTAGTGGAAGGCCCCCTCGTTGGTCGCGGCTATCTGGGAGATGAAAGCCTCAGCTCCTCATCCTTCATTCCGTATCCAAAGTGGCTGCAGGCCCTACGAGGGGGCCATTCAGTCAACAGACTATACAGAACCGGAGACATGTTACGGTATAGCCCCATTGGCGACGGGTCGCTCGAGTTTGTTGGCCGCAAAGACAATCAGGTAAAGCTTCATGGGCAGAGAATGGAGCTTGCAGAGATTGAGCATCACGTTGCGCAATCTTTTCCCACGGCTACCGATTCCATAGTGGAAATGATTACGCCCCTAGGCTCGACCGACCAGAAAATACTTGCCGCCTTTATCTGGGACGCCACCACCACCAGTAGTAGTAGTAGTGCAGGAAAGCACTCTGTTCAAAGTCTCGGTACGCTGGATGAACCAAGCCTCTTTGCCGGACAAGATGAAGTCTTCAAATCGAGGGTATCCTCGGCAGAGGCAAAACTACGAAAGATCTTACCTCGCTTCATGATCCCCTCATCGTGGATTCCACTGGCTCGATTCCCCCTCTCTCCTAATGGAAAAGCCAATCGGCGACTAATCAAAGGGCAAGCTTGTCTGCTTTCCAGGCAGGAACTGGGCATCTACCAAAGCTGCTTTGGGCCATCCAACAAGAGGCTCCCCCGCCCCCCATCTACCGAGTCAGAAGGCAGGATACACCAACTCGTCGCTGATGTACTCGGTCTCAGTGGCACAGACGTGGGAATGAATGACAATTTCTTTCAGCTTGGGGGTGACTCCATCAAGGCCATGATCATGTCTACACGAGCGACCGATATGGACTTGAGGCTAGCGGCAGCGGATATCCTGGCCTATCCTCGTCTTTGTGACATGGCCGCCGAGGTTGCAGTGTATGCGAGCGCCAACAAAAAAACCTGCTCCTATTTAGAGCGACATGCACCGCCGCCGCCTTTTTCGCTACTTGCACCAGAGTACAATCACGATGAGCTGCTACAAGAGATTTCAGAACAATGCAAAGTAGACAAGGATAGCATTGAAGACGTGTACCCGTGCACGCCACTACAGGAAGGACTGTTTGCTCTCACCATCAAGCAGCCCAGTGCATATGTCCTCAGGTTTACGCTCCAGCTCACCCAAGATGTCGACGTGGATCGTTTCAAAAATGCGTGGGACACCGTCATGGCAGTAAATCCCATCCTGCGTACACGAATTGTATGCGCCACCAGTCTCGGAGGTAGCTTGGTTCAGGCTGTCATGTGCAACAAGGCGAGCTACGAGCAACCAATTGACACGACTAGCCAGTACACTGTTGGATTGGGCAGACCTTTGTTTACTATCCAACTTTTGCCGCGGGACAAGGACGTGGATAGATACAGAGCGGTCGTGACTATACACCATGCTCTCTATGATGGTGTGTCGTTGGGTCTGGTCCTGAAGCAGCTATCAGCAGCTTACTACCAACGCGAAGAAACAACGAGAACATGGCCGTATAATTGTTTCATCCAGTATTGCCTCTCGCAACCCTCAGACGAGCAAGTCAGGCGCTTTTGGGAGGCAGAGCTGGCAGACGCTGCTGGCTCTGTATTCGCAACGAAGGCGCCCATGATGGATTCCTATTTTCTGCAGTCCCCGCTACACGCAGAATCTCGCGTGTCCCTTGAAATGTCTGACGCACAATCCAATGTCCCGCTTTCAGCAGCGCTCAAGCTAGCTTGGGGAGTAGTCCTGTCAAGTTTTACCGGACAAGGCGACGCCGTCTTTGGTACCGTAGTCAGCGGCCGAATGGCGAATGTAAAGGGCATTGACAAGATGGCTGGACCAACAATTGCGACGGTCCCCTTTCGAGTCCGCCATGCACCCTCAATGACGATCCAGCAGGCTCTGGATGAAGTGCAGTCGCGGAGCGTAGAAATGATTCGCTTCGAGCAGACTGGGTTGCAGCGGATCCGTCAACTCGGGTTTGCCGACGCCTGTCGGTTTCAAAGCCTCCTGATAATACAATTTGCAGAGGAAGAGAATCTTCCTGCGAGCCCCTTGTACACACTGGTTCAGGAGAAGCCAGCAGACACCTTTCATACCTACCCCCTCACGATTGAGTGCAGTCCCTCCTCTGGGCGGTCCGTCCATTTGCGCGCAACGTTTGATTCTGATGTGATGCCTGCCAAGTTGGTAAGTCGCCTCTTGGCGCAATACTCTCTCGCTCTTGCGCACATTACTGCGAAGCCATGGGAACCCTTGTCCTCCATCCCTCTACAATGTCTGGAAGATGCGACACGGGTGTGGGCATGGAATAAGATTGTCCCTCGCAGAAAGGACACTTGTGTCCATGAGATTGTTAGCGGTAACCTCGCGAAGCGACGAAATTCTTCCGCGGTTTGTGCGTCGGATGGAGAGTTGACGTATCAAGAGCTAGAGGACAAGTCTGCCAGGCTCGCTGGCCACCTGACGAGCCTCGGCGTAGGACCTGGGAAAATGGTTCCGCTGTGCTTTGAAAAGTCAAAGTGGGCGATTGTGGCTACGCTAGCAGTACTCAAAGCTGGTGGCGCGTTTGTTCCGCTGGATACATCTCAAGCCGCGGGCCGGAGAGAGACTATTCTGGCTTGCGTGGGAGCAGAGGTGATACTGACCTCTGCCAAATACGCTACAATGCTTGCGAGTACCGATCGGCTTGTATTTTCAGTGTGTGATGCGAGTTCAAAGGAGCTGCAATTGCCGTCAGTGTCCCCGGCTTTGCATGGGCTAGACTCGTCTGCTGCATACGTCTTGTTCACATCTGGGAGTACCGGAAAGCCAAAGGGAGTCGTCGTGGACCATGGCGCTCTCAGCACCAGCTGCCTTTTCCATGGGTCAGAGATGGGATTCAGTGAAAAGACGCGGGCACTTCAATTCACATCATATACCTTTGATATAAGCCTGATGGAGATTTTCACGACGCTCTTGTATGGCGGCTGCATCTGCATGCCATCCGATGCTGACAGGTTCAACAACCTCGAGCTGAGCGCTAGCAGCATGGAGGTTAACACTGTGTCTTTGACGGCGTCTGTGGCGAGACTTGTTGAGCCAGACCGCATGCGCTCCCTGGAAACCATCATATTCGTGGGAGAAGACGCCACTGACGATGACTTTAAGAAGTGGAGGCATCTTCCTCACATCTTCAACGCATACGGGCCAACCGAATGCACCATCTTTTGTTCAATCAACAAAGTTCAAGTCGACAGCAATTCTAGCTCAAATATTGGAAAAGCCGTCGGCTCCGTGTGTTGGGTCGTGTCTCCCCAGGATCACTGTAGGCTGGTGCCAATCGGAGCTGTTGGAGAGTTGCTTGTGGAAGGACCCGTTTTGGCGCGAGGCTACCTGAATGATTCAGAAAAGACATTGACATCCTTTATTGAAGATCCGCCTTGGTTGGTACAGGGAATCCCAGGTTGCGCGGGTAGACGAGGTCGGCTGTACAAGACGGGCGACTTGGTACGCTACAACGAGGACGGGAGTCTGACATACTGCGGACGCAAAGACACTCAGGTGAAAATCCGGGGTCACCGTGTGGAGTTGGGTGAAGTTGAGTGTCAAATACGCGACTGCATAGCCGGGGTGAATCATGCAGTCGTCATGGCTATTCCTCCTGACGGACGGAATGCATTGCCCGTGTTGACGGCTTTTCTGTGTTTTGATGATGATGATGATGATGAGAAAAGCTCAAAAGAAATTCATTGCCGCACTGTTTCAATCCCAACATCGACAAGAGAAGCTTTGGCGGACCGCTTGCCGGCGTACATGATACCCAGCATATTCCTCGCTGTTGGGCGGCTGCCACTGAATACATCTGGAAAGATGGATCGCAGTCAACTCCGGGATATATTCTCCAGCCATTTCCAGCAGGGACAAGGAGCCAAGGGGGGTGTTACAACACTGAAAGGTTTGCAGCAGCAACAACAGAATCGCCAGCCTGAACAAGAGCAAAAAGTCGAGTTGCAACATGGCCAGCCCACAGCAGTAGGCGCCGCATCCTCGTTGGCCGCCTCATCGTCACCATTTCGTGACTGTGCCAATGAGACGGAAAGGCGAATCAGGGTAGCTTGGTCTACAGTACTCGGAATACGCAGCGAGATGATGGGCGTCGATGACAATTTTTACGACATTGGTGGGGACTCTATTCGCATCATCAGTCTCATGAGGCTAATCCAAAACGAATTTGATGTTTGGCTGGGGCAGTCGTTGGTCAACAGTCGCAATACAACAATTTCCAAGATTGCAGATTACGTTGACAACAACAGGTTTGACGCGGGGGGTTCAACATTTGACTTGGAGGGAAAGATAGGAGAAACGTTGTCTTCCAGCTGGACCGCAGCAACGTCTCAGCCATGGTTCAGCCCAACCAAGTCAGTTCGAGCGCCCGCCATCATATTCCTCACGGGAGGGACTGGCTTCCTCGGCACACAGATTCTACACCGTCTTCTAATTTCAGACGTCGTTGCACGGGTAGTCGCTCTTGTTCGTGCAACCTCTGCCGCTCACGGCCTAGAACGTTTGAGACAATCAGCAGTCACTGCCGGGTGGTGGAAAGCAGAGTATGAAGCACGAATCACAGTGTGGACTGGAGACTTGCAGCTTGCCCAGCTTAGTCTGAGTGGCTCGCAGTGGGCGCAGCTGTCGGGCACAGCGACCGTCGACAATGTCACCGCAGTCATTCACAACGGCGCCGTTGTGAACTGGCACATGGACTACGACAGCCTACAATCAGCAAACGTCTCCGCTACCATTGAGCTTCTCAAGGCGACAGCCTTGTCCCGCAGCTCGCCGCGGTTTGTCTTTGTATCAGGCGGCATCATGGCTGACTTGGACACCAGCCCGGGCAATACCGTGGTCGCCGAGCAGTTGAGCCGGAGCAATGGCTACTCTCAAAGCAAATTCGTCGCAGAGGCCATTGTTCGTCGCTTTGTCTCGCAACTGCCATCCTCTCAGAACCGCTTCTCCGTCATTAAACCGGGCATGATAATCGGGACTGCCGACAAGGGTGTCGCAAACGTCGACGACTTTATCTGGAGAGTCGTCGCGACGGCGTCGCGCTTACAGCTATTCCCCCTCGATGCCAAGGAGAGCTGGGTGCCCATCTCGGACGCTGATTTTGTCGCTTTGCAGACTGTGACGCAAATCCTCTCCGACGACATTTCGCCATACGTCAATATAGCAACCACGTTTGGCCTCGGCTCTCTTGATTTCTGGGACCAAGTCAATTCAGAGCTACATCGTCCATGCAAGCCAGTCCCATGGTCCGTTTGGGTCGAGCGTGCTCTCGAAGATGTGAATCAAAGTGGCCAAGACCATCCGCTGTGGCCGGTGCAACATGTTTTAAAAGGCAGCAAAAACTCGAGCGGCATTTCGGCATCGTCACCCCTCTCGCCTCCAGACAAGCAAGTGCTTTGCAAGGCTGTCAGAGCAAATGTGCGTCATCTTGGTCGGGTTGGCTTTCTTGAAACTCGTCGACAAGAGTAAAATTGCTGTATGAGCTAGTAAGTCTCAACAAAATTTTGGGGGGGCACGCACTGCCGGCGGCGAGCTGCATTACGATGCGCGCCGCCAGACGCCACAACCGCCATGACAAAATATCATCACAGCATTACTCGATAGATGCGCTGACGTCAAACGCAGGTAAATGGAACAGACAGACAATGCATAACTTTTGGCAGCTACATGGGGAGAGTGTAATTAATATATATTAAGACATGGTAGACGCAAAAAAAAGAATGATTCACTCACAAGATGTATCCGGATGGTAGGCTGTCTTTATCTCTGTCTGCGTGATCGGTCCGTTGCAGCACTGAATGCCTTGTAGGCTTCCGTGTGATATCCCGACAACGTGTGTCAGTCCTTGCTAGTCATTTGTACAGCCGAGCTCAGTCCAGTAATTGACCATCTTTTAGGTAACTTCTATCGTGCTGACATGGCTCGAGAAGATTCTCATGAATTGACACGGGTTATAGTCCAGGTATCGTTTTTTCTGACCGCTGATAAACAGGTGTTTTAAATAATAATCATTGAGGAGGGTAGTTTCCCGTAAAGAAAACTTAATTACTAGTTACTGTTTAGGCTAGGAATACCTTTATTCTGCTCTTTTAGATGTAGAAATCCATCTTTTTAACCCTGCTCGGGCCGGTCCGCTTGCTTGCCGCTGTAGCGTTCGTGATGGACTGAGACAATGTCTAATTATCTCACTGAGAAATCGAAATATAAGATACCGTAATATCAGAATTAGATTCCTTGCTGCGGTGAGAGCAAATCAGTCTATTGGCAACCAGAATTGATAACATGCTAATGCGAGGAGGGTAGAGCGAGAGTTGAAAGGCCAGGCAAGGGCAAAAAAAGCGTGTCTTTTGCCAGGTACTGCCTCAGCACAGTCATTTATGGCGACACCTCATTAGAAATGTCTCGCCTGTTGCTTAGCAAAGGGAGAATTCTGGTGAACACGGTAACATATATATATACATATTCGTGCCAGGTAATACCAACTGCTCGTTCGTGGTTGATGTCAGCTCCTTTCCAAAGCCACGCAGGTGCTGACAGAGACATCATGGAAACATCCATCGAATATTGGTATGCAAAGTTTTCACCTTATCCTCGAGTCTTCGATCGCAACAACAGAGGCAGTATGAAGAACAAGCCTGCCAATACCGCTCCAAGCGAGACGACTCCCCTTGTGCAGCCAGCAGGCGGCGGCATCCCGACAGCACAACAATCGTCCCAGCAGCCCATCTACCATGGGACGAATAGCGAGCCCTCGGGATTCCTAGGCGGCTTGTCAACAGCGCGGTTCTGGGCCATATTCTCGCAGATACTCATGACGCAGTTTCTCTACTTTTTTGATTCCACCATCATGGTGTCCTCGCACCCCGTGATTACCTCCTATTTTGGCGCGTCCCAGCTGGCATCGTGGCTCTCGACGGCCTTTATGCTCATGTCGACCGTCTCGCAGCCGTTTCTCGGCCGCCTCTCGGATGCCTTTGGCAGGAAGCCGCTCTTTCTCGGCGCGCTGGCCACGTTTGCCCTGGCCACGCTATGGTGTGCACTGGCGACAAGCATAGAGAGCCTCATTGCTGCCAGGGCCCTGTGCGGTGTCGGTGCGGGAGGCACCATGCTAATGGGAAGCATCACCATGAGTGACATGATTCCTGTCGAGTATGTATTTATTTCGCTGTGCTAGAAATGGACTGTGTTTAATTCTTCCCTACGCTTTCACCCCGCCCAAAAAAAAAAGAAGGAAAAAAAAAAGAACTTACCCTTGTTGTGTTTTGTAGCACTGACAATGGTAAACAGGTCCCGAAGCACCTACCTATCATACATCAACATTGTAGTTGGCCTCGGCTCTGGCTTGGGCGCTACTTTTGGCGGCACCTTTGCCGAGACCATAGGCTGGAGATGGGCGTTTGGCACGCAGGTTCCCCCTCTTCTGGCGTGCCTGGCGGTCTTGTCCATGACGATTCCAAATGGCTTGGGCGTACTGGGGGAGAGGGAATCTCTCAGCCAGGTGATAAAGGGATTTGACGCGCTTGGTGCCTTGCTGGCTACCCTGGCTATATCTATGCTCATTCTTGGCTTGAATCTCGGTGGCAATATCCTTCCTTGTAAGTTGACTCTTTTTATTTTATTTTCTCTTCTTTTCGTACATGGAAAAAAAAAGAGGTGACGATTGCGGCTGTATATGGACACAAGGGTTTTCTCTCGACTAACAACAACTTTCATTTACAAAAGGGTCTCATCCATTTGTCATTACTGCCTTGATGCTATTCACAGTAGCTTTCCCAGCCTTTCTGCTGACTGAGTCGCGAGCGGCAAAGCCCATCATGCCGCTCAAGTTTGTTACTGTCAGGCCACACGCGAACCTGATTCTCTCCAACTGTTTAGGCGCTCTCATTTCGAATGCCATTCTCTTTAACGCGTAAGCATGGCCCTTTTTCTCTTATTCTTATTCTTTTTTTTTTTTTTTTTGTTATTTTCCCCTTTTTTTCCCTGTCCGGTATCTCCTCTAGCAACACGCTGTGAACTAATCCCCACGTCGTGAATATAGGCCGCTATATTTTCAAGCCGTGCTCCTCATCAGCGCCACATCGTCTGGCTTCCAACTCATGCTCCTTGCCATCTTGACATCTGCCGCCGGTGCTTTGGCTGGCATCTTAATCACCAAGACGCGCAGGCTGAAATGGCCTCTTGTCCACGCTGCGGTGCTTTATCCGTTTAGCATTGCCTGTCTCGTATGCATGCAGCCAAGATACTCCGCCACCATACTCTTGCTTGCCCTTGTTCCGTACGCCTTGGCAAACGGGTTGCAGTTTACCACCACGGCTGTAGCAGTCTTGGCCGCGTCTACGCGTGATGAACAGGCTGTCGTCATGGGCGCCCTTGCCATTTGGCGCAGCCTGGGCTTTGTCTTGGGCGTTGCGCTGAGCAGCGTCGTTGTTCAGAATGCGCTCTTGTATTATCTCGGCATTTTTGTGCGTGGACCACGCCGAGACGACGTCATTACACTTGCGCGAACAGCAGTCCACAGAATCGCAGAGCTGGAGCAACCGTATCGGGAGCAAGTGGTGCAAAGTTATGACGCTGCACTACGGCTAGCATTTGGATCCTGTATCATTGCAGCGATTATTTCTGCGTTTCTCGTTATTCGAATGAAGTTGCCACGGCTGGGTTCGCTTGCCGAAAGCTAGATTGAGACTCGTTTTTCTTATAGTGGCCAATTGCATTGATCTTGTCAATTCAATCTCCGACCTTGTCTAGTATTCACCTGAATAGCTACCAACTGACTATTACGTGCACCATAGCTAGCCCCTGGACGCGCCTGCAAATCAAATTGACGCGGGTAGCCTCACTCGTCGCGAGGCTGTCTCGATGCGCTGCAAATGTCGAATCGTCATGGCAGTGCCCATCATGGCTATCGCGATCCCTATAGAAGCCAAGCATCCTTTTCGGTACTCTGGCGCTTCGACTTGCTGCCAAATCAGCAGCGGAAGCCATGTCTGGAACACATGGCCCATCTCGTTCATTGAAGCCGCCACCAGTGCTCTCTCCTCGTTGTCCCGGGAGCAAATCTCGTGCATCCACGCATACATTAGTCCGCTTACTCCGCTGGAACAGCCAGCTAATATAAAGCACGCCCATTTCCAGGCAACTGGGATATTCCATATCGCGAGGCTCGTGTTGACAATGAGAATCATGATGCCAGAAAATATAATCGGTGGCCATCGTTCGCCTTTGAGAATAGAATCCGAAGTCCATGCGTAGATGAAGGTGGTGACAATCTGGACACCCGTCGTCAATGTAGGATAGGCATTAACTTGTGGTATGCTGTAGCCCCGTTGCTTGAGCCAGATGGCAAATGCTGGCTGTCCGGATATACCACCACCATTGAGGAATAAAATGTATAGCAATGTTAACAGATAGATGTGCCAGCTGGAAATAATTTTCTTGACTTTTCTTTTCGTAAAAGGCGCACGATTCGCTCGCCCGTCAGCTTGCATGCGTTTCTGTGCCAGCAAAATGTCGGCCGGGGTAAAGTACCAGGCCCGGGTGTTCTCTGGCACGTCGGGCAAGAAAAAGAAGCCAGAAACCGCAATAGGTAGTGATATCACGGTATTGATGATGAAAAGCCACTGCCAGCCCTTGAACCCGTGCACGCCGTCAAGATGGTAGACGGCGGCCATGAGATAGGCGGAGAACATGCTGCCAATGGCACTGCTTGCGTGAAATATGCATGATCGCTTGCCAAGCTCGCTCTTTTGATACCAAGATCCGATCAGGTACTGCATCCCTGGGTAAAAGGTGCTCTCTGCGAGGCCGATAAAGAACCGTAGCACGTATATCTGCTGCGCGTGGCTGCACTTGGCCATGACAATCGTCAAGACAGACCAGACAACTTCACACGAGGGAATCCACAAGGAAGGTCGGATTCGTGTCAAAAGAAGATTACTACGACAAGATACAATGGTCAATGCTAGTTCAGGCCCCCAAAAAAAAATTTAAAAAAAAGTGAAGCAACAAGAAGAAGAAACGGAATCCAAGCATTGTTCGACTTGTACTTGCCTCGGGATTTGCCCAATAACGTAGCCCACTGTCCAGCAGGTTTGCATATAATTTAATTGGTTTCCGTTGAGAACCAAGTCCTCTTTCATGCCGGAAACAAATGCATTGTTAATGTTGATTTGGTCCAGATTCTTGATAAAGTATCCCAACGACGCTACGGTGAGAATAGCGGCGTCGAGCTTGAATAGAAATCGACGTTCTTCCGGTGACTTGTCCAGCGTATCCCAAAGATACGCCGTCCAATGCGGCTTTCTCGACTCGGTACGCATGAAATATATACTCGCGCAACCTCTGACGAATGGGTAGCGGGGAACTGGGCCATGAAAAAAACCGCGCAGCGCAGGGCTGGCGTCGACATTTGCGACTGCTCATAATGTAGTTTTCCTCGTCAGATAATCGAAGCTAAGCTGACAGATGGGGAAGATGAAGTAGTGAGCGGCATGGCTCACACCGCTGGAAAAGCGTGTCGGAATTTGATGAATTCCAAACTAGTAGCAGCAAGCTGGGACAACAACTTTTCGCGCGACAACGGGCCACTGTCAACAAACTCGGCCAATTACTTTAACCCCAGGCGCACACAAGGGCCGCATAATAGCTCACACCAACTTGTTCGCGGGCTTCTGCTTCGCTGTCATGGGCAATGCCTCTTTGCTTTCAAATTAGACTGTATTTGGCCAGGAATGAACAAGTGCGGGCACAACCGAGCCACATCTTGTTTGCCAGTCACAAACCAGTGTCCACGAAACAAGCCGCTCCATATAATCGAATGCAAATTGTGAAAATGTCAGGCTTATAGCAGCTTCTTCATGATTCCAAGGCTTAAACGTAAAATACTGGAATCGCTTCACTAGGCTCAACTCACACCAAGCACCACGGACACCTTGCAAAGCCGCGCCTGCTCTAATCTCGGCATTGCTAGTCTGTGAGACACTTGGAAGATGATAAATCAGGCGCCATGCATGCAGCTGGTGTGCCGTCACCTTTTTGGCCATGGATGAAAATGTCGTTTGGCGCGATGAATGCCGAGGCTCTGCGACAAGGCCTGTCGAGAGTTGGGCATTCGCAGCGTTGGCATGCTCAGAGTATATGGAGCCATCAGACAGGGAAATAGACAAGTAGAGTGCGCAATTTGGGCATATCCGTCTGTTTTGAAAGGACCACTTGGAAGGGTCTTGTCTAACCGAGGTGCAGTTTGTGGCGGATCAAAGAGAGCGAGAGCAACGGAATCACACGGCAGGGCACGAGCTAAAGCAAAAGACCTAATGAATGTGTGTATGAAGGAGAGTGAAGGAGAAGAGAGGCTATCTAGAAGGTGTGGCGGCTGATGAGGGTCCTGGCTGAGTCAGCGAGCCGAGGCGTGCCTGCCAACACAAGTAGTCAGCTACTTGTCCCAATAACCTGCAAAGTGATGGAAAAGGTTATACTTCTGATATCACAACCGGCGGAGAAAAATGAGAAAAAAATCTGCCTGCCCCAGTCAAAACGGGTATATACAGTGTCGGGCTGCTCATTCAGCTCCCGAAAGGCGTTTCGTTGTTTCCGGCAGCAGTCGGCCACCGAAAAAGCGTTCAACAAGTTTTGGGAGATTAAACTGCTCCAGTAAGTAACCAACCTCACAATGCAGTACACAAAGTCCGAAACCACCTTGATGCCCCCAAGCCTGTCCTGAAACCTCCACAGCAATATCATTTGTGTCAGTCTTGACTATGCTGTAAAAATATGCGCTGATTGGAAAATTACTTGGCGAGGTGCCCGGCCAGAATAAGATAGGCCAGGGCTGTCAAATGGGGAGTTATCACGGGACCACAATATAGGCCAAGGGACATATAACAGGAGGACTATGGTACGTACGAATGTATTATAAAGCTATGCATAAATGGGGAGATTTGCAGCTTGGTCGCGTGCAATCTGCTCGCGTCGGCGTTGTTGTTGTTAGCTTGCAAGCTATTGCGTTCCTCAGCCAGGCAAGGATGCCGAAGAAGGAAGTTTCTGGAGGAATTTTAAGCTGTGCATTGTCCATTGTTGGAGAATTCGACAACCGTCGCCCCCCTCTCCCTTTCTCTCTATCTCCCTTTTTTTCTTTGGCTTTTTTTTCTGGAATGTATGTATTTGTGTAATTAATTCATTTTTTTTTTATCATTTTAATCGCTTCTTTGTTTCTGTATTTTGGGTTTCTCTGCATGCCTGTGGTATTCCGAGTATGCTCCTATTATAGGGTCCGCCAAATGGCCTGAAACATACAGGCCCCAACGAATATAAGAGTTCTTATGCACAATCTCCCGTAAACGTGGCCAACATGAAACTCACATTTTTCTACGTGACAACACGTGTCGATCAAAGTAGGGCTGCGTTCGAGCATTTGGGCTTTGTCTGGGGTAATCTCTGCCGTTCTGTCTATGCAACACACCATTGTCCTGGGCTAGAAGATTGGATGAACCAAATCTACTATTTGACAAGTAAAATTGAGGCTAGGGGTAATGGCTCAGTAACGTCAAAACGCCAAGGTCGGCTCTTCTATCTGAAGTGATATAGCGCAACTATAAGGATACAGATAGCGGTAGGCGAACGAGCGTCCACCCCTTTACTATGCACGTAAAATCGAAGCTATCGCCAACGTCTCGAGGCGGCTGCTACTTTTTAAGGCTTCTTGGCCACTGAAGCCGACTTGACTGCCGGCGCCGACGAGGCTGCCTTTGGCCTTGGCCTGGATGACCCGAACGACCTAATCAAGCGAGATGTCGCCGCCGCCGGCCGCGGTGGACGATAGAAGCGTGGGTGCGAGTGGAATACGCGATCTATATTGAATAGGGTGCTTTTTTAATTTAATAGAATTCAATATATATTACTAAAACCAAGAGCATTGTGCCTGGCCTCTAGCAGGGCGCCTGGTGGCAGGTCCGGGATCGTTGCCCTCCAGTCGAGCATAGAGCCTCAATGTTGTTCGTCAAATAGTGGATTTGGTTCGCCAAATACACAGGTCCCATGGTCCTGTATTGTAATTAACACAAAGCGCGTTTAAATCTAGGCCCAAGTCTTTCTGGTTTGAAGTATATTAACAAGCGCGCGATGGTGAGGTCCACTCGTTCGGGAGCACCGACCTCTGCATAAATTCCATGAAAAGGTAGGAAATGAGCAGGCTATTGGCGTTCCACTCGAGGTAGAACTGACAAGAGGCTACAAATTAGGCGATGGAAAGATGGTTATATGTATGATGATGGCTCTATATAAGTAGTAGATGGATGCTGCCGTCAGGAATTGCATCAGTCACAATTCGTTCCTTTCTTTCCTCCCTGTCGCTGTGGTGTCTGTATTTGAGTTCAGATTACCTTACATTCCTTTTCCCGTACTGAATTTTGTATTCTTCTTCACACATTCTCTCATTTATTCTTTTCTGAAATTATGCATTTTTCAACGCTTCTCAGCTTTGCGGCGGCTGGCGCACTGGTTGCCTCGATGCCGTACAAGGAGGCCAATCAGTGAGTGATAAATCTCGACTCGTTGGGCCTGTTGGGCCGATTATGACGCCAGAATCCAGACAGCTAACGGGGATTGCAAAAGGGTTGTTGACAATCTGGGCTCCGGAATGTCATCGGACGATACAAAGGGACCTGAGGATTGGAGAAAAGAAGAGAACCTTCTATACAAGCTCCTCATCGAGTATCGCAAGGAGGTGAACGTGCAGTATCCGAAGATCGCGCAGGATCCGGAGATCGCGCGCTCTCCCACCCTCGACAAGGTCGCTCGGACGCACATCGATAATCCTTACTTTGAAACCGGTTCGACTTGCAACCCGCACTCTTGGACTGCAACTGCAGATAAAGAAGCAAAATGGAAGTCTTGCTGTTTCAACATAGGTCAGGCGAATACCTGGCCGTGCATGTGGGACAAGCCTCGTGAAATCTCGGGAGGTCAATTTCAAGGAAACGGTTATGAGGTGTATCATGGTGGGAACCCCAATGTGTATACCGCTCCAATGACCGCCGAGGGATGTCTCAACGCGTTTAAGAATAGCACGGGTCACAACCCGGTATTGATAAACAACGGAACTTGGTCGACGATGAAATGGGAGAGCGTCGGATGTGGTATGGGAAAAGGGCAATGCGCCATCTGGTTTAGTCCCGAAAAGGACAGTGCAGCATCGCCAGACAGTCAGACAGCGCAAGACGGTCTGGAAACCCCAGTTGCTCAGAAAGAGGAAGACGCTCTGGAAACCCCAGTTTCTCAGAAACAGCAAGACGCTCTGGAAACCCCAGTTTCTCAGAAACAGCAAGACGATCTGGAAACTCCAGTTGCTGAGAAACAGCAAGACGATCTGGAAACTCCAGTTGCTGAGAAACAGCAAGACGCTCTGGAAACTCCAGATGCTCAGAAAGAGAAAGTCGGTCTGAAAGCTCCAGATGCTCAGAAAGAGAAAGTCGGATCGGAAACTCCAGATGCTCCGAAAAAGGAAGACGGTCTGAAAACTCCAGGTGCTCAGAAGAAAAAGCAAGCCTGTCCTAATAAAAAGCCCAAAAACCCGAACCCGAGCTCCAACCCCACGCCGACTCCGACTCCGACTTCGACTCCAAACGCAGATGCAACTCCCGACAATGAGTCTGGTGTGGCCAAAATCTGGACCCAGTGCGGCGGCAAAAATTGGACCGGTCCAACTGTTTGTGCCGAGGGTCTTGTCTGTAAGAGCTTTGGGGTTTGGTATTCCCAATGCAAGCCTGCGGCTTAAAATTGGTTGATTTGGCAGAAGCACAGACAATAAGAAACTGGGGGGAAACAAAAAAGAACCCCATCTTTTACATTCATCCAATATATATTTCAATCTTCTTGTTTGCTAAAAAAGTTCTACTGCAATGCCTTAGTCTGCCGTCATGTCCTTGCGTGTATGTATTGTATTATAGCTGCCAGTTACGCCGTGTACGGATTCTATTCATCCGTGTTCTAGTGGTGATGTGATAACTAGCCATGACCTCGCCGGGATTGCTGATAGTTGTGTCACGTACAACACCCATTTCCACCGTGTCACCTTTTTGTGAGAAGGCAGTGGCGATGATAATGCCCTTTTCGTCGTTTGGTGTCCTGTCCGTCTCGACATGATATAATGCTCGCCCACTACGGGTATACGGTCACTCCCAGGGTGGTATTGTATACTCGTGGATTGTCTTCAGGCGTTTCGTGTTGGTCTTTGCCATTGACATGGCGATTTCTGTATTGGGTACACCAATCGTCGTTTCGCTTTGTATCTCGACCTCGCCAGTGGCTGTGTCTGCGGGAGTGCGCAAACGTTGACCCAGAGCTTTGTTGCCGCTTATTGATCGCGTCATCCCCGAACCATGTAGATACTAGTTTCTGCTTCAGTCACTGCTGTAGCCACCTTGATGAAGGGTGGATGCACCTCAACTGAGGGTGCTGAGTGAGTTGAGTTGAAGGAGTGCACCCTTAGGTGAGGCCCCCCCCCCCCACGATAACACAATTAGGTAGTCTATGGGCTTTCCAATCTGTCCTCTAATGGCTATTGCACGGCTACCGCCACAGTCTTTCGTATTCTAAGCCTGCATGGTCTCTTTGGTGAAATGGACCGGCACTCGCTCAGCGACACCGAGCTCCGCTTCGTCTTCAGGTTGCAATGCATGCGCTAGACGCCAGACACCGTTTGGCGATGCTGGTACCGCCCTGCGCAGCGATGAACCGAGAGCCTTTTCTCAAGACTAGTACGGAGAAAATTTTCTGCTATTCTGATTCCTATTAGTGTTTCAGTGGAGGTCATTATACGTACGGATAGGATCTTCGGTCCGCACCTTCCGGTCTCCTAGCGTCCGTGCTGTAGATCCAAATGCCCATGCTCTCGTACCGTAGATTGTGTCCTGGCGCCTGGTCTCGCACGGTCCCGCAACAAAAGGTTTACGACTCCAATGTCTAGTCTGAATTTTCAGAAAGAGGGCATCAACGCCAGACTCGAGACTGCTTTCGAAGAACTGCATCAATGCTGTTGCGAGCAGCGATTCCTCATCTCGAAGAATGCAAAGCCAGATACTGACATAGAGTCACGTGTGGGCGAGTCCGCTGATAGCCATCACTCAAATGGTGTAACAGAGTCACGGGATTCAAGTCAGCGGGGTCTGTTTTCATGACGCAAAGCAAACGCCGGTCCTTCACAACACTTGGAACCGTGCTATCCATCATGACCTCTCGCGATATACCTCGACAAGAGCCCGCGAAAGCTTCACCCAAGCAGGAAGCTGGACGATCTTTGACCAGGCTCCGAAAAAAGGACAAATAGCTTTGCTCACGTCCACGCAACTGATGCGCTCATCCACGCTCTCTTGGTAAAGGAAAACCTCGAGCCTCAACATATAATCCATGTCGGCGCCTCCTTGACAGAAGACCGTGTCCATATCGTCGTTGACTACAATAATGTGTCCCATGAGGCGGCTCAGGTACATGCGTTCAAAGGCAGGAAGCTGAATAGGATCACTTTCCCACCCGGTCTAGAAAATTACTTGCACGAACGAATTACTTACACGAACGGGTCACAAATTGGACAACATGTCGGAGTCAGGGCAATTGTTTTCCAATCATAGATGAAGTTAGTTTCGAATCGAAACTATTATGCGCACAGTTCTCACAATCGTTCATGGCAGATATTTCTTGCCAGATCAACCGATCCTCGCGCGCCTCACAACTGAATCCGTACGACTGGCAGTACGATTTATGCACTTCCTGCTCTCTTCCAGAAAGAGGAGAAATAGCCAAGCAGGTTCTCCGACGTGACATCTCCGCCATCCGCCTCAAGCGAATTAATAGGACCGAGCCCTGCTGGAGGGAAGTACCTTCATGTCGAACGGTTCTGCTTTCAGCGCACTAAATAGCGATCAGGAGCCAGTCGCTCTCCATGGGTCGCCAATTGCAAAGCAGTTGTGCGGCGTGTCTGAGCACATACTGTCAAATGGAGCAGGAGCAACATACTGGGACGGAGAATCAAGGCAATCGCAGCACTAAAATAAGATTGCTCCATCTCCCAATGGGATCTCAGAACTCAGATCTGAGGATGCTGTAGTAGCGAAGAACGGCGTGGCGTCTAAAAGCACCGGCGAGTCGCCAGTTCAGCTCCTACCGCGGCCCTCCTAATTTATCGTCTTTACTTACTTCAAGGCCGCAGCCCAGAGCATTGTTACTATGTAGTAGATGGGATGCATACACTCCCAAGGCTACGCCTACGGGGTCCTCTCTACTAGTGACGAGGCCTCAGAGCTTATGCTCCAGGCGCCTCTCTACTAGTAGTAGATCGGCTCCCCACGTCCCGTGCTTCTCGAAGCTTTATTTAGGCTTTTAATGCCCGCTTACAAAGACTATGTGACAATGACGTCGCCAATGCTACTCTCAAGCTCCCGTACCTATGGGCTAGGGGGCTGGGTTTCCCGGAAATTGCTCAAGTACATACCATCGGGCCTTTTCTTACGAAGATGCTATCAGACGATCACTCGTTCGTCCGCCCATTATAGGCTCCCCCTGGCAAGCAGCGTTTCTTGGCTTCTTTTTTACGCAGGAAGCTTGTCGGATCAGACAGCCTCGTCCGGGTGCTCGATCGCAAACTCCGCCAATGCGGACACTCTCGGGCCAAGGAACCATGCGCATCCAATTACAGTCGTCGAACTTGTAGCTCGTCAACGGTTCGGACAGTCAGCGTGTCCGAACGTTGACTGTTGCGGGTGCCGTCCCCCGCCTTACCCGTGTAAGACTCGGAGCGCGAATGTCCGCGAGGGGCCATGTGCCCACCATCATGCATCGGCACCTGCAAACATTCAGGCAGCCTCCCGAAGACAGCATGATCTTTTGACATGGGATGAATCATCTTGGCGCTAATTTGGCTCGGCCGACAGTCCGCTCTGTGCTGTCGGACAGGCTTGTCAGCTCTAGTGCATGTCATACGAGTTCGTCGGGGAGCGATCGGGTAACCCAGAATTTGGTCAGTCGAACGCAGGGTGAGATATATCACAAGCTATAGTGGTTTCGATACTCTATAAAATGGTCAATGTGTCTCTTATTTTGACGAAGAAATTATCTAGAATATCGATTCACTTTCCATCATGGAGAATCAGACACTGCTCTCTTCAACTGCGGCGGGCACTTTTGCCAAGCAAAATGCTGCTGCAAGCACAATCCTAGTACTGCTTTTGGCACTTTTACTCGTCAGTTTCACCTGGAATTTTGGAAATGAAAGATTTTACTGATAGCCACCAAAGCTTGCCCTCTCGAGGCTGCGGAAGCCAATTTCACGGATTCCCGGCCCTTGGTATTCTCAGTGGACTGGCCTTGTTCTCAAGTACCACTGGGTCAGAGGTCAAAAGAGTACATACGTGCATGCTTTACACGGAAAATATGGTACGGGAATAAACATGCAGCCACCCAACGTCAATCGCGCTTCACGGCACCCCGACTAACACCAGCCTTACAGGCCGCATCGTTCGCATAGGCCCGGACGAGGTCTCCGTCTGCGACATTGACGCAGTCAAGACCATATACTCGGTCAAGGAAACATTTCGCAAGACTCCTTGGTACATGGAATTTGTTGCCGGTGTCGAAAACATTTTTAGCACAACCGACATTGGCTTCCACCGCCAGTCGCGCCGCTTGCTTGCCGCGCCCATGGCGGATTCTGCGATTCAAGAGCTGGCGCCGCGTGTCGGAGGCCACGTCGACTTTGCCATTCAGCAGATGAAGGCCGAAAGCCAGACGCGCAAGGCTGTGGATGTATGGAAGTGGTGGCTCTTTATGACGACGGATATCATTGTCGAGTTTACCTTTGGCGAATCGTTTCACATGCTCCAGCGCGGCGAGGTGAGGCAACAACACGCTACTATTTGTGACTGTTTATCCAGGGCGACCCGAGTTGACAATAGTCTTGTGTACAGGAAAACGAATACAGCTACTTTTTGAAGAATTCCGGCATGTTTGGTATTTACCGATCAATCTCGCCACTCTTTTCCAGCCTCAAGTCCTGGCTGCCATTACAAAGCAGCAAGATGGCGACCAAGGCTATTGTCACCATGTACAATGCTGCTGCGGACGGCATCGCCATCCACCAAAAGATGGTTGAGGAAAATGGCGCCGAAAATGTGAAAAAAACCTTCTTCACCACTCTCTTTGATGCCGCGCAACAAGACGGTCGAGCCGCCGTCTCACCCACGAGGCTCATTGGTGACGGGCAGGCTTTCATCATTGCCGGCAGCGACACCACGGCCAACACGCTCACGTACGTGGTCTGGGTGGTGAGCAAGAACCCTTTTATGAGGGATGCCCTGGTCGCAGAGCTGCAGGCGCTGCTGCCGTCCGATTATACCGACGCGGACCTGCGCCAGTGCAGTCTCCTCAACCGCATCATCAAGGAGACGCTGCGCATGCACACAGTCGTGCCCGAGGGCTTGCCGCGGGTAGTGCCCCCCGACGGCGCCGAGCTGTGCGGCTTTCGCCTCGACGCCGGCACCGTGGTCAGCGCCCAGCCGTACAGCATGCACCGGGACCCGGCCGTCTTTGAGCGGCCCGACGAGTTTGACCCGTCCCGCTGGGTCGAGCCCACCAAGGAAATGGGAGATGCCCTCATGTCCTTTGGGCGTGGTTCTCGAGGTAAGAGCGTTTTTTCTTCGAATTTTTTTTTTTTTTTTGGAAATATGCGGAGCTCTTGAACTAATTCTTCTTCTTGGGATGGGCCAGTTTGTATTGGCCAGCATCTTGCCCAGACGGAGCTTCGGATGGGCATTGCACGTTTCTTCCTCACGTTTCCGAATGCGCGCGCTTCCACGCGAGAGGGCATGTCTGACGACGACATGATTGAATCTTCGTATTTCATAATGTCGCCAAAGGGCCACCGCTGCCTCATTGAAGTTGGTCAAGTGAAGCACGACTGAAAGCGTTGACGAAGATGAACATAGTAGTGGAGTTCCACTGTTTCAAGCACAAACCAGGCCAAATTGTTTTCTTATAGCTGATGACGCCGTAATGCTTTATAGCAGCGTCTTGAATACCACGTTGATATCATCTATGAGTACATGCCCGCTTGTTGGCAGAGTCTCAATATGCTATCTGTTTGCTCGTTTTGACTTGCCTCTTTCATCGGGGATGAGAGCTCAGCATATGTTGCCTTTTTCTCCTCTCTTTCAAAAAAAAAATTAGAATCACTTTTCAGTCCTGTGCCGAAACGCTCCCTGTGTTGTTCCTCTCTGCGGCGTCTTACAACGACAATGGCGCTCGTACATTTTCATGTCGTAGCTCATTCTCCGGACTATAGCGGAATGTTCACAGTGATACCCAACACTGACTTCGTCCCGAACCTGTGGTTTTGGTCAAGACGAGGCAGCACGGTTCTTGTCTTGTAGATGGCCGTCGTCACTCTGCAGGCAGACTCGAGGCCTTCTTGCACCTAGACTCCAACGAGAAGGGGGCCACTACAACCTCTCTCTTTTTTCCCCTCCCGATTTGATTCCATCATGATTCTACAAATTCGGGTCAAGAGTGGACAACGTGGTCTGCACATTGCCGGCGCATATACCCGCGGGCGGCAACTCCCGGGTAGATGTCGTGTGCGACAACTCATGTTCTATATGAAACCATGCTTCAAGACAATAGCCCAAGTCAGCTTCCGTCCAAGCTCCGTTCACCTATTGTCTAACTAAGGCACCCCTGTCGTTATAAGGGAGCCAATGGACTATAAAGATGCATTAGTTCTGACCAGTTGTCATTTTGAGGCTGTGCTGTAATAAATAGTCTGCTTATGTTTTTGCCCGCCCCATATCTAAACCCTGCCTCCTAGCCTGCTCAGCCTTACTGCCGACGCCCGGTTGCCTGACCCCGGTACACGCACTAATGACGACATCTCCGAGGCCCTCCCGCATCGCCATGGGCCCAAGCTTTAAATAGTTGGCAGAACTTAGATCTAAAGGTAGCTTTGAATTATACTACTAAAAGCAGATTTCGACATCTGGCATCGCGAAAAAGACACACACCCCACAAACCAATATGAAAGACGACATTTTGCCCCCATATGAGACCCCGGCGCCGGCAGCGCCCCCGTACGAAGAAGTCCAATCTCACGACGATGACAACGACGTCGACAACGCCACCGTCGAGCCGACCATCTTCATTCTCGCCGGCCAGGCCGTCTACGCCGAGACGATCGACGGCCCACCCGCCTACGAGCTATCCCGCGCCGTCGCCACGCTCACCAAGTCGACTGAAAAGGTTGAATTCGAGCGCCTCGACCAGGTCCTCAGCGCGGCAGCAGCCCCAGCCGACTCCTCCTCCTCCGCCGCCGCCTCGCCTCCAATCCGTCGCCGCCGCCGCCGCCGGCACCTTTACGACCTGCGACGCACGCCCAAGCAGCCTCGCCTCGGCCTCGCCCGCTCACGCGCGCGCTCCGACGCGCCCGAGTACTACCTACACAGCCAGTCATCGCGGCGGACGCTCGGCCACGTCGGGCTCGCCAAGGATCGGTCCGGCGGCGGCTGGGCCGCGGGTTTCCGCGCGGTACCCGTGCACGTGGCGGCGGCCACGACGGGCCGGGCGCGCTTCGCCGACGGTGCCGACGGCGCGACGCCGCTGTTTGCGCTGCGCAGGGACAAGGGGGGCCGCTCGCGCTGGGTCGCGGCCGACGGCGAGGAGACGCTGGCGATTGAGGACGCGGCGGATCGGCAGCGCAGGCTCATACTGACGAGGGCGCTGCCGCGCAAGGAGGTGGACGCGCTGGTGGCGTTGTGGTGCGCGAGCATATGGCAGGAAGCCGCCGTGAGAGCGGACGAAGAGCTCAGGGGAGTCAAGGACAGTAAGTTTTTTATTCTTCTGGCACCGGAAGGGGGATGATCAAGATGGTGTGGTTGCTAATGTGATGTTAGGCGCGTTTGTAAGGACCATGGATACAGGACGGAAAATGTATTGGGGAAAGAACGTATATTAAAAGTCATTTTGGTACTTTGTCTTTTCGCAGTTATCCAGTGACAATAGGATATCCAGCAGTTTCATTGCTATTTTTTTCGCGTTCCCTTGAGTAGACATTTTATATGCATTACAACAAGTTTTTCTGAGGCGAATGACAAAAGTGAGGCTTAGAGCTCTGTGCTACTGCAAGTAGACTGGATTCTCTTGAGAAGCACATGCGATTACAAATTCGTTCTCAATTCTTCCGTAGCGTTTCACAGCTCATCAATGCCCAGCTCTACATGTTCTCGGTTCCGAGAGCGGCGTCTTGCCACACGGCTACCCGTACTACTTTACTGCGATGCAGTGTTTGTTACACGGAGCACTTTGGCCCCCTTATATAATGATGCGATGCAGTGTGTTTTCGTCGGCATGTCTTTTCCTTCCCGTTATTTCCTTCTTTGTATAGCAAACTTATATCTATACGCCTTTTGTCTTTCGCCGCGCCTCTTCCACCAGCAGCCTCTCAAAGACGGCTACTTCAACTACCAACCCAATCTCAAGTGGCACAATCTGGAAGCGGCATCGCAAACTCACACATAAGAACTATACACACAAGGGCAAAAAAAAAAAAAAGAAGAGAACAACATGTGCTGGCAGCTTCCAAACTACTCCGAGTACCAGTGCGGACACCCCGGCACCACCACCTTTTCCCTGAAGCGATGCCCGGCCGCCAAGGACCGCTGCGACTGGATGCCTTGCAAAGTCGTGCTGGATAGCGAGGATGGCCCCGCGGAGCCCCCTACGCTGATCTGGAACCCTTGCCAGACGTGCAAGGAGAGCGGCGACTGGCTGGAATTCATTGACATACAGGGCCGGCTCCGGTGGAGGAGGACTGTCGGCGCCATCAAGCCGCCGTCAAAGAAGAGGTAAAACGGTGTTCTTGCAAGGTCGCGCTTTCACGTATGCCAAAATTGTCCCGACCCGTTTGTCTATTTTCCTTGTCGTCTTTCAAAGAATCTGTATTTGCGCAATTGCTCCCTCTGCAGCTTTGTTTTCGAAAGCAGCCCTAGACGCCGAATCACAAAAGGTGGCCCAACAAGACAAAAAGAGCATACATGGCCAGAGTGTGAAGATACTATTCATCGGATATATATATATTTGCTCATCCAAGACTTTGATAAGAAAAAAAACTCAGTCAAGACCTTTTTTTTTAGTAGCTACTTAAAAAAGAAAATGTGCAATGCGTACAGAATCTACCACAACTACATCAAGTGCGGGCACTCGGTCCGCGTTCCCATCCACGTAGTCGGCCCGCCCTGCCCTGCCGCTGCGCTACACCTCCTCCCCGGCCAAAACTACTGCCCCGTCGCCGTCGCCGCCTGGCAGACGAGGGTCGAGACCGTCGACGAGCCTTGCCTGTCTTGCAAGCAAGGCCGCCTCTGGTTCCTGCTCATCGACGAGCACGGGCGGTACAAGTGGTCGCCGTGCATTCCCAACGCGCAGCGCAACGGCGAGTACGCCAGGTGTCCCGAGATCGAATCGGCAAAAAATCAATGAGGGCTTGATGTAAGTCACTCATTCATATTTTCATCTTGTTTTTCTTCTCTTTTCTTCCCCAACAGCGTATGGTTTCTTGGGGCTGACCTGAGATAGCAGTGAAGCAACCGTGGTGTACCCCGACACAAGAGAGGCATCAAGGAGGACAAGTTGTATTTCCGGCAGAGTGTGTTGTCTGTTTGTTGCCAAGGGAAGTGATGTTTTCTGTCTCCTCATGCCCATCAAGCCCAGTGAGGATGTGGCCGGGGGGCCTTGGTGGGCGGCAGTCTGCCAACGAGCATCCCTATGGCGGTCTTCCTTTAAGTATTGGGTACTTGGACACTTGGCGCATATTCAATCACAAATAAAGCATATTGAATGATTGTTTAAAGTTTGTCTGTAGTAATCACGCCACCAGTCATCTGCAGGCATCAAGTAGACATCTATTCACATTTTCATCCCCCACATTGTATCGGTGAGCAGGATAATCACGCCTCAACAAAACACTTCGTTATAGCTATGGCAATGTTTCGAGGACAAGAATATCATAGAGAAAAAGTACAAATTCCAGCAAGCATGACCTACCAAAAGCAAGAGGAACGCACAGAAAAAACCTGCTGCTGATGACAGCCTAATTTACCACCCCAACTGAGATTGACCGAGCTCCTGTCCTCTACACTTCAGCATTGTCGCTCCCTCCACGTTTGTATCTAATACAGGCTGTGTCAATTGAGAATGATCGGCTCCAGCACGACGTACAACTCTAGTGCTCACTGTCAAAGGCCGCAGGCGCCTACAGTTCGCACACGCTATTCCTGTCATCGCCGACTTGCAACCGCCGATATTTTGCTTCTTCCTTGCATACAAAATTCTGTTTGCATTGTTCCATTTAAGCGCTGTTATCGGGCCTGTTCGACGACGTGAATCTGGACCAGGAACAGGGCGACTCGGTGGTACCAAGCACATTGACACCAAGACAGCCCGTCTTAGCCACGGTGTCTGAGAGGCCACTCTTCTTGGTAGACACACAAACTCGACGATCTGTGCGCTAATTTCTGCGTCTGTATGCTGGACCGTTGTCTGTTGTACCGACGTACGCGCCGTGAGGCTGGTGTAACTGGCCATGTGCTGTTGGGCATCGCTCGAGTCCCCGTTGTCACACCCTCGATCAGTAGAGGGAAGTCAGAACTAGCCCCGCTAAGTGAAGAGCCATCACGTCTGCGGAATACAGATTACGAAAAGTAATGGGTCCTCACGATATATGAAAGCTTCAGCAGTGACGCTGTTCTTTGCCACAGGCATCATTACGTCGAAGGCAACGACTATATCTAATACAAGATCTCGAGCCCCCGACAATGACCGTTTGTAGTGGAAAAATTAAATTACTACTTCTGCAATGCAGACGATCTTTCTAAATTCGGGAGACAGGTTCTGCACCAGAGACCACAGCGTATATATTTTAGAGCATTTCTAGAGCCATAGCCCAGAAACCCTACATCCACAGCACTACCATTCCAAGTAATGTGCTGGTCCAAATCACCCAATGACATCTTCTCGGGGCGTGGACACAGCCGTTTGATAGAGACAATAGAGCAATGGAACAATGCGCAGTGTTTCCCCGCAGGCAACACGCACTGGGGTGATCTCCATGTCACGGAGCAATGCGGCGTGTACTACGGTGATTTGTGTTCCGAGTGTCTAAAAGATGGAGCCCTGGGGAAAAAGGGCATGATTATTTTCCTTGGTCGAGGTGACGTCTCTATGGAGACTCTTACACACCGGTCAATCTCCAATAGGCGCCCGCCGTTGGAGCTGGCTGGCATGGCCGTGGTACCGAGATGTAGAGAGCACGCTCTTTCAGTATGCTGCCAGCGCGCGTCAAGAGCAGTTGACATCGTTGGTATGTGTCCCAATTGCGGAACCATGGAGTGGACTGGTAGTTGAACAGGAAATCGCAGGATTGGCGTGCCTATTTACACCAAGACTGCGTGTCGGCTGTCAAGCGGGCGTCATCACAGCTTCGTGGCACAGTCGGAGCATGCCACCACGCAGTGCGAAGAGCTACACTCATGATTCAAATGCACGTCAATCACTCCTGAATCACACGAATATTTTGAGTCCAAGACATTTATCTGGGCGTCTCGCCTGAGAATGAAGAATACAACAGTCACGTTTGGGATATGGTCACAAGAGTCAGCGAAACATTTAAAGACGGACACGTCCAAGAGCATCGAAAAGACTGGATCCATCGTCCACCACGTCAATACTAGGACAACATGTGCCAACTTTTGGTGGATCTTGACAAATATACTTGCGGCCATGACCACGCCACTGCTCAAGTCCAACGAGGGGGCTGTCCACGGAGAACATGTTCCAATTACGAGCCGATAATCAGACTCGGAAGTCCGCGTTTCCCATGCGAAAGTTGCAGACAGGATGACAGCATGGAGAGGCTAGATGAATGGGTGAACATGGGCCGGGGCCGGATGCGCGGCTACCCGCCGGGATTGACACGGTATGGAGAGGATGATGCACGAGATTACATCGAGCTCGATCGGGAGGAGCATCGGTTCCAGGTCGAGTACAACGGACGCGGCTTCGAGCCGAGCTTTGCAGGTCTAAGCCATCGGCTATCGGGGGCCATGATGGGTCTCATCACCGCTGCGCTGCGAAATCTGTTTGAACCCGCGGCGCCTTTGCTTCCCCCGTTATTGCCGCATCCGCCAATGCGGCCACCTTTCGGCTGGGGCCGGAGCAGGCGCAGGGAACACCTATATCGTCAATCGTCGTGGTTTGATCCGGAGTTTGGCAGCGCGAATTTCAGGTCGAATTACAGTGCCAGGTCGGAGCACCGCTACCATCGAGATAACGACGACGGATATATTGACGTGGACAATGATTCGACGACATTTTATGACCCATACGACATGCCTCTGGGTCACCCGCGGGTTAGGTTCGCCTGAGTACGGGTTGAGGATGGAGGGGCAGCTTGGGTGTTTGATATTGAGCAGACAGGCGAAAACAGCAATTACACGAGTGAATGAATGGTTAGACTTGCTACGTCTTTCGGGACTTGTAAATGCGTGGTTGCGAAGCCGTTAGTGTAAGATGTGCAAAAGGGTGGCATAAGGCTGATGATGGTGGTGGTGTACGATGACTCAGGTAATAGTGCAAAGATTAATGCAACATCCTTTTGTGTTGCATAGAGGTCTAGATGAGTTCTGCACTGGCAGCGGACACTGTGCTTCTGAGTGGCGCACAGTGTGAAAGAGCTGAGTTACCACTGTAGATTTTGCGGAGGTGGGCAACGTACGGTGGTGGGTCCTCGAATGCCACTGTGCAGCTTGGTGCCCCCCCTCTCGAGACACAAAAATATGCACAGTGCGAGGAAGCGAGCGGGCTGTCTTGACAGGGCCCTTGGTTGCCCGGAGAGGTCCCGCCGTGCCCCTCATTGATTGTTGACATGATGATTTCGAGCGTAAAAACAAATGGTCAGAAGAAAGCGGTTGTTTGCAATTTTGTCCTGCGAAAAGGCAGGAAATGGTTTTTTTGGAGACAAGTGAGCTAACTATAGATCGTAGATCTCGGGCATCTGGAACCAGCCGTGTAGAGTAGTTAGATGGGGAGAGTCGTGTGGTAGGTAGGTATTATTAGGTGGTTATGCCCGTGACAAGGCTTGCAGCGTCCTGTGTTTTGTTTGGAGGGTCTCAGCGCGACGGGCCAACCAGCGAGCTTCCTTGCTTCTAGTTACAGCCGCTGCCTGAAAGCCTGTCGAAGCCTGTGGAATTACGTCGCCTTTGGCCTAAGGAGGTGCAGTAGATTTCGCGCCTCATTTCGCCCTGGCTGCTTGGCTAGGCTACCAACAGCTTCCCGTCGAAATTAAGGAGACGATTTGCAAGACAGACTGCCGACTTGAACTTGCTTATTCTCACCATCAGCCGCCTCATTTCCACAGACTCTCGCTTGTTGGTGCAGCTCTAGTCGTTTCCTCCGCGACGCCCCATCCCAGCGGTCCGGGAGGCAGACAGTGAGGTATTCACTCAATCAACTATTCATGGGCAGTGCATAGCCCTTTGCTTCTTTCCTCTGCCTGAATCTTGTCAAATTCAAAACATTGCACGTGCTAACAGCAGCATAATGAAAATCTATAGCAGTGCACAACTGTAAAACCCCCCCCTAAACACCCAACCCACAGGCACGCGCCTGCGCCCTGCTACCTTAGGAGGTAGGTAGTGAGTGCCTCAGCGCAACTGCCCTGCATCTCGCTACTGTGCAAAGTGGGAACGCGAGGTACTTGATACGGCGGCGTTTTTAGCTGTGGTTTACCGCGACATTGCTCAGCCTGCCAGGTACCTCTCCTTGGCCGTCGACAATTCGCCTCTCCCCCCAGCTTCTGCTGCCACGCTCTCGCTCCTCCTGCTGCACCATCAACCCCCCAATTCCGCTTTGGGCCTCCCGTTGTCTTTTTTTCTCTACCTACTTTCTTCATTTCCTCCTCTTGATCTCTTTCCATCCCTTCCTTTCTCTCCTCGCCCGTCTGCTGAAATAGAGGATTTTCTTTTTAAAACCGCCGCATGACGACTTTCTTCACATCTTGCAATCATGTCGAGCGCAGAAATCAATCAAGTGCTCGCCAACTCGCTGTCGCCTGGTATGTTGTGGCCCCCCCCTCCATGTGCCAAACGCACACTTCAGAATCGCCATCACACCCAGCTTGCGTCTGCGCGCGCTTCAACCCGACAATTCTCTAACTAGCCTTTTTTCAACAGATGCGGCACTGCGAAGTGCGGCCGAGCAGCAGCTCACCCAAGCTGCCGAGAGCAACTTTGTAAGTAACAAATCCCCCAGCTACCCCTCAGCGCTTCTCTGCACGCCCGTCTCTGCCCAGTCACATGCTCACCGCTCTCGACAGCCTCTCTACCTCGCGACTCTCGTGCAGGAACTCGCCAACGAACAAGCCCAGGGCTCCATCCGAGCTGCCGCCGGTATCGCCCTCAAGAACGCATTCACAACCAGGGATTTCGCCCGCCATCAGGAGTTACAGGCCAAGTGGCTCCAGCAGACCGACAATGACACCAAGAACCGCGTCAAGGAGTTGACCCTGCAGACCCTCGCATCCTCCAACGCACAGGCTGGCAACGCCGCCGCCCAGGTCATTTCTTCGATTGCCGCCATCGAGCTACCGCTAAACCAATGGGCCGAGCTCATGCCAGCCCTCGTCAAGAACATCAGCGAAGGTGCCGACCATCAAAAACAAGCCTCCCTCACCACCATTGGTTACATCTGCGAAAGCCAAGACCAAGACCTACGCCTATCTCTCGGTCAGCACTCCAATGCCATTCTCACGGCCGTCGTACAGGGTGCCCGCAAGGAAGAGGCCAATCCTGAGGTTCGACTCGCTGCCATCACCGCCCTCAGCGACTCGCTCGAATTCGTTCACAACAACTTCAAGCATGAAGGCGAACGAAACTACATCATGCAGGTCGTCTGCGAGGCCACCCAGGCTTCCGACCCTCGCATCCAGCAGGGCGCCTTTGGTTGTCTCAACAGAATCATGGCCCTCTACTACGAGAACATGCGTTTCTACATGGAAAAGGCCCTCTTTGGCCTCACCATCCTCGGCATGAAGTCGGACGATGAAGACGTTGCCAAGTTAGCCGTCGAGTTCTGGAGCACTGTCTGTGAGGAGGAGATTTCCATCGAGGATGACAATGCTCAGGTCGAGACTTCCGACCAGGCTCGCCCATTCTACAACTTCGCTCGCGTTGCCGCCCCAGAGGTCATCCCTGTTCTCCTTCAGCTTTTGACAAAGCAAGACGAAGACGCCACCGACGACGAGTACAATCTGTCCAGAGCCTCTTACCAATGTCTGCAACTATACTCTCAGGCTGTTCGTGCTACCATCATCGCCCCTGTTTTGCAGTTTGTCGAGACCAACCTCCGTGCCGACGACTGGCACAACCGTGATGCTGCCGTCTCCGCCTTTGGTGCCATCATGGAGGGTCCTGACGAGAAGGTCCTCGACCCCATCGTCAAGCAGGCCCTCCCTATTCTCATCACAATGATGGATGACCAGTCCCTCCAGGTCCGGGACTCCACCGCATATGCTCTGGGACGTGTTACGGAAGCTTGCTCAGAGGCTATTGACCCCCAGCAGCACCTGCCCACTCTCATCGAGTCTCTGTTCAAGGGTCTGCTCAGCAACGCCAAGATGGCCCCGTCTTGCTGCTGGGCTCTCATGAACTTGGCTGAGCGTTTCGCCGGCGATTTTGGTGTCTCTGCCAACCCCATCACTCCTCACTTTAACAACGCCGTCAGTTCACTCCTTGACATCACTGCGCGCACCGATGCCGACACCTCTGTTCGCACTGCCGCTTATGAAGTGCTCAATGTTTTTGTCCAAAACTCTGCTACTGAGAGCATGCAATCCGTTGCTTCGCTCTCTGACGTCATCATCAAGCGCCTTGAGGAAACGGTTCCCCTTCAGCAGCAGGTTGTCAGCGTCGAGGATAAGATTACTCTGGAGGAGATGCAAAATAGCCTGTGTACTGTTCTCCAGGCCATTGTTGGCCGTCTAGAGAAGGAAATCGCTCCTCAGGGAGATCGAATCATGCAGGTTCTGCTTCAGATCCTCAGCACCGTTGGCGGCAAGTCCAGCGTCCCCGAGGCGGTTTTCGCCGTCATCAGCGCTCTCTCAACTGCCATTGAGGAGGACTTCCTCAAATACATGGAGGCTTTTGCTCCCTTCCTCTACAACGCCCTTGGCAACCAAGAAGAGGCGAGTCTCTGCTCCATGGCTATCGGCCTGGTTAGCGACATTACCCGATCCCTGGGCGAGCAGAGCCAGCCCTTCTGCGACAACTTTATGAACTACCTCCTCAATAATTTGAGAGTACGTAATGTCACATCCTCACTTGACCATACCACGTTAACCAGACTGCAGAGCCAAACTCTCGGCAATCAGTTCAAGCCCGCCATCCTCCAGTGCTTTGGCGATATCGCTTCTGCCATCACCGGCCACTTTGAGACGTACCTCTCTGTGGTTGCTCAGGTCCTCGAGCAGGCCGCCACCGTTACAGCTACTCCCGATGGTCCCTACGAGATGTTTGACTACGTCATCTCTCTCCGTGAGGGTATCACTGACGCTTGGGGCGGCATCATTGGTGCCATGAAGTCGAGCAACAAGAGTAAGTCGGGAGTCCAAATTTGTCTCAGCCGATATACTAAAATCTTTTAGCGCAAGCCCTTCAACAATACGTGCCCGCCATCTTCCAGCTTCTTGGTGTAATTGCTAGCGACTCTACCAAGAGCGAAGGTCTGCTGCGCTCTTGCATGGGCGTTATTGGGTATGTTTTTTTTTTTTTTCATAAAGCCTCGGCGACATGATGATGAGACTGACATGGACAGCGATCTTGCCGACGCCTACCCCAACGGCGAGCTGGTGGACGCTTTCCGCCAAAGCTGGCTCACCGGTATGATCAAGGAGACCAAGACCAACCGCGACTTTTCTGCCCGCACCATTGAGACTGCTCGCTGGGCTCGTGAGCAAGTCAAGCGCCAGCTTGCTGGTGGTCAGAATGCCATGACCTCCTAATTTGCTACCATAGTCGCTCTCCGATGCCCAATATCACGGCAAACCCCTTCTCTCTCCCCCATTTCACATCACTGCATAGCCCACGATCGCCACGCCTTTCACGTGTATATAGACCCCGATGACACAACATTTACCTTCAAGCAATACCCCTTGTTCACGACGCATCACCAATACCTCATTACCTGTCACGTCATTAGAATCTTTATTCTTTTTCCCAATATAACACAAATTTCCCCCTCGTCAACCTCCCCCTTTTTTTTATTATCATTTATCTGTGTTCTCAGTGCAACAGTCTGCATTTTCGACGGAATAGAGATGGTTCATGTATGTCTGTCCCCAGTTTCTCTGTGACTGGGCAGTCAATTTCAAAAGTCATGTAGAGAAGGATATCAAAACATTTTTTTACGGGAGTACTGGCGGCTGGACAATTTCCGTATCTTATTTTTTGGTCTCCTTTTTTTAATGTTGATGGTTAAACTCACAAGAGCTCCATTATGTCTTTTTGTCTTCTTTTCACTCCATAGTTCTTTATGCCAATCCCCCTTATTTCATTGGTCCTTTGATCTGTCGTTGTTGCTGATGGTATGAGCAAATCGTAAACTGGCTGTTAGCCAAGCAGAATGAGAAGACCAAGTGCACTCTGCATTGCCAAGCTTAAAGGAAAAATTCGTAAATGAGGCGAGTAGAGCAAGAATCCAGGCAAAAAGGCAACAACAGTAGCAGATTTTTAAGGATTAAGACCTAGATGATCAAGTGAATCTCCACAATCACCGTTGAATTCCGGGCTCGTGATTTGAAAGGCGCACATCAAAGACGCTATATATAATTTGTCATCTGAAAGCAGTCAGTCACCAGACATCCGTAGATGCCGGCAGCCAGTACATAGAAGGAGTTGGTTTTCACTAGCATTGCAGTGACTTTTCAGGAAACGCATGACTTTGAGGGAGAGACGTAATTCTCAGGAAGAGTGCTTTCAAGGAGAATAATTCAACTTCATTATTATACGACTTCCTATACTGAAAAAATTAAGCAAATACATGTTCATATACGCTGTGACTGAAACCAAGGCTGTGTAAATGTCAAGAAATGAAACCAGCGCCCCCTGCTCCTAGCAGATGTAATATTACGCTCTAGGCCAAAGAAGAAAAAACAAAGAAACAAAGAGAATAAAAACAATGCAAGACTTCGTGAGAAAACCCTACATTGTGTGATTAGGCATCTTTCATACCAACAATGACTGTTTCAAAGGGTTGGCTTGATTCGGGCCTAAGTAGTCGTATCCATCAACTGATCGTATACGCCGGGCGTGTACGTGTAAATGTTGGTCGGCTGCCATTGATCAAATGGCAGGCTGGTGTGCGGATCGTGTTCGCCGTCAAACTGGAAGAGCAGCTCATTCTCGAACCCATCCAATAGCGGCGGCTGATGCGACGAGAGGCCTGGGATGACCTGGCCTAGCATAAGAGTATTCGCCATGTACCCCTGCGATTGCTGCTGGGGTGGCAAGGTGGCAAAGCTTGGAATCAGCATGGTGACCGCATCGGACTGCTGCTGCTGCTGCTGCCGCTGCTGCCGGCGACCGAGGTGGGCGGGGACAGGAGACGGTGCTGCAACGCCGGCGAGCGGCCAGCGCGGAGCCATGTCCGTAGTATTCGATAGCTGGTGATTGGCTTGCACGGTGTTGCTGTCGGCTGGATTGGTCACGCCTCGTAAAATGGGGACTTGATTGTGATGATGCGGACCGCTGAATTGAAGCGGAGCAGGATGCGTGTCTGGCCGTGATTGCAGTGATTGGCTCGTTTGGTACTGGCTGAGGTAGGAGCGGTTGTGCGGCGGTTGGAATTGCTGTATCGGTGACGACTGTGGTTGGTTCATCTGGTTTGCGTAGTGAAGGTTGGTTTGGGGCTGTCCGTGGGTGCTTGGACCTAGAGGGCTTTGAATAGGATCATGGCGAGGCGCACCCATCAGGTTAGACGTTGCAGAGCCCGGCTGCGTGCCAGGCACAGGCAGTGCTCTATCTGGCATGGCTGCAACTGCAGCCACTGATTCGGCGGATTTCGAGATGGGTGGCGGCAGAGGATGGATGGCTCGCGGAATGGGGTCCTTGCCATCATCCATGCTGCCCTCAGTTGTAAGTAGCGTCAACTTCGGATCGCGGGAGAACTTTTCCAGAGATTCTGCCCAGCGAGATGCCAATGGCCAGACTTCCTTGCTTTCGTTGAGAATACTAATCGTTCTTTTGAGCATATCGGGGCCCCTTTGAGCTATAGAGACGTCAGGGCAGATGTCTGGGTATTTGCACAAGTAGGTCGAAAAAAGGCCGCAGCTGTAGACGCAGAAAGAGGCTATTTGGGCGCCAACACTTTCATCCGGTGTTCGATCTGTGAATTGGGCCTCGATTTGTTCATAGAGCAACCGAACATTTCGAAACAAGTCTAGAGACAGGTTTGAGAAGAACGGCTGCTGTCGCGTTTGTTTGCTCCCTATCAATTCCACAAGATAGGGCCGACGAAGTACAATGTTGCACAGCCTCGTCATCATGGTGACGCAGAGGTAAGCCAGGTCCTCGCCCACGGTTTTGTATTGTCGTAGTAGCTCGTGACTGAATAAATGGTTGGGTGGTAGCGACTCTTCCCAGTCTTTCAAGGTTGTCGCCATTTTCGCAAACTCACTTTTGGGATCCCACGGAGTCGAACTACGAGTTTCATGCACAGTGCTTCGACCGACAGTTCTCCAAAGGTTATGTATTTGCATGAGAGTGGCGAAGAGGGACCGATTTCTGTCAGAGATGAGGGCGGGATTCTCCTTGGCGGGCTGCGTCCCGGCCAATGCGGCGCGCGAGGCTGGCTGAACACCATTTGCAAAGTCATCCTCGTCACAAGGAAGTAAAGTGGTGATGTCGGCAGCAGATAAGGCTACTGGCGAAACTGGACCAGAGTGCAGATTGTCCTGGCTGTGGAGCATCCAGATCGTGCGACGGGCTGACTCGGCCACCATGATTGCTTCTCGGGTCGGATTGTTAAGTTTATATGTCTCTTCTCGATGCAGCATCATGAGTGTAGCCATGCGAATCGCAACGCCCATGTTCATCTGTGTCGCATCAGCATCAGGCGTCAACCAAAGGCATTAGAGTTTCTAACATAGCTATTGTTCCTCAACCCGCTCCCATGCTGGGCAATGCTGAGCAGATAAAAGGCCTGGCACAGTTCCAGCGAAGGCTCGGCATATACCTGTGCGAGGGCTATCCTAGAGGCACGCTCCATGAAGAATTCGGCAGCCTTGACGCCGCTGCCGTATCTGACGGATAACGCTGGTGTCATTCGGGCGGAGACGCTCAGGATGCTCAGCAAGAGGAACAAGTTACACGAGTGAGGGCTCATGCGCAGCTTTTCAGGGTATTGCCTCTTGGGGAGAAAGCCAAGCTGAAAGTAATAACGTGTGAAGCGATTGACACCATCGACGAGCTCATCTAGGGGAGGCAGGCCGTCCCACGAGTCGGCGGGCGGCTCTTCTGGACGCGTTGCTTTTACAGCGGCCCCCTTGGGCCTTTCGGCTCTCGTACGAGGGTGCCGATAGTCCCGGTCAAGGTCAGGTTGGCCGCGAGATGGGAACTCGCTGTGGCAGGTGGGGTTATATCAGCATGTGCTATTTTTCTTGGCCATGGTATACGTCAATGCGTCTTACCACTCGGTTGCAGTTTCTGGGCCGCTTTCTCGGCATGATTTACAAGGGGGTTTCCCCTTATCATGAATGCATTTCCTCCTCAGGCGACGGCAACTGTGCACGGATAGAGCGATTAGCAGGCGACACAAGGTCGCAACGGTCTCGGCAGTGGACTTTAGTAGCTAGACTTACGCGCGACAAGCGATAGCGGCTCTTCGTTTGATGGCCGTCTTTGAGGGCGCAGCGGACACAGCGGGCAGCTGAGTAGACGTCGATGGACTGGCAGAAACATGGGCAGTCGGTGATGTGGACGCAACGGATGAGGCAGCGGTCGAACCCAACGCGGAGCCAGCATATGAAGAGGTATTGGCGCCGGGATCCATCACGATGGGCGACTGGGACGCCTTGACGACGTTTCAAGGCCCGCAGATGGTTCCCTTAACCCTCCGAATCCAAGCGTGTTAATGATGATGGATATTGCCGGAGGATTCACCAGCAAGGCTAACTGTGGTTCCTTGGTGTTGTTTGTTGGTGGTTGGGAGGGGCGCGGAGATTTGCCTGCCGGAGCCTGGCGACGGTAATACCGAACAGAGCTGCCTGGCAAATAGACAAGGGCCGACTTTAGCTGCCTTGCTGCCCCTCTAATTACGAAAGGGCTTGTCAGGTTAGGCAGGGTCCTTGGGGGCTGTTCTGGCGGCAGGCAACGGTCGGCTCAGCTGGATCGCACAGATGGTGTGGCGGCTTAGAGGAAGATCTACCCGATGGCGCCGTTTGAGACCAACAAGGGAAAAAAGGAAATGTGCGACAAGACGTTTTTTTTTTCACAGTCAGCGAACGGTTTCAATTTTGAAAATAACCTCTCGATAAGAATTGCAACCCTGCCCCATCGTCCGGCGACCGGGAACCACTGCCAGGGCTCTCGCAAGGTGAGAATGTCACGTGAGCTGCACGTTTGTGACGAACGGACGAGCGAGAACCGGCTGCTGCTGTTTTGCTGATTCACCATTTCCGATCTCCGCCAACCTACCGTGCTGATCACCACCACTCGCATCCACTGCCCAGGTAGCCCTGGGAGCACCACTTGTTTCACATATCAAGCTTCCTTGCAAATCTGTCTATCAAATTGCCTGTGTCGATCAATATCGCCAGCGCGAGTCAGCTCTTTGCACAGATGTAACGTCTGACACAACGGCCACGGACTGGACCAACTTGTCGGCCGCTCGCGATACCCTGCACCAGAGCAACACGCGAAACTCAATCGCACGAGAGCTTTGACTGACGCGACAAGAACGTGATCAGACTACTATCACTTCCAAAATGCCGTTAATAACCACTGAATCAGATCTTTGCAACCACCTGCCCCCGCCAGCATTGAAGACAAAAGGACCACCGACACAGCGGCATATGCCGCTGTGCTCGCGAGTATCTCTGTCCTCGCGTTCATCAAAAGGCCAGTGCTAACTGCAAAGAGAATTATAAAAGCGACAATGGCGCATGGTTGCGCATTTTCCACGTTTCAAGAGCCCATTGACCCCGGCTAAGAGGATGGCTGCAATGACCGTGTTGTCAGTCGCCGCGACCCATGTGACGTGACGTGGCTTTCATCATCATTCGCGTCTTCTTCGTTGGTAGAGGCTTCAACAAGGAAAGATGCGATAGGTTGCAGTGTACCTTGAACATCCAATAGACTTTCACCACCTCTCGGATTTCTTCCTCTGCTCTCGTCCGATCATGCTCAAAACGGTCCGTATGTTTGGCATTTTCTTCAACAGCTTCCAGACAAGTATGGAACGGATCGTCTCATTGTTTGGCCTTATTAATGCCGCCTGATCCTCTTCCTTTTGTAGCTTCGACTCCATATAGGCGAGCCAGGCCTCTCGATGCAGCAAGCACTAATCCGGTCGAATTTGCGAAAGAAAAAGGTTTTATAGTCCTGCATCGCGCATCTTGCGAGCCAGATGCCGAAAGTCTGCCCTTTCCTGTGCCATTGCCGGCGTTCGTTTACCCCGACTGTGGCTCCTGTGCTCCTAGTAGGTGAATAATTATTCGTTACAGCGTTACAACCGATTGCGGCCTTGTTTCAATAGCTTACTCATGCGACGATGTGATCTGAAGGACATCTTCTCCGAAATGCGGATCATATTCGCGGGCAACTCCTATATTAACCAATGGATGCCACAAGGCTATCAAAGCCCATCTGCCCACCAGGCGCTCTGCTGCCTACTCAACCTCCTAGACAACGCCTTTGTACAAGGCGCATTTCAGCTCGTTGCTGCCCAACCACACACTTCTACCACGCCTGACCGCTCATCAGCCGCAGCGGTCAAATGCAATATTCCGCCACATTTCAAGCCTCTTTGTTGATACAATCGTACAAGCCACTCACTCTCATGCCGTTTTCAGACCTCATTTCACGCATAACATATATGCCTTGGACCCCTTTTTTGACATTCTCAGCAATGTGATCACGATGCCAAGTACGGCCGGCTCAATCGAGCAGAATAGCACTCGCCCATAATTGGCAGTCGGCTGCGGTTAGAGTTACTGCTGACAGACGGAACTACGATGCCATCAGCTTGAACTCTGCTCACACGGCATACTAGGAAATGTCGAGTCCACCTGCCCTTGACCCGACACCCATGGCCCAAGTGGACGACCCGAGCAATAGGGACATCTCACATAGCAACGCCATTGTGGTAGAGACGGGCACTTACTCGGCAGTGGACGAGATGGAACTGTGTATGGTTCGGGGCTCGCCCCGTACAGGAATGCATCTATTCAGCCAAACGCTTTAGGATGATTCGCGGTTGCGCTGACCAACTCCCCTTCTTATCGTTTCTCATCGGCTTGGTTCAGGAGATAAAACACCCTAGCATCACACCGCAGAACGCGGTTTCGGCATCATATCCCTCAAGATTCGCGGATTGCTTGATAGTGTTATAGTCGGGGCACTCCCAGACTGGGGCTCCATAGTCAACGTAGTCTCTGAATCTTTGCGAGCGACACAACCTTGACATCGATACCGCCGACACGATAGCAATCACTATTCTTAGTGGCACTGCCGCCGAAAGCATCGGCTGAGTTGTCATTTATCTCAAGTTCAAGGCTAAAAATGGTACATTTTCCTGGAAACTTCATTTGGTCCACGAAAACAAAAATAGCGTGATTCTAGTAAAGATTTCTTGACCAGACCAAGACTCTCACACAGAATTCTTGACGCAATAAATATACTGTCCGTCCATAAGTTTAGAGAGGCAGGCATCCTTTTGCATAGATGAGGCTCCAAGGTAACGCATTCGCTCTCCTGGTTCAGCCGGCGGCGCAAGTGGGCGCACAACGACACACACAGTACTCCGTTGTGCGTAACACTATCTGACGTATCTGAGGCGACGCAAAAACGGCGTAGTGAGGAAGGGTCGAGTAGCTGTTCAAAGGGAACTTACCGACAATGACCTCTGAGAACCGAAAATCACGCAGAGAAACCAGAAATAGCTGTGGATAGCGTCGTGGCCGGATCCCCCAAGACCCGTCGAACAAAGAAACGAGGCGCAAAAAGGGGCAAATCCAGACCGCTGCCGACTCCCGCTCCTTCAGCCGACCCGAGCCTCGGAAAAGCAACCATCTCAATACTTCCACTAGCCAGTCTTTTATTGGCAGCTTGAAAGAAGAACTTGGCACTCGACAAGATGAGTTCATGGACGGCGAGGCTAGCTATATCCAGGAGAACAGTGTTATTTGTATATAATCAGTCTCGTCATTGCCATGTGTCATAGAAGTAAAGATAGTACGTCTATATCAGGTTTTTATTGCCTTGCTTTTGCCGCGAATACTCGCATGTTCTCTTGATAAAATCTATGCCGATGTCATGACACTCTTCAGTCTGTGGAAACTTGATCAGTAATTGCTCAAAAAATTTCGGTGTCACGATCACATACCTTCTGATGCCCTCAGTCACCATGTCTGGATCTTGTGTATACACCAGCCTGAACCAGCCCGGCTTGTTTGCGTGCTCCTCCGTAGGGTGCACAAACACGCCGGCCGCCAGTGCCTTTTTCGCCAGCGCAAACTCGGCATTATCCTCGCCGTCTAGCTCCGCCGGCAAATGTGCACTCAAGTCAATCCACAGAAACAAGCCCGCGTTGGAACCTCCGAGGTACAGAATGCCTGCGTTGCGCAGCTCCGCGGTGACGTGCGCGTGCGCCTCCTTGATGCGGCCGCGCATCGCGTCAATGTAGGCGCGGCACCAGACACGGTCCTCGAGCATCAGACAGGCCATGCGAAGAATGGGCCCGGCCGGCTTGTGGAAGCGCATGAGGCTGTCGAGGGCGTGCAGGACGGGCTGGCTGCGGGAGACGAGGGCGCCGAGCTTCATACCGCCCGAGGCAAAGTCCTTGGCAAAGCCGTACTCGACGTGGAGAAGGTCGGCGTCGAGGAGACCACGCGGGTCGATGGAGAGCAGCGAGGTAAAGGGCACGGCGGCTGGGTCGTCGGAGGGGAAGACGGAGCAGGCGTAGACTTCATCACTGATGAGATGAATCTGGTGGCGCTGGCAGAGCTTCATGAGCTCCACGAGCGTGTCGCGGTGATAGCATTGACCTGTAGGAGTTAGACTCAGTCTTCTTTTGTAAGAATGGAGCTGGAATGACCTTACCGAGAGGGTTGTTAGGGTTGACGATGAGGATGGCCCGCACCTTGATGCCAGATGCCGCGGCGTCGGCGAGCGCCTCTTCGTACTTTTCAATTGCGCTCACCTGCAGGCACGTTTCGGCATCAGTGTCGGCGTACAGGACCCGGATCTGCTCGCGGTTGCCAAAGTCGAGCTCGAAGCGTCCGTAAATGGGGCGGTTGAGCAAGATGGCGTCGCCCGGGTCCGCCACGGCCCATGCTAGCATGTCGTGCAGCGCGCTGCACGAGCTGGTCGCGCGAACGTGCGCTGGCTCAATGGGGAGGCATGGCTGCAGGTACTCTGTGAGGTGCACGGCCAGTGCCTTGGGGAAGCGTTCCGAGTTGCCGTAGTTGAAGTCGTCGACCTCGAACGTGACCTGGGCCTCGGTGAGCGAGTGGCGTTTGCACACCGACTTCTTGTTTGCGACTTACATTGCGGTTGACGAAATCGCACACCTCTGGAACAACAAGTTTCTATGTTTGATGATAAGTACATGTTTCAATTTTTTGGCAAATTTTTCTTTCAGCAAGGGTTCTCACGCACATTTTCGGCCAATGCAAAAGAAATCACACCGTCTGGGTTCGTGTCCTTGTCGTAGGTCTGTCTCGTGGCAAACTTCCAAGAAGCGCTCAGAAACTCGGCGGTAACCTGCGCCCGCGCAGAGGTTCGGGCAGCCATTTTTGATATCGAGATGAAGTAGAGCGTGACAAGATGGTGAATAGTTTGAGTTGTTCATTGCAAAAGGCTGACCGTGATTTCTCTTGTAGGTCAAAGGGCCCAACAGAAGTGGGGGAGATGGGCAGCAAGGCTGCCAATGGAGCGCAATGACTGGACGACTCAGGCAGTCTTTGAGGGTATTTGAGGGATATATTGTACTGAAAATATGCAATAAAGAATGAAATTTTACTGTCACATCTGCAGACATTCTGCACGCTGCTGACGTTGTCATGTAGCTTGACGGCCGGTGAGGCGATACCGAGACCATGCACCGTGATGTCCCGGCCTGACCCACCTCGACTATCTAATGAAATCCTTCCTCAATTAAGGCTAAAAGCCAGTGGGTGTTGTAATATGCATAGCATTATGCAGTCATTCCCGGCACCTGCGGGGTATATGCGGCTAGCTGGTGGCGGGATCTTCCATTGGCGGCAAGGCTCTGATATAGCTGGGGTCAGAGGCGAGGTTATTTCTCAGCTTGAAGAGCGATCGCCGACTGGAAGTTGTTGAGTAAAGAGACCATTGATGCCAATGGGTAGTCGTATATCAGCAGAAGTACACTCGGTCTTATCGAATAACGTATCGTCACGGGTCTCAACTGCTTGCTGTTGGCCGGTTGCATGACCTAAAAAGGGATCTGCCAGCTGGCAAACACTCGATCACCCACCGGCAGAAAATTACAAACGGCGCGTTTAAAACGCGTGATCAAATCTCATTTCATTATACGTGTTCGACATGGTACGCGTTGGCGAATCGACGATGTCTTCATCATCTTCAAACGCCGCCGCTTCACTTCTGCCCAAACCATGCGATACCTCTAGGCGCCGACACATGCATCGCCAGCCTGTCTCTTTACCTTTTATCTTTTACTAACAAAATGTTTTACAGTAATCAAAGTGCGTATGGACTTATACAACCTTTGCACACATCCTCTGTGCGAGCTGACACTCCTCAGTTTTAACCAGCACGCAATATGGCGTTTCCACGGTTTGGTATGCACATATCCAAAACGAGCAACCGCTCCAACACGACTAACACGACGCAAGGCTCATCGCCACCGTGGGAAAGTCGAACCAAAAGCGCGTCACGAAGAGGGCTATCCAAGATGTTAATGTACCTCGCGCCTGTGGCAAGATCCTCGACCCCGGCGCGCCGCTGGCCCTGCGTCTTCAGGGAAACCTCTTGTACGGCGTCTCGAGAGTCTTTGCCGACCAGTGCGGCTACCTGCTCTCCGATACGGAAAAGACACAGAATGATATGATGACTTTTTTCCGCGCCATCAAGTCAAGCCACCTCGATCTTCCAGATCCCAAGACCAAGTAAGCTTCGTGAACAACTAGCCACCACATTCCCTGTTTCGGTGCCAACCTTTTGCCTCGTTCTTTATAGACGTGTGAACATTACATTGCAGGACGATCCCAATTTTGACCCTATGAGCCAGCTTCCGCCGCTGGATCTCGCCGTCATTGACACGGAATGGCTGGCCATCCCCAGCCAAGGCTCTGCGACCAAGCTCTCGCAAATGTCTCCCCTTCAGGCTTACACGAGCCGACGCGGCTCCATGAACCGCCACACCTCGCTCATCAATCTCGAGCTTTCCCCGTCTTCCCACTCACCCGGGAGTTACCGGATGCCTGCTCATCTCGGCCAGAGCAGCTCCCCCTACGCCAAACTGGGCCCCTTTGACGATATGCCCGAGTTCCTCCAATCCCAAGTAGACGAGTTTGACGCAATTGTCGGCATCGGTCTCAACTTTGACGGCGACGGTAACCTAGTCGAGGAAGAGCCGGAGCTGCCCCCCTTCTTTGGCGACATGCCCTCCAACGTCTCCATGCCCGCCTCTGGCGCGCAGCCTCAGCCTCTGGAGGACATTTTCCTCATGGGCGAGGAGCAGGCACTTCCTGACGCGGAAGCCTTTCCCGCACCAGTCGCTACTCCCGCCAACAGGAGCAACAATAGGGTGGTCGTCTCTGAAGAAAACGAAACCGTCACAACGTCAGAAGTGGTGCAGGCAGCGGCACCTGCCAAACGCCGGCGCGTGGCCCGCCGCGTCCCCATGGTCGACGAGGAGACGGCTTTGCCGCGCAGCCAGCAAAAGCACTGGTTAAGCCACTACGTCGACATCATGGCCGACGCGGCCAGACCCCGCGGCGGCACCGGCGCCCCCGCGCAGGCCCGCAGGAACGCGCTCGCCTTTGTCCTGCACAACGGCCTCGCCAACGTCGGTCTCGTAGCCCGCGTGACCGGCGTCACTCATCCCCTCGCTTCCGCCTTTAGCGGCTGGAACGTGCTCTCGCAGCTGCACCCGGACGCGTTCGGCCAGCCCGAGCCCGAAACGCCGCGCCGGTCGTCTCGCCGCCGCAAGTCCGAGGAGGCGTTTGACGAGGACAACGAGGCCGAGAATCAGCGCAACGTGCGTCCCCGTCATGATAATCTCGACGATGCCGCCGCCGAGAGGGGCCGTGGCCAGTACACGGAGGGAATGCTGCCGCCGCCACCGCTGCCGCCCAGCCAACAAGACAACTCGTATGTTGAAATGGGCATGGACGCGCTCCCGCCCATGGACGACCACCACTCGTCGTCGCTCATGCCCTGGAGCCGGCCGGGCTCCGCCGCGCCGGGCTCGTCCGTCCGCGGCGCGCCGACGCAGCCCGGCAGCGCGCAGAAGCTAGGCCCCGCGCCAAGCCCGCTGCTGCACCGGAGCACCAACCTCATCACGGACCTCGACCGCCACAGCGATCCCATCGCCGCGCCACCAGGCACGCCGTCCCACGCGGTGCTCGACCTCGCTGCCCTCGACTCCTCCCCGTCAGCCATGGACATGGACGCGGTGCTGGATTTCGCCGACGCCGCGTACGCGGGTCTCGACGCGGCCAGCCAAGCCTTTCTCGACTACGCATCCAAGCGCGCCGTCGTGCACGGAGACGAAGAGGACGACGACGAGCCTGCGGGGAGCAATCGTCGTCGGCGCTGGGTTGACTTTGAGCGCATTGCGAGCCCGCTGAAACACGACGGCGCCGTGGCGGCACAGGCTTTCTTGCATGTGCTAGCGCTGGCCACGCGCGGCGTCATTACAGTCCGCCAGGACAACAACGAGCACGGCACTGAGCCGTTTGGTGCTATTCACGTGGGTATTAATCTCTCCTTGGGCGGAGAGGAGTAAAAAGGTTTATTGTCATGGATGGGTAGCTTTTTCACCTTTGTTGTGCTTTAATTCTCTTTGGCATTTTTTACTGGCATATACACAGGGGACGTTATTGGCGTCTACGCTCGATATTTTCGACTAATTCTTGCAACTGGGAAAAACAAAACGACGGTTCCGACTGGGGTTCAACGCGATTCATGACGTGGTAAAGTCACGCAACTGGCATTTTTCTGCTCCTGGGAAAGAATACAACATGGCTCGTGGACATCAAAGAATTCACTGGGGAGATGGGAAAGGCATCAAAGAACTCTTGATTACTTGACGAAGGATGCAAATATAGCTTACGCAAGAGCATTGGTGAAACGACATTCGATCCTCGAGATCTGAGGCCAATTGTATGTCAATATAATAAATCTTCATTAATGCACACGAATCTACTTGTATGCGTGGTATATTTTAGCCGTTAAATGGATCATCGTCGTCACTCACGCCTTCGCGGTCCTCAAACACGAGGTACTCGGCATCGATTTCGCCAGCCTTGCCTGTAAGCTTCTCCCAAGCCTGGCCCACAGGCTGCAGCATGGTATCACGAAACGCCAAGTCGAGGACTGGCGCACCAAATGTTACGACGTCATCTTCCGTGGTATCTAGCGAGGGCGTTCTCGCCCCTAGTTGCTCGTACTGCAGCTTATAAACGACTTCAAGGGTTGCCGAGCCCTCTGAAGCAGCATGCAGCAGAGATGACAGGGCCGCATCCAAGATAGCCTTGGACGACGCCGTGGAAATTGTGCTCAAATAGACGATACCTAGCGCAGATGAGGTTAGCAAACGTGGTACTTCCAAATCAATGCGAAACAACAAATGGATATTGGGAGTGTCAATCAGGTTGTCAGAAGATTAATCGTCATTGTAAATCAGACAATGTAGATAAGTATTCGTAATGTGTATTCATCCGGACACTGGGAAATTTGCAGATGCGAAAAAAAAAATTGGTTGACTTACATTGACCAGAAGGGCATTCCCCCGTGTCGCTCGAGTGCACCATGGCGTAGATAGGATACTCTGACGTATGCCCACTGTCGTCCGAGACTGAGCCGGTAGGGAATGCCACCACGATGGCGGACGGGGTCGGAGACCCTTCCATCACCGCCTCGAACAGTCTTGGCAGAGCAGCGCCAATCACGGCTGTGATTCGCGTCAGACAGACACCGTCTTCAGGGACAGTTTGTGAGCTGCGAAACAACGTCTTTGCCTTCACAGCCATGCCGTTGGATAGAGATATATCCAGCCGGGTCGTCTCATCCGCACGCTTTGCAACATTTGTGATGCCCGTGCCAAGCATGTACACAGCGCCGCCGACGGCAGCAGCACGGCATCCGACCTGGCACACCTCGGACAAGCCGCCCCATTTCGGGTAGACGGCTGCGAAGCCAATGCCAAAGACACCCATGGAGCTCAGGTGGCGGCTGATGGCGACTAGTCCATCCTCGACCGTAATGTTCCCATCGAGGCTGAGGGTCAGAGTGATGATGTAGGACTGCAGTGTGGTATCCAGCTTGAACTCGGAGCCCAGGAACTCGGCGAGTGGCTTATCAGCGTGTGGCCTCCAAACCTCGCCCTGAGGCTCCGACTCGAAGTCAAGGACAAACTTGAGAAACTTCATGAGCGACCGCTTGGCTCGAACCGGGATCGCCGTGCTTGAGAAGACGTCTTCTCTGGTGGACGGAATGCGGTTGAGCGTTGGCAGCGCCTCATCTGCCGAGGCAGGCTGGAAGATGAAAAACGAACCAACGGCCTGAAACTCAATCTGCCGGAAAGCCTTGGAGGAGACAAGCTTGTTGAGAAGCTCGGACCGGGCGTGGATCAGCTGCGGCGCGAGGGCCAAGCTGTAGCCACGCGGCGACGGCACACCCTCAGCCTTGGTCACCTCGGCGGCGCGAAAGATTCCGGTCGCGTCGGGCGATGCATGCTTCTGAGCCCAGGCATCGGCTTCCTGGAGGCTAAAAGCAGCTTCGTTTTCTCCGTAGTAGCCTTCGGGGTCGACGTGGAGGATATTCTTGCCTGATCGCGAGAGAGCCCTTTACGTTCCAACACGGGGTCAGTCAGAAAATGTCAGGGTTCTCCGTAGGCGGACACCTATGCGCCTATTCGATGGAATCCAAGCTTACAGGGCAAAGAGGGACTGCTGTAACCCCGTGCCGCTGATAACTACATCCCAATCAGTGTCTGAAAGGGATTCCATGCTTGCGCAGAGCCTGCTGTGATGGAATGAGGTGGAAGAAGAAGAAGAAGAGGAGGGGGAGAAAAAAAAAGAGATTTGAAGTCGTGCAATTGATCAAGTGGGGGCGCTGCCTTAGGCGGTCGGCAGGGTGGTCCATTGTCAGGCTGCCAGGCTGCCAGCACCAGCGCGCCCACAAAGTTCTTCGCCAGTGTGGGAACTTTGCTCAGGTTTTCTTCTTCTTCTTTATCCGCTCGCCTCAAGTTATCGTCCGCGGCGTCTTCGGCCTCTGGCCCGTGGCGCCGCGATTTTACTTGAATTGAGTGGTAGAGTAAGCTGTCGGCCGGTATCTACTGCCCTAGAATAACGTCTGAAAGGGTGGTTCGAATGGTTGATACATTTCACTGCAAAAATGACACTGTGTTTTGCTGGGGCAATACAACCCGCTACAGGATGGTAAATATACCCCAAGCAAAGCGACCCGACCTTCTGTTTACGGATGGTCCTCCAATTGAGGGTATCATGCTAGTTTTTTTATTGATGCTATGCTAAATTGACATGGCATCGGCGAAGCCCTTCCACCGCTTCTCAACAAGGCCAAGTAGCTGTTTCGACCGCAGATGCTCCGGCGTCAGCACAGTGCCGCCGTGTTTTGAAATGGACAGTATCCTTGTAGCTCCTCCAGTGCAATCAGCCAGCACCGTAAGCGTCTCGTCACAGAGTGACTCTTCCAATGTATCTGGGTCGACTAGCACCCAGTACTTGCCCTCGGTCGGGCGATCGGTTTCCTTGCCGGTGAAAACGACAGCTGTGCAGGCAATGGGGAAGCCATTGACGGACAGCGGCTTGGGAGACTTTCTCGAGCAGATGACTAGTTCTCTATCCGGATCGTACCGAGCCTGCGGCAGCTTGGTATCGCGAAGGGCCGCCAGCGTGGCAGCCCAGGCAGCGTCCAACTGGTTTCCATCCAGCGAGATGAAGAAGATGTCAATGTAGAGCACCCAGTAGGCAATAACCTGGCGCTCATCGCTGAACTCATCCGCGTCTTCTGCATCCGCATCACGCATCTCGTCATCGTCAGCCGTCGTAGTGTCCGCCGTTTGTGTGTGCCATATGCGAAAGTCGGCCGCGTTGAGAAGCTTGGAGCTGTGCAGTGCCGAGTAGACTCTTGTGCTGAGCGTCTGGGCGAGCGTCGAGGGCGGGCCGCCCGGAAGATTTTGGGGAAAGGAGCCAATCGCCAGCTCAATGTTGGGGACGAGCAGGTCGTAGTCGCGCAGCTCCGACTCGGTGTTGGAGGCGCGATAGTTGGGGATATTGGTCGTCAGGATGGTCTCGGCGCGGACGCCGCAGATGGCGGTTGTGTCGCCAATGCGCACAAGCGAGCTGCCGTGAGCGTGCGAAAGCGACGAGAGATTGACTTCAGGTGTGCGAGCCTCGTCCGGAGCGCGGCCATTGCTTCGTGCGGGCGGAATGTCTTGGCTGGAGGGCTCGAGGTTGGCGAGCAGGTATGGATGCGGCGAAAGCTTCGCAAAGGTGGCGCGCGTCAGGCCAGCCTCTGCCATGATTGTGATGTGAGTTGCGGTAAAGAGGTTTCAAGGATTTGAATTACAAAGTTTCCGAGGCCGGAGTAGGGTAAAAGTAGGCGGTTCAGATACCATTCGGAATTTGGCAAACTGATTTTTGGTAGAAAACTCAAGCGTCGCTACCTCACCTGGTGGGTGGGGCCCCAGCAGTGAACCAGCAATTACCAGCCATGCGCAGCGAATACCGAAGTTGTGTGCATATGCAGAAAAAGGCACGATAAAAATGAATTGATAAAGACTCTGGAATTTTTGGAGGCTAAGAGCATCAATTTCGAATATAGATTGAGTTTTTTTATGTTCATGACAAGGCTGCAATAATTCGATGGCGAGTACCTGCCAATCCAGAAATATCGTTATAAGAATTAAGTTATATAGATACGAGGCCCATCGATGCCCATTAACGAGAAGTCATGTACTGCGTATTTTTTATGCTTTTGCATTGTCTCGTCAATCGTAAATTCAAGCTCAGACGAACCCGCACAAAATGATTTTCCACCACGGCTTCCTCTCCTGTTTAAAATATTGATGCGACTTCAGATCGACATAGTCATCTTGAGCATCCGCATCAGCACAATTGCCTTGAGCAGAAACATCCTTGTACGCAGCGATGGCGGACAGGTAGAGTGCGAAATCGCCCTTTTGCTCGTCGAAGAAACTGTCACCAAGCAAAATCGTTAGCGAAAAATTCTCCATAAAGCCATGCTTATAGGAACCTGTTCATATTCATAAAGCCCCCTCTTTTCAATTTCCGATTTCGCGTCCACGTCAAGACATACCTCCTCATCATCAACCCCAAGCGTTTGATGTTAGCCAAGTCCAACGGCTTGGCATCAGGCTTATCTCGGCCTCGATACGTCGCTTTGAACGCCTTCCACGGCAGCTTGATGTCGCCCGGCTTTTCTGCCACAAACTCGGCCTCCCAGCTGATGGAACTCGTTTCTCTGCCGTCCCTGCGCGGCGGCAGAAGCTCGTCTTTGAGCGTCAGAACATAGCGTTTGCCATCGGCCTTGTGCGGCCCCGCGATGCTGATAAGGATGCCATCATAGCTGGATAGATCGAGTGCTAGCTCACCGCGGCTATGCTGTGAGGCGAAGCCTGCGCCACCGAGCGTGGACGTGTCGAGATGGCCGTGGAAGGACGCCTGAGTCTTGTCGGCGTCAGAGACGGTGAGATACGACTGGCTTGAGCCACCACGGACGCGGTCATCGGACGTTGTCCAGAGGGCAGAATCCCATTTCCTAATGGGGAAAAGCACCGCGCAAGGCAGTGAGTCAGCTCCTTAACGTTCTTATTGATATGTGTCTAAGCATAGCAGGGCTGTGATAGTTACTGAAAGATACCCGGATGGGTGCGGCAAAGTTTCGTTTTGCGCCTGTCATGGGGGCAAACGAAGGGGAATTGTACGAAGTATGGGCCTGCACCCCGGACGGAGTTGACTTACTTTTCGCCTCCATAGAGGTAGTGAGTATGGAGAGGCATGATTCTAGTCGTGATGAATGAATTGATGTGATAGCGTTCTTGTACAGCCGATGCAGGAGTCAAGATTTGAGTTGTTGGGGGTGTAAAATAGAGCTGAAGCTTAACAGTGGCTAGTATAGCGATAGTACAGCGGAGTACAGAGGCTACTTACCTAGGTAGGTTGTATAGGTGGCGACCAATATTAAGTTAGAGCAGCGAGCAGTTACATCTCTCTAGTACCCAGTAGGTAAATATATACCTATTCGACGGAGTTTTGTCAAGCAATTAAGCTCCTACGTTAATATGCCAGACAATATCGCAGACTTGTCTTTCCCCGTTAAGAAAAACGAATTTAGGGAGTGGAAAAAGAAGGCCCGGCAGCAGATTCACCATTTACCAGCGGTGGAGAGAACTTCGTCCGATATTAACTACTAGTCTTAATCGATAGCTGGCATTCCTTGAAGGTGCTCCTGTAGCGCCCAGCCACGAATGCCAACCATGCTGTCGGTCATAGCGACGTTTCTAGATGATATCGTTGCGGCAGACACAAACACGGTTGCTGTGCCTATCCAGTTTTTTATGCGCAAGTAATCTCTTCATAAGGCAAGCATGCATCTACCGTACTTCGATGAACTGGACTAATAAATCTTGCAGAAGGCTTTTTCGTTCCCTGCAGTCAACAAGCATTTCGGCGAAGTTATTTGCCTGCTCACGCCTTGAGGCCCTGCAAGACGTTGATGCACCAACGCCACCCTGAACGGCTTCTGCTGAGTTACGAAGTATAGGCGTCCACGTAAGGGCCCACGCACGATTAATTGATGTCGGTATTTCTGCTCTACTGGCAAATTGTCGACGCCACCCCAGCCATCTATTGGTCATCATTACTTTGTGCAGGATTTGAGAGGATAACAATACGTCCTAACTTGGCTACCTCTCTGCACGCCTCATGGCTCGCTGGTTGGCTGGCAACGGGTTTCGCTATATTCTTGGCCAACTTGGGCGAATCACAGCGCCGCTATAGCCGCCCGTTTGTCTAGCTCTCACCCGCAATTTTATCGATATTCTGTCTGGAGCTTACCTCGTTTTATTGTTTGCAACAAACACCTGTTTACATCAAAGAATGGCCTAATGCATCACATCACGCAGCCCTGCCGCTTACGATAAGCATTGATTCATTGCGCATCGATATCCGGATAGTATTTCTCCACTCGTGTAAATGCATTCAGGCTGTATGTGTCTCTTTGAGCATTGGCATCGCGAGCCTTGTTTGTTGAGTGCGACATGCTACTCGAGACATGCAGTACTAACAAAAATGTAGACTGCCAAAACTTCTTCCGTACTGTACACGCCTGCGGCACTGTAACGATACCTCCTTCGAATGCGGAGATTAGCGGAAACTTGCATCACATACGCTAATGTTGGCGCCCGGGAATCGATCAACAAGCGAAACCATCTTGTGCAGGACAGCAACGTCCAAGTCTCTCTCTCTCTCTCTCTCTCTCCAAGATTTCAAGCGATGCTGATGCTGCAAAGATGGGGCAGGCTTTACACCACTCCCGTCTATCTGTACCCCGTACTACTGCTGCACATGCAAGCCTCATCACACTTTGCCCCGCGGAACCTACCATTCACCGTGTCGCACCGCTACTCGGTGTGGTGATCATCTCTGCTGGGCCCCTGCAAAGTCCAGAGAACCATGCAAATCGTCCAGCCTAGTCCCTAGTCTTGTCCAATCTCGACGCGCAACCAGTCGCTGAGTGAGCTGTCTCGGCCAGTTGCATGTCCGACGCTTTCTCAACGGAGCCATTCATGTCGCTCCCCGACCCTCGTTCTCCCTCATCATGTGCAACCTTGCAAGCCGTCCGCACGCCCCAGTGAAATTTTCATTGGCATCCGATCTAGCTCTCGTCTCCTCTGCTATGTCCACTGAATCCGCTCTGCGAGCGGTCCATTCCGTGCTCAGTTCCCCAGTCTAGCCTTGGCTTTCATATATTCTCCGTCCTCATCATAGCTAGTCGTTTTCATTCTCACGATACTCGGAGCGTCACTGAAAGTTTGACTGTCGATACCTCGTTACATGACGATATTCGTCTCGCGGCGGTCTGTGGCTGTCTCGTGCAGGCTATATTTTGTCTTTGTTGCCCTCCGCATCCAGCTACCACGCCGCCGCAATACATGATCACCTCGATCGACCAGGCTCAACTAGAGCGCCGCACTGGCAGTAACAGAACCACTTTGCGCACATCTAAAGCGCAAAGTTTCACACGGCGCACGACTATTTACTAGAATAGACGGGCCTCACGGCAAACATCGTCGGAGCCTCCGCTGGTCGAAATGGTATCATCCAGATATAGCCAAGCCGCTGCGAATGCGGTTCACGATATCATGTCCCGTCTGTCAAAACGAATCAATATACCCCTTACCCCTACAAGCCCTCCAGGGCTCGTACAGGCCAATGTTGTGGATCCTTGGTCAAAATCTGGGAAATATGGTCTTGGATGGACCTATTTCGCCCTCGCCCTCGTCTCAGCCGTCGTTGTCGTGCGCGTTTGGCACTTTTGGCAAGACAAAATTCGGCAGGCCATCTATAAACAAGAGTTGGAAAACCATTATAAGACAACATACAATGTCGACTCGGACACGTATCTCTCGGCGCTTCGAACCGGCCAGAGCGCGCAATTTCTCCCAGAAGGCCCCCATATCGGCGACAACCAATTTCGACCCAAAGCGCACTTTTCGTCGGTAGGCATCGTCAATGACACGTTGGCTCTGTTTCGATGGGTTTTCTACAGGCCCATCCCCGATATTGTCATTTTTAAATATCGCTTTACATTTTCATCTCTCGCTGTCCTGGCATGTTCCTTCATATCCGTTGTTTTTGTAACGCTCTATTGTTTTCTCCAGCAACCTCTGTACTGGCAGAGCATCCGATTCGGATCTCCGCCGCTCGCCATCAGAGCTGGCATGATCTCCGTGGCCCTGACGCCGTGGATCATTGCTACCAGCATGAAAGCCAATCTACTGACTCTTGTCATTGGCATCGGTCCAGAGAGGCTCAACGTCATGCACAGGTGGCTCAGCTACCTCTGCCTGTTCCTGGCTCTCGTTCACATGATCCCATTCTACCTTCAGCCCGTTTGGAAAGATGATGGCATGAAAGTCTTCTCCAAGCTCTTCCCCGATGGCACTGGCATCATTTACGGCACTGGTATTGCTTGCATTGTTCCTCTCATCTGGCTTTGCGCGGCATCGCTGCCCTGGATCCGCAGAATTGCCTACGAGACATTTGTCCTGTTACACATTCCCGCCGGCGTCGTCTATACTGCTTTGCTCTTCTGGCATACGAAAAACTTTCTCATGTCCTGGAACTACCTGTATGCCAGCCTTGCCATCTGGTTCGTCTGCTACATCATGCGCTTCCTTCGCCTCAACTGGGTGCGGCCCTGGCAGCTATCTTTCATGGTTGGCGATGAAGCTGCTGTTACGCTCATGGCTGAGAACTGCATCAAAGTCACGATACCCACACGGATGCGTTGGCGACCTGGCCAGTACGTATATCTACGCATGCCTGCTATCTCTGTCTTTGAGAACCATCCCTTTACAATTGCGTCCCTCTGCAGCGAGGATTTTCCCTCCGCGTATGGCGAAGACTACAGAGACTGCGTTGTCGTCTTTTGCCCCTACGGCGGCTTCACGAAAAAGCTCCTTGACACGGCGATGCAAAACGGTCCTTTCCATACCTACCGCGCCTTCTTGGACGGACCCTACGGCGGCATGCGGCGCGATCTCGCCGCATTTGATACCTGCATTCTGATTGCCGGCGGCAGCGGTATCACGTCCCTCATGTCGCAGCTGCTCAACCTCATCAAGCGTATGCGCGACGGCAAGGCTATTACGCGCAAGGTCGTCGTGGTATGGGCCATGAAGAAGATGGACTCGATGCAGTGGTTCCGCGACGAGCTGAGTCTGTGCCGCGAATCGGCGCCGCCCGAGAGCGTGACGTGCAAGTTCTTTGTCACATCGGCGGTGCGCGACCGCCACAACCTGGCCGGCGCGCAGCAGCAGATAACGGCGCCCATCAACAGCGGCGGCGGCGGCGGCGGCGCGGCGGCGCAACACAAGCGCCAGCTATCCCATCTCCTACACAATAAGCTCGACGACTTTGTCGCCGGCGTCGCATCGAAGCGCAACTCGGCCCTAATCTTGGACGAGGCCAAGGGTGATCCCGAGCGCGAGAGGGAGCTGCGCGCCGAAAACGAGGACAAGATCACGGCGCTCCCGCCGCAGAAATACCTCCAGCCGCATGCGCCCCATCACCACACGTCGCCGCCCACGCAACAGCAGCAGCAGCAGCAGCAAGACGAGACGCAGCGGCCGCTCAACGCCAACGGCTTTCCCATTGATAAGAAGCCCGACAAGGACGAGTCCGGCACGGATACTGAATTCCACTTCCCCCCTATGCAACGCGAGAACCCACCACACTTCAAATACGCCCCCGGCACACTCCACACCGACGCCGAGCACCCCGCGGCGCCTACTCCCCCGGAACTCGCGCACCTACGCACCACCAACCTACCCTCCTCCACCGAGCCCCGTCCCCGGCCGACCTCGACATTCGGGCCCCCCTCGGGCTTTGACTTTGGCTTCCCCGCTACGCCGACCGAGTTCCAGAAGAATCTCATGCGGTCCGCATTTCCCGTGCCGCACGAAATCGACGGCGGCTGGTCCCTCGAGTACGGCCGTCCCGAGCTCGGCTACATGCTGCGGCAGTGGGCCACGGGCGGCACTGACGGCCGCGGCATCCTAGGACGGCGGACGGCCGTGTTTGTCTGCGGCCCGCCGGCCATGCGCGTCGGCGTGGCGAATACGGTGGCGCAGCTGCAGGCGGAGATTTGGGGCGATGACGAGCTCGAGGAGATTTTCCTGCATACGGAGAATTATGCGCTGTAGAGAGAGGGGCGGAAAGGCGTGTCATTTTTTTATTGTTTTTCATACGTATCATTCTCAACTGTATTTATTTTCCTTCAAGGACCTTTGGGAAAATTTCTCATTAATATACCACTTTGCATGACGTGATTTTCGCTCTCTCCGCAGACCATTCATTGTACTGTACATTGCCCACGAGACCTCATCACAAAACAAATATGTCGCAAAGATGCAATGTCGCTTAATTGGATAATGATAGCAGTATGCAAATAATAGTAGAAGTATGCAAACAAAAGAAAGAACCTTAATACAAGACATATACCGACCCCCTTTGGATGCCCACTCTTACCCACGGAAGAAAAGTCAGCCCTCTCTCACTCCATGCATATCCCGACTTTTTGCATCATTCATTTCTCAACGCCACTAGTTGTCGCCCTGAAGGGGTGCAGGAGCCGCAGGGCTAAGGGTATCGGTGACGGTTGGCTGCTTGGTGCGGAGGGTGAGCGGGAAGGGATACTCGTCGGGGTCCTCCTCGGCGCTATGTCCATCAGTTAGTATATAATCACATTAATTTCCTCTTCTCACGTCGAATACACGTACGGAAGCTTCCAGGAGACATAATCCTCGGTGTTTAACCCCTCGCGACCTTCTTGCAGGCTCGCAAAGTCGCCGGGTGTCATCATGCCGGTGCGGTCCCTGGGGGATCCGGGCACGGAAAATGGGCGCGAAATCTTCTGCTCAACGCCGGGAATATAGTCCTCGTCGGCGTCGTCCTCGGGACTAAACGAGTCCGGGTAGGCGCGGCGCAGGGCGAGCTGGCGGGCCTTGACGTACTCCATGCCCATGCGCTTCCAGTCGAGCAGGTCTGAGAGGCGCTCAGTGCGGTTGCGCTGGTTGATGCGCTGGCGGCGCGACTTGCCGCAGAAGTCAAACATGTGGCCGGTGAGCTCGTTGACGGAATCGTCGACGCCCTTGGTGCGGCGGTCGACAATGTAGATGCCATAGTCGCTCGAGTTCTCAATGAGCTCCTCCATGTAGCAGCCAAAGCCGGAGAGGTTGGTGGTAATGCTAGGGACACCCATGACTGTGCATTCGGCGGGGGTGTAGCCCCAGGGCTCGTAGTAGGACGCAAAGACGCCGAGGTGGCAGCCGCGAACAAAGTCGTCGTAGTCGAGGGGCAGAACGGGGTTGGCCGAGTTGAGGAACTCGGGGTGGAAGACGACCTTGACGCGATCGGTGGGGTGGTTGAAGAGCTCGACGCGGCGAATTTGGTTGAGGACGGGGTCTTCGTGATCGTTGACCATGTTGTGGGTGACAATCGGGGGAAGGCCGTGCCTCTTCATGGCGAACAGGCGGCGGCGGAGGAGGACGCGGTCCTGGCTGGAGATGAGCTCCTTTTCGTCGGGCATGGGGTCACCCTCGTGCCACTTGAGAGAGCGCTCGAATATGCGGCGGCCGATGCTCTGCTCGATAACGTGGGTGGTGTCGCGCAGAGATTTTAAAACGGCCTGTCCCTTGAGGGCTTCAACGGTGAGCGAGGTGGTCTTGGCGGGCATGATGATGAAGGCAACGACGGTGATTTTGCTGCCGGAAGACTTGAGACGGTGGTTGAGGCGGGCGAGCGACTCAATGAACATGTCGACGCCCTTGTTGCGAAACTCGTAGCGGCCGGCAGTGAAGATGTAGATGGTGTTGTCGGGCTCAAAGTCGTAGTGCCCGTAAAAGTGCCCGCGGACAAAGTCGTGAATCTTTTCCTTGTAGACTTGATGCAGGTTCTGGAACTCGTGGACGGCGGAGAACTTTGTGACATTGAGACCGTTGGGGAGGACACCGTCGGGCTTGCGCTTGAGCAGGTGCTCCGACTCAAAGGCGGTGATGTGGGAGACAGTGGTGAAGACGTCGCAGGAGTGGGTGGCGGCGCGTTCGATGCAGTAGCGGTGGTAGATGCCGCGCTTGCCGGCCTCGGCGTCGACGTCAAAATTTTGCAGGTTATTGTAAAAGTCTACAGAGCCGGCGCAGAGGTATCGACCGAGGAGGGTTGCGTGCGTGGTGAAGATTGTGGTGACATCAATGCGGCGCTTCTTGGTGAGGGGTAGGGCGACACCAGCCAGCCACTCGTGGAAGTGGGCAATGACGGCCTTTGATTTCTCATGGCAGACAAACTGGACATATTAGTTGAGGTGTGGACAAGGGCAATAGTGCAGTAGCATACCTCTCCAAGGAACCAGGCGACGAGATAGCCAAAGACGATGGCCTCGTTCGTCTCGTCGTCACCTGGGGGCGAGGGGATGCTGGCCACGTTCCAGAGGTCGCCCTTCCAGTCGTTTAAGTAGCCATAGGCGGTCTTGGTATCGAACAGCAAGACGCGAGGGGCACCCTCGATGAGCCAGCGGCCGTACATGTAGCCAATGCCGCGGTCCTTCATGGCCTGCAGAGTATCGGCCAGCTCGGGAGTGTTGGGCTCCATCTCTTCGACCTCGACAGCGGCCTGAGAAACTGTCAGTACGCATGCGCCAAGGGGCTGGGAGGCCAGTTCTTACGGATTGGTGGTTAAGGGGGCCGATTAGGGTGTAACGGTCGCCATATTCGGCGGTGGTGACGGGCGCCTTGGACTTGATGACGGAGTAGATGCCGCCAACTGGTTATATTAGCAGGGCGATTGGCGTGGGTGGCAGGAAGCGGCGATTACCTCTGTGAGCAACCTCGGTGGCGACCTCAAAGAGGAGGTGGTTCTTGACGTCACGGGTTGGTTTATCACCGTTGGAGGCCATGGTGACGGATGGGAGCAGCCGACAAAGCTCTGGGAGGAATGGTTATGTCGAGCTAAGCCCTTGGCCTGAAGTTGGAAGAGTGAAAATGCAGCGACGGTGTATCGTCTTTGATTGGGCCGGCGGGTTTTGTAGTCGGGTCGAGGTGAGGGGACACAAGCCACGAGCAAAGTCTTTGTTCGAGTGGAGGAGCTATGTGCGGAGGCGGACGACTGTCGCGGGTGTGACGCGAGAGCAATTGGTAGGTGTGCGGCCTGTAGATGGGCAGCAAAAAAACAAAGAGAATTGCCGTCTGGTGGAAAGAGGAAATAAGAAAAAAGGCCAGACGACAGGACTGCGCAGATGGAGAGGAGAGGGCGTCGAGGCTGGGGTGAGGCAGCTGACGAGAATGGGGATGGAGGCTGGAAATCTCTAGCAAGGTCCCTGGTTGTACAATGGAGCTTGACCAATTGCAAGGCACGACCCGAGCTTATAATTTACCTTGCCACTGTCCAGCGGTAGTAGCCTTTTTCGTAGTGGCCTTTTACTCAGTGGTAGTGGTCTTTTTAGTGGCCTTGTGACTAGTGGCTCTCACCAGACGACCCAACGAACCACAATGACGCTCAAGTACCCCGATTACAGCCAATGATGGCCTGAAGCAGCCACTTATAGCGGGACCCTTTATTATGGGTCTGGGGTATCTGGCGTTTTGCAGCTCGCTGCAACCAACCATCTGCCATTTTCAACTGGACCTTGGTGCTTACTCTGGGGAATACACAAACGGAGTCCCGAGCTACTCTGTATATCTATTTAATCACTTACTTATCCTGATACCTGCGACTCCTGTTCTCGTTGCTTTCATTTCTCCTCTAGCATACATAATCATTACTCGTCAGTCATTCAGTCAGCTACATCCCGCAGACCGTTCGGTGGCGTCTACCATTCCAGCCTCTCAACCCCATTGACTCGGCCAAATTATGGCTTTGGCGTCATTTAGCTTCATTCGACTCCATCAGGCCATTCTGTTGCAACATGACCCAGCCAGCCCTCTGCTGCCAATAGTCAGGCAGCTCATACTTCTCGGCATTCACCGCTAGAAATTCTTCTCTTAAACCAGTCCTTATCCACAAACCGGCATTCTTTTCCCCGGGCTACGCTGGGGTAAGTTTCATGCTCTTGTTGGCTGCTTCTCCGCAAAACGGCCGATCACCGGAGCCAGTGGGGAGAGCGGCTAGCGCAGTGTCTCCGCCAAAGCCCCGGGCTCTCGGCGTTGGAGATTTGCCTCACCCGACTTGCTCTCGACGCCCTTGCTGTGTAGACTTTTCTTCTTGCCATTGACGGTACAAAAGTCTCTCTCACTCTTCCGTCTTTGGCGTCGGCATTCTTTTGCCTTGTGTTCAAGTGAGCAAGGGCAAGTGTACTAGTGCTGCACAACTCTCATAAATTGCTGCGCTCACACACCAACCACATTCCCCCGAAAGACCGAAGAGGAACCCAGGAAGCGAAAATATTTCTGCACGAGAACTGACATTGCAAATAACACATATCTCTTTATACGGACCCGCTCAGGTCGTGACCTCTCTCGCTCGCTCCGGACGGCTGAGATGAGAGAAGCGTAAATCGCGCCGTTCTTACATCAAACCATTCCGAGGCACACTGATGGACGGTTCAATTTCAAGAAATAGCCAGATACTCCTCATCTAACATGTCATCTAATTTTTGAACCTTTGATGCCGCCCAAGCTGTTCAACATTTGACCAGGGCTCGAAAGAGGACATAGGTTACTCATCATCATCAGTCACAAACTTGCCACACGACCGATGATGACCAGACTGCCGATTGAGCAAGTCCAAGTACTACATTTAGACTTGAAAGAGATGGTACTTGTCTTTGCCACGATGCAATGTATTGCCCGCGACCGGATAGTTGCGCTTGGGGTCATGGAACGAAAGCACTCTTCGCTCGAGTCGTCTTTCTTGCGTGTATTTGCCCTTCCGTCTTTACCATGTCAAAAATGCTTCCCGATACAGCCAAGTGCATCCGAGGACCGCATTCTACATCAAAACTCGCCTCTCTTATCAAAACTGGGTGTTCACGTCAGATCGACTATCTGAGCATGAGAAACATTGTTTCAATGGCCTACTACTAACACGTTTTGCATAATTTACAATCTCATCAAATACGCAAAACTACCAACGAAAAGTCATTATCGTCATCGATTTCGCACCATGTTTGATCCCATATCGTGCAAACATGCCCAGTGTCAGACATGAAACATGGTTTGAATCCCCACCTCATCCCGTCACCAACAGTCTACTTGCACGGCTGGTCTAATTACATGGCGAAGAGTTTTCTTTTCTACTCCCCTAACTAAATAGGTGAGTTTCATGCACAATCTCGTCTCTAGGGCAGCATCGGATTCGTTGACCGACGCAGACCTGCGATTGTACCGGCACAGTGCCCGCGAACAAGCCCGGTACATGACACTCGACAACCGGCGGCAGCCCATCGGCCGTGCGCCGGATACCTGCAGCATTGACACCGCATCGGCCATGAGTTTCTGTTCCTTTACATTCTGTCGTAGGAAATCTGTATCTCCGTGCCGGAGTAGTCCGTACTTCGTTCAGCTACCAGTATATCATACGGCGTCCCATATGCACTGCAAGCCGCAGGTGGTGCCCTGTGGCGTCTGGCGCGCCCCGCACTGCAATCTGTAGCCAGATCCCGCAAGCTCTCGAAAAGAGGAAGAAGACGGGGAAAAAAAAGAAAGCAAATCCTCCATCATCGAAAAAGAAAGCATTTCCAACATTAAAAAAAGCGATTTGTTCGAAAAATAGAATACCGCCTTTTTACGGCTAGTTTCATGGCGTCTATCACCGTACATGCGCAGCACTCCTTTTTCATCTCTCCAAATGTCCGGGGGGGGGTCATTCGCCAAAAGTCGCCGATTTCAAAACCAGCAACCAAGGGTTCGAGAGCCACGTTACCAACGATGCCTGGGTTCTGGAAATTGCACATTTGCCCTGGTCTGTACCAGATCTCCCCCAGCGCCACACGCACACTGTGCCTACCGACCAAGGGAAGAAGGGGAACGTGACGGCTGCCCATGGTAACCACCCGCCGCACGGCCCCCGGAGCCGGGAAGAAGACCTCGTTTGGTGCCCTCAATTTACTTTACCCCTGACTGGACGTTATCTTCCCATGCACATCATACCCTGCCCATGACAATGAGAGGGCTGAATAATCCCATGATCAGTTTAGCGGCATTTTAAAAGCCCATCTGGTTCAGTAATTTCGCCCTTACCCATAATAATGCCCATTTTGGGTCCAGCGAACCGGGGGTGCCTGTCCCGGCTATAATAAAGCATTTACGGATACATGTTCGTACTAGAAATTGGCATCATGAACTGAGTCTGTGCTCTCCGCTGTGGACATGGGAGTAAAATTTGAGATTAAATGGCCGCTTTGGCTGCGTGTCGACGGCTCGAGGCACAGGCGTAGAAAAAATGGTTTTCCCAAATACGGGTAGAAGATGCAAGAAATATGGAAAAGAGTCAATCGAAAAAAAAAAGAGTATCGCCAAGCGTTGACTAGATCTGGTATTCCCAAAACACATCATGTACCGAGTACACTGTAGCACAAGTGATTGAGCAGTCTCTCAAAGCGTACAGCAGAGGTTCAAAAAGCGCTCGGTATCCATCAGCTTTTGCCAAGGTGTTGAGGAACTAACCTGATACTCTTTCCAGAAAAAATAAATGACTGGTTCATTCCTCTTTCGATTTTGGAGACCCATGCACAGTATGTGCAGGGACAAGGCAGGATAGTGAGCAAGGTGAAAGGACAGCCAGTACGGATACTGGGACGGAGGACCCACGAGCCAAGAGGTGAGAACCAGCCAAGCATTGCGTACAATACAAGCAAAGCAAGACAACAAGAGCAAATAGAAAAGTCACCCAACCACGGCGCCAACAACCGCCACATCGCCAGCCGTGCCGCCGTCTCGAGGTCCACTTGTGCCTGCTTATTTTGCCTACTCGTGTATCCGTATGCAGAACATGACTCCCGGATAACCAGATGACTAGATGACCTCATTTTCCATCACTTTCTCAACGATTCAACACACCCAGTCACAAGCCAAACACTTACACATCTCACATCACCAAAATCGCTAGAGTAAAAGAGCCCATCTCCTGTTGTACGTTGGTAAAACGCATTCATGCAGAGCAGACGGGGAGCAAGGAAGCACGCAAGGAAGACAAGAAGAAGAAGGAAAAAAACCAAACAAAAGAGGTCAAAGAATAATGACGTTGGGGAAGAACGAAAATAAAAAGTTTAAAGATGAAAGACCTTTTTGTTGTCCATGTACACAGTGTTGTGTGCGTTTTGACAACAAGTGCGGTGGTAGTGGTGGTGGTGGTGGTGTTTATCGGCCAACCAACCGCTCATTCACCACAAAAGACACAGACCGCTTCGCTTTGACGCTGCCAGGCACGTGGGGGATTTGACAGCAAGCAAAAAGCTGAGCCGCAAAGAACAAGACGACAGCTGAATGACCTCATCGCTGCCTTTGTTTTTTGTCTGTGTGTCCTTGCACTTACCCTCTCTTCATTTTTAGTGTTGTAGTATTGTTTCGGCAGAAGAGAACCTACTACGGACAGGTTGAGTTGAGACGAGCATCACAACAATTCCGTTTTCAAATCTTCTTTCTTCTCTCTACTTTTTCTGTCTCGCTCCATCTTCTCTCACTTTCCCATCTCACCCGTATTGCGAATTTCCCAAAATATCCTTCCACGTGTCATGGTACAAGAATAGCCTTTTTTTACTTTTTCCTATCCTTTTTTTAACTATCTCTTGTTCCTGAATACAGTGGGGGTTTCAACAGCTTCTCACTAGCCGATGCAGCACTTGTCTCGGAAACAGGAAAACAAGAAGAAAAAAAATTCACATCAAACAATTCACAATTAAAAGAGCACATTTGCTAATATTACTTTTGACTTGACAAACTCTGCACAAAAGAAAGAGAGAGAAAAGAAAAATTTCAAGATTGTAAACCGTCACGGGGTTTATTGGCGCCCGTTACGAACAACCACGCGCACTTGCCAAGGTGTACCCCGCCAAGGCTTGCATACACGGACGGCGCTGGACCGCATGAGCCGCCTTGCATAAAAGAAGAAGAAAAGAAATACGAACTTTGTGCCCTAGTCGTCGTCCCTTCCAACGGCAACACCGCTTGCCAAGACGCCGTCATTGAGTTTGGACAAGTCAAGAATAAAAAAAAATTTCATCGTCAAAGGATGCTCAGCAGAATCTGCGCACACTGTGTGTGTTGCCCAACCTGTACATACATGTGCGTCGAGGGTTGCATCCTTGCATATGTACTCCAGCCTCCAGGGTCCTCTTCTCTTTACGTATATACTTTATTCAATCCATTTCTCTGACTCTTCCATTCACTCACTAGTCATGGTTCATTTCTAGTTCAATTAGCGACCGTTATTCCTTTGAATATATAGCAGACGAACCCCCCCACCACGGCGTATACTAACTACGAATAGCAAGACTTGGCCGAGACAGGGCCTCCTAAATTAACCCAAGATCTAGAAAACACATGTTTTCTTATTAATGTAAAACACTGTATTACTCGCGACGTATACTCAATCCTCTCTGCCCTCGCCACTGAGGCTCCCACTGCGCTGTCGGCGGTAAATAGGAACCCATGCATACCTACGCAGCTGGTCATGCGGTCAGTGCGCCGTAATAATGGACGCTCCGCAGACGTCATCGGGCCCCTTTTTCAGCTTCCCTCGCCTATCACGGAGCCTTTACGGATACTGTGCAAGGGCACAAGAACAATTCAGTAATCCATTCATTTGTCGTGCTCCGAGTAATTCAAATCAAAAGTGCACGTCAAACAACACTGCAGCAATTCAGAAGCAGGTCAAGGTAAGGTCGCAGTCGCGAGTCAATTCAAATCTATTGATTCATAGGCCCCAAAGCGGGTCACCTCAACAAAACGCCTGGCCTCCTCAGAGGCACCGTTTCCTGCTAGTCATTCTTGTTAAACAAATAAAACATCAATAATGAAAACGCCTCCCAAACTACATGGTCCGAGTCCGAAGCCTTGCATAATTCCTCGTGCTTGATTTCCGTGTTCCCCGCGCTGTGCTGTCCTGTGTGCCCTTATGCGCCAAACAACAGGTGTAATAGAGTGAATGAGTGTAAAGAAATAGTAGCCAGCGCCATGCTGACGACTGCCTTGATTAATGAGATAATCTCGGCGACAGCACCATCCCACAGCATGACAATCGCTTATACGCGGATGCTCATTCGTCGGCCTAGCGAAAAGCTGCGGAGGCCATTCTTGGCGCTGTTTGGTGATGTAGGCGTGGTAGGTGCGGGCGCGACCTGCTGAGAATTCTTCTTGGCCGTCGTCATGATATTATGGTACTTGCTGGGCCCGCCCGACTTGGGCGATGCAGACTCGTCCTCCACCTGCTCTTCTGTTGACTCCTCGCCAACCTGCTCCATGTGGACAAGCTCGTTTTCGCGGGGGGCACTGCTCAGGGTAGGGCGGCTGCGCTTCTTGACCAGGCTGTTAAAAGCGCGGGAAAACATGGCGGTTGGTGTCTTGGGCGTCTTCAGGCTTTCAGTGTCGTCCCTGTCAGACTTGCCAGCCGCAAACGGGTCGACGTGGAGGAACTTGGGGCGGCGCTTGTCTATACTAGTGATTATGCTGCTGGAGCGAGGCGGGTGGTCAAGGCTAGAGGTGGCAGAGGATGTGGAAGAGGAGCTGGAGCGCATGCGACCCAGAGAGGGCACTGTCGAGGTAGGGCGTAGGGCGGCATCGTTCGAGGGGCGGGGGCGGAGTGAGGTGAGCGAGGTGCTGCGGCCGGTGAGGTTGATGACCGAAGGTTTGCCAGAGAAGATGACGGAGACTACGCGAGCAAACTCGCCGTGTGTCACGCGGCCGTCGAGCGACTCTTCGCTGTCTGAGTCGAACGAGTCGAGGTCCGAGAGGTCGTCGGCCGAGGACGATCCGTCTTCCTCTGACGACAGGTATACCAGGTGAGGCGCTGCGTGTGTGAGGACGGTACGGTCTTCGGGGAGCTTTTGCGGCAGCGTAGCGAGGAGTCGCGAGGCTCGTAAAGCGCTCTTTTGGGGGAGAGCCGGAGCCTCAAGGCCGGCAGACGCAAAGGGCTCGCTCTTGGTGGAGTGTATTGACAGCATATCGTCGGAGATGTCGTCGAGAGCAGGACTGCTGGCGGCGGCGGCTGTGGTGGTGGCTGTTTGTTCAACCGACAGGGAGAGCGAGCGTGGACGAGGCGAGCTGCAAGAGGGCGAGTTATAAGTCGACTGGAGCTCAGTCGCGGTGTCGTGGTCTGGAATGGAGGCGGCGGGGAGGGTGGCAGGGTGTGGCGGCTCGACGAGAGGCATGTTGATGTTGAAGCCGCGGGGCGGAGAAGAGCGGCTAGTCTTTGTCTAATTATGGTGTGGTGTAGAGAAAGGTGAGAGGCCAGACACAGTTTCTCGTGCAACGGGTCCTAGTACACCGGTTGGTGATGCAGGTACATCCGTGTGTAAACGGCTGCCAAAGCTGGCGAGACGCGAAGTAAATGGAGTAAAACGATAGGATGCCGTGCTATGTTTATGGCTCCGCAACGACTTTTGGAATGGCAGTGAGCTGACTTTCGAGTGGTCCAGGTCGAATTGTCGTGTTGAACGGTAGGAGCGATTCAAGGGGGAGGGGGGTGTAATTGAACGACTAAAGAAGGAAAGGAATGTCGACGTGTAGAATCGAGAACAAGGCAGACGCCAAATAAAGGTCCAGCCAAGTAGTGAAGAAGATTACAATAAGTAAAGTAGAGGCGCTTGCAAGGAATGCAAGTGGTTGAGAATGGCCAAGATAAAAAAAGAAGAATACCAGAGCAAAGGTCGAGGGCTGGGGGTAGGTGTGACCAGCCGGGAGGGTGGGCTGTATATCAATTCGGTAGATGTGCAAGTTCCACCGCTTTGGTATGTGCGTTTGGTGGTGCAAGGACCGTGCGAGATGCGGCGAGAGAGCACTGTGTACTTGCGGGGCTGATTGTGTGCCAGTCGGGGAGGGCCCCCTGGTCCTGGCCCTGGCCCTGGCTCCTACGAGCTGCAGACTAATAAACTGCTCCATAGGTAGGGAGTTTTTATGGTGGGGGTGATTTTGAATAAATGAATGCAATAAAATAAAAAGAATAAAACGATCGGAAAAACGACAGTAAATTGCTGCCCAGTCCCAGCGACAGGCAAAGTGTCAAGCTTCCCTTGGCAGCTCCTCCCTCTGTGGATTACTACAGAACATAGAGGGGGCTCATCATCACCAAACAGCGGCCATCCACCCATTCCCGATAGCCATGCCCGATACCCAATTCACCCAGCAATCCATTCCACATCTTGCTCATCGTCGCAGACTCTGTCACAGCTGCACCTCGTAAACTTTTTACACCCGTCGCAGACTTGCTTCATCATCAGCTGCATCCCATCAATCCCCGTGGTCGCCCTTTTGTTCCTTGATTTCTTCCTCCTGTTGCTGTTTCAAAAACGGCCCTGGCCCCAAACTTTTAAAACTTATCAGTACCGTACGGATCGTGTGATGGGTGGCGCTGCTGTGGCTGCACAGAGAGCAAGGAACAAAAGACGAGATAAAAATTCATCCGAAACGACCATGGCATTGAAAATGTGCATTTTCTTTTTTCTTTTTCGCCCCGCCAGAAATAATCTCCGTTGCAGTTTGCACCTTGTTCGCTTTTTTTTCTTCTTTTGCCCCAGAAACAGTCAAGTGATGAGATTCTGCTTTCTTTTTGATCCTATCACGATCCCACAGGGTTCTGCACGTCAACAGTGTCCTTTTTTCTTTTCACAAGCCCTTTTCTTTCTTACTCGGTACCGCTTATCACAAAGACAAAAGGGTACATAAATGCAGAGGGCTTGATGCATGTACCCATCCTTGCACCCCCGACCCCGACCTTGAAGAATCGCTTCACCTGAAAAAGATGGATAAAAAAGAGCAAGTAATTAACCAAAAACAAATGTTTCCTTGCCATCAAATCATGCAGACAAGAATGATGCCCAGCAAAAAGCTGGCAGCGCGCCACCGAAAATGGAGTAGCATGATGCATTGCAGCGTGCCATTAAACCCACTCATCCTCGACCATCATGACTCTGCGAGCCCTTTACCGCTCTTCTTCTTCATAGCCGAGAAGTCGCCCTGTTCATCATTTTGGGTTCGCAGGTGCCCTTGCAGTGACTCGCCGTGTCTAATGTCTTTCATCGCCAAGGTCTCATCGGTTTCTTGATTGAGACGTATTGTTTCCGCTACAGTCACCCGTCTCTACAGCTCTTTTACCAATCGCAACCCATTATCGAGTTTCTAACCCCTGGCTCGGCCTCAAGAACCTCTGGTCCGCCTCTTCCTCGCTTTGGCACTTGTTTCTCTAGACCCCCCCCCCGCCGTGCATCCTCGCCAATCATGCTCTCCTCTCGACACCTCTCGACACCGTTTCCCGCCGCCTGACACCTCAGGGGGGGGGGGGCCTCAAAGGGCCACTAGTTCAGTCCGAGGCTCGCCAATCAAGAGGGGCGCAGCGTGTGTCCAAGGACAGCCAGCGATGCGATCAGCGCCCCCCTCGCCTCAGCGATGCGCAGCTCTGATTGGAGAATTGCCGACCTTGTCCGACGCCCAGCAGGCGGCCAATCAGCGTATCCCAAACGCTGTCAGTTATCGCGTTCTTGTGAATAGCAACTCGCCATGGAATTGGTAGTTGGGTAGTTATCGTGTACGAGGAAATGGCCACTTGGCTCGCCATCTTTTTAACACTGTGCAGACATGGTCGTGCTAGTGAAAAACCCGTCCTCCTGACCACTTTAGCTCCAGCGCCACCCAACGGCATCCTGCGCCGACCTGTAATGAGATCCCTGACGCTAGCAAACCGCCAAGGCCCAGGTCGTCTTTGGTCAGTGACTGCTGCGCTGAGGTCCAGCTGTGCCGACATCAACTTTATGCTATTGGCCTTGCAATCCAATAGTTAGATTAATATCCATCGATTCTATCGTGTTTCTATATTTTCTGCATGAATTCTTTCATGTGGGCCAAAGTCTGAAAGTTGGGCTTACTGCCATGAACCTCGTTCCCTCTTTCCATTAGCCGATGCCGTTTCACGCTTATTAGCGCCCCTACTAAGCCCCAGGCTCCCTATAAGATAGCATCACAGATAATACGTGTTTGGGATTAAAGAGCATCGGCAGAATAGTCAGAAGTTCAGAACCGAGAGCTGAAATACTCTGTAGAGTGGCTTGCATTGATTTCATGGACTGCGCACCGGCCGAGTGCCCATTTCCCCCCCTTTGTTCTTGGGGAGTCCATTGCCCGTTCACTTTCGGTGTACCCGCGATGGTCGCACAGTACAGATGTACACGCAGGAGTAATTAGCAGTGACACTGCAGACCAAGAATAGAACGGCGCAAGTCCGAGTAAAAGAATTTCGCAAAAGACTGGCTCAAAGTCGCATTGTCCATTGTGACAGAGCCATCCAAGGGCAAGAGAGCGAAAAAAAAGCAACTGCCCAGTCGGCTGATGCGCCCTGCTTCCCCCTTTCATATGCCAGACGCGACTCACCATCGCGTATTCACTCTGACGGCTCATGTAGCAAGCACAGTGTGATTTCGCTTCCGTGTCAAGTGGTGGTGAGCTTTGATCGAGACATCCGCCGGCAAATGATAGCGATGCAGTAATTATGTGCAGCAGATATTTCTTTCACCGATATGCATCGAATCATTGTCTTGTCATTTTTTGGCCAATGCTGCAAATGGTGCCCTGTTTTCCACCACTGACCAGCCCACCTCGCAGTGGCAAAGCTTGTTAAAAGCCTGGATTGGTATGCAGGAAGCCGTAACGAGGCTGGGGAACCCTTTGTTGTACAAAACGTGAGTGTAACCCGAGAATCGTCTCTTCTGGGCATCGAGTAATTCGTGCGAGGGTGGTGTTCATGGGCATTGGCATCCCCGGATTAACTCGCCCGTTTCTTCTTCCTCGAACATGCATCGTACTTTTTCTTTTTTTTTTTTTTCTCCTTTGGTACTTGCTCATTGTAAGACGATCGCTTTTCGAGGGTTGATGAGGAGGGGCAGAAATCGCGTCCCCCCCCCCTTGCGCTAGCGCACACGGCAGAGAGGTTCAAACAGCCTCATCGGGGATGGAGGGGCCGAGCGAAACGACGCCTGTCACTTTATGTGTAGAGGGTTCGTCCAAACTATGACGATGCGATAGAGCTCAAGCGCTCATTTTTCCATATCTGCTCATGCAATAAAATTTCCTCGATTCCCTATCAGACAGCCATGGCCTACGCTTCATTATACCCAATCAAGGCCGCAACGCACTGCCGTTTCTGCACCAGCCACCGTACATGTGTTTACGTTGGAGTACTGCAACTCTTTCACTTCACCGCATCACGGACAAACGGTGATCCTGCATGTAGCAGCCATCCATGCCATCCAATGCGCTTTGAGATTTACGGAGGGCAAAAAAACCTGGCCGCACAGCGCACCACCACCACACTTGTTGCGATTGGTGTCGCAAATGTAGTGGTGTGGTGGGCTTGGCTTCCATGGCAAATGGTTTCCGGTCGCATCCCCAGACGTCTAGCAAGCTTGGCTTGTTTCTTTTCTGCGTTGCTGATCTTTTTCAATTTGGAATTTACTTGTGATGAGTACGTTTCGATTGATTTTTTTTTCCACGATAAGACGCTTGCTTTTTGTACTCTTCTGTCCAGCCTGTACTCCGTACTGTGTACGTGATGGGAAGACAGTTATGCCTATTTTCAGCCACCAGCCGAAAGTCTAGCGCCACAGCGTTGCTCGTGTTGGGTGATGCTAGCCCTACCTAGGTACCCAAGTAGCGTGGGTATGTCGTCATACCTTACCCTCATGGCGGGGGACTTTGCAGCCACAGATGGCGGCTTGCAGGCTGCAGCTGTGTGTTCCCAGCCACAGCGCTTTGCTCTCTCCACGATCGCATTAGCCACAGCTCAAAAGTCCCCCCACTCGACCAGTGTGGTCGGGTCCATCCGTAATTGTGGCTTACCATGTGGCTAGTGCTCTGGCATTTCCTCTTTCACTCAACGCCCAGCCACAAACCTTTTTTCTTGCCCAAGCTTGTTCCCAGCCAACCCCCCATGCCCAATGCATGATGAGACGAACCATTGTCAACCACTCGTTTTTTTGCCGCTCGACAATCATGAGGTTGGGTTCCAAGGCCTTTTTTTCTCTTTCCTTTCAAAAGAGGCCTTCCCAACACCTTGCATTTTAGCTGCATGTATCCCAACCACTTCAGCTAAAACCTGACACTGTGTGCTCGCACTCGCGCCGCATGTCTGGAATGTGCGTGGCACCAAGACCATTCCACCGCATCGCGTTTCCCCTGTAAGCACGCCCCTTGGACCAAATAGACTTTGTTTTCTCCCCTGTCAGTATCGTGACTTTTTATTCAATCATCTTTCTTCTACCATTTCGCGTCCTTGTTTACCTTGACCGGCGAGTTTCTTTAGGCGCCCGTCGACGTCGCGTCCTTGAACCGCCCCCAATTTGCATACCGAAGACCCCTGCTGAAACGTCATCGTCGATAAATCCTCCCTTTTTTTCCCCATCGTGTTTTTGATGGCAAGGGTTAGCCTGGTGCGATGCAATGGTGGCAACCGCGAACTAAATTGAGCTCCTGATCGACGCGTCGTGTCTTGGTTATACCGGAGCCAATTCCTTCTTTCAGCCTGTTTTATCCTGCGACTTGTTCCATCGATCCGGTCCAAGACATTTCTTAATCGGTGCCAATAAACCCATGTTCCCAAGGATCAGACTGGGAAAGGTTCGCCACGTGAAGCGACTCGTGGCAGTCTAAGCATGTCACTGTCTGAGCCACCATTCCCCGTTTCAGTCGAATCCATTGTACAGGCAGGACAGTGTAAATTTAGAGGGGCCATCCGAAAAAGTTTCTCCTTAATTTGGGGTGTCTTTCTGCTTGTATTAATAGAATTGTCGCGTCGCTAGCTCTGGCAGTCGCGCGTGGAAAGGCTCGACCTTAGGAATGGTCGAAGTCGGCAAATCTTTACGAGTTATATCTACATACGCGCTATTTTTACTTCTGAATAGACTTCTGATAAGGACTAGCTCGATAATCTGGTTTTAGAGCTGTCCTCTTACTCTTTTCTTGGGGTTATCAAATCGAGGTCTCGAAGAGAGAACTACACATGCATGTGGTGCTATCAAAGGATCAAAGAAGAAGTATCTACTGGAATCCCCCGATCTTTGACCCTTACAACGGTCGTTTTCGTGACATTCTTACGCTACCAGCGACAGGCGACAGGCTTTAGACGTCAAATATTCGGGAAACAGGCGCCATGTACGTGCGCTGGCGACCTACACACTACCAACCACTGTCCGCAAATGACCACTAACTAACCAGTAGTTAAGCGCCTTTCCCACCACTATCTCAACGGCGTACGCAGCAGGGGGTAAACTTCGATTAATGCGGTCCGTAATCCGGTCATTCCGATGAAACTGCATGTTTCGTTATATGCATACCTACCCATCCTTCCTATGCGCATGCGCCCTCCAAATCCCAATGGTTCCGACTTTGCTGGAGACTATATCAAAGTGCAGCCAGTATTTCAGCTCTTCCATGCTAAAATGACTTGCTGTATGCAGCGATATGCATAAAGGAAGATAGAACGCATATCGGTAGTATTTTCAAGATCATGGCGGCGCTTAATTATAGCGAGGAACGCGTCCGAGCCAACCACGGGCCAGGCAAGAGAGTGAGTGGGCCGTTGCAGGATTGCACCGTCAAAGATTGATGAGTTTTGGTTCCGCCGACGCGCTTGTTGAACGAAAAATACACACAAAACTTGATCGCAGAAACGCGGTCAAGTATCAGATTGGCCCTTTTGATGGTTGTTCGTTACAGTTGCGTCTTGTGCGGTATCGGGATCTCAAGTAGTCCATCCTCAGATTCAGAAGACTGGTTGCGTGAATATCGCGCTGGTAAGTTTGATGCACGTGGAAATTGTAATGAACGCTAACGCGACTAGTATATCGCAAGGGTGCTCATACTTTTGTCAGCGGAGTTGCACAATATCACGATGATCCATCATGGATCGTACCAGTAAAGCCAAATCTTCGATGGGATACGGTACTAAACCCGGAAGGTCTTCTCGAGATTTCTGTCATGGGCCAGCCAGCTGTTGATGGTTCTCATGGTTTCGTGCTTCACGATGCCTGCTGGTGTCTTTTGCAGAAGGCTGGCGGGGCAACCGCATTGTCGAAGAATAGACTGGTGGAGGTCTGCCAGTCACTTCCAATTCCACTCTGGTTCAACGGCGTGAGTTGGGGTCATGATTACGGCGGTCGCTTGAAGCTGGACACGGAAGAATGGTATCCATGGAAGGAGATATTTAGAGCTCTCGAGTATGAGGAATTAGAGCGTCTCGGCTTTCTGGAGGACCCGTTTCGCGGCTCAGATTTGAAATTGGCCCCGAATGGGAGGTTTCCCGCATCACACGCATCCAAAGATGATGCGTCAAACTTGAATGCACCTTTAGAACCCCGAGGTCGCGGCGACTGCTTCTCTCGGCTCCCCTGGGAGTTGCGTGAGATGATTTTAATCCATCTAGAAACAAAAGATGCGCTGAACCTTCGACAATCGTCTTGGTCCTTTAAATCTCTGCTTTCCAGCCTTGGCTTTTGGCGGTCTCGCTTCGAGCCTGATGGCGAAAGGGGTTTTATATTTGAGGCGAGGGACGAAGCAGTCGCACACAGTATCGGCGCTCTTCAAAGTCTCTACCGCAGTTCGACGACGCATGCCTCATCCCCACCACTGATGAATCGCCAACGTGTGTGGAAATTAGCACGCCAACTACTGCCGCTCATCAGACCACCTGTAATGGCTAGCAGCACTTCAGACACACTGCTAGACACTGGTGGCTTGGAGGGTTGGATCTCACTCCCTAGCAGTGTCTTCTCGCCAAACTCGGTAGCAACTTTGGAGCTATCGAGCGCTCCAATGCATTCGACCACGACAACCGAGATGCAAGTTCCTCCGGGACCTGTCATCATTGGCATTGCCATGGTGAATACTGGAATCTGGGACTACATTACAGGCATTCGGATTATCAGAAAGGCTGATGGGCAAGAACAGTTTGCGGGGTTTGCATTCGACAGTGGTGAAGTACTTTACAGTGTCGCGGCACTGCATGGCTTTAATGTGGCCTTGGGACCGCACGGGGTACGCGCCCTGCAAATCGTCGGTCCACAACGAGACGCGTGCTCATGGATTGGCCGTACCGAAGGCGTGCCCATTTCTGAATTACTTGGAGTAAAAAAGTCTGTGAACCGCCTGCGGGTAACCTGTGATGTCAGTAAATCTTGCTCAAAATTAGAAAGACCTCCCCGCGGTCTGACCTAACATCACAGGGCTACAAAATTACTGCTCTGTCAGTATATTGCGACAAAACCGAAAGCACAACAAGTTGTGAGCCGGAAGATACGAACCTTCGTCATACAGCAGTCTGGTATCCCAAAGTGCCATCCGAGGACCTAGTGCTCAATGACGGCTCCTTCACTGGCCTCCGCCCCGTGTCTACCACATACCAGCCAATCTCTTGGATCAAATTCGGCGGACAACGAGGCAAGAACTTGCCTCACGTGAAAGGTGTAATGATAAAATTCGACAACGCCTCTCTGAGCGGCCTGCAATTCGTGTACGATTGTGACGTTCCCGAGACTGGCAATGCAGCTTCTGAGAGCTTTGGTCGCTGTGGACCGTCGAAAATGGAGGGGGCTTTGCTCTTCTCCATCGACGGGGCTGCAGGCGAACGAATTACCTCGATTTCTGTCGGCCTTGCCGTTTACGAGAATCCGGATTATCCAGAACACCTTCGTCATGGCATTATTCAGTATTTGACGGTGAGACCTTGCGCACACCCATTGCGATACCAGAAGCGAGAAAGCAAATGCTGACTGTTTGAGCAGATGAGTACCAATTTTGATAGAACGACAAGCCTGGGCAAGAAAAAAGATGGATTTCGGATGAAGAATGTTGATGTTGCCAGCGGCACAACCATTACTGGCTTTTACGGACACTTTGTGAGTCTGCAGGCCCGTATTGTACATTGAGAACATGATGCTAATAGGGTACAGGCTTGGGGAGATGGGCTAATCAATCTGGGTGTGATTTCGGAATACCTCTAACATGAATGCATAGATAGCTATCGGGAGTGAATACAGTCTGCTGCTGGTTGCAGGTCGCTACGCAGAGCTCTCCATGGTCAGGGCTCAGGGCTCAGTGCGTTGCTGGAGTGAACGTGCAAGTCAAGAGAGGGATTGCAAGCATCGGCGGCTAGACAGCACAGAATGCGGGCAAGGAGAAGAACAACACAATGCTGTTTTATATATCCATCAACCAATTTTTCGGGAATCACTACACTATCAAAAATATTCATCAAGACGTGAATTGCCCGTCCGGACCCCAACTAAGGCAGTTCTGCGACGCGGTCTCGAAACGTCTTTTCCGCACGGGTCCACACGCCAGCAGTCTTGCGATCCTTGAGCTCGAGAAGACTGGGGAGGAGCAGGCCCGCGTACTCGTCACTAGCCTCGCGCGCAATCATGGTCGGCAGGTGGTCAATCGCAATGATGCGCAGTTCGGGTCCGTCCAGCGAGCCCGACGGCGCGACCGTGGGGCTGTCAAAGGAGCTGTAGCCCGAGTAGACGGGGATCGGGTTGTTCTCGCTGTTGGGGTCGCAGCTGACGTCGCAGATGACGCGCAGACGACGGTCAGGCTTGGACAGCTTCTCAAGAGTGGTAAAGGGCGGCACGCGATGGGCGCCCAGGTAGACGCAGTTGACGAGGATGTCGGCAGCGGTGATTTCGTCAAAGGGCCCGCCCTTGGCCGTCTCGGGCAGATCCCACTTGATGAGCGACCCGGCGGGGACGCCGGCGGCCTCGCAGGCCGCCGCAGCGCCGTTGCCGCAGCGGCCCAGAGCGCCGATAATCATCAGCCGCGGGTACTCGCCGTTGTTGAGCGGCAGCGCGTCGGCAAGGGCCGAGCGCACACGGGTCATTAGCTCCTCGGCCGAGTCAAAGGCGGGGACGGCTTCCTGCGGCACGCCCGGGTGCAGCATCTGGTGCGACCAGGAGAGCAGCGCGAGGGCCGTGCCGGCGTAGCCAGCGCTCCAGCCAAACGCGGCTACGCGCTGGCCCTTTTCGTTGACGAGGAACTCGAGATCGTAGAGAATGCCGTTGCCCTTGGCGAAGCGGGAGAGCTCAGTCGCCCACCCATCCTGCTTCTTGAAGCAGTGGTGAAAGTGAATAAAGCTGTGCGACAGCGGCGCTAGAGATCGTTGAGAGTTAGTGACAGAGGTCGCGCAGCCCATCCATCCCGTTTACATACAGCCGTCTGTCGGGAGCTCCTTCAAGCCCAGGATGATGTGGTCCAGGGGCGCCTTGACCCATGAGCCAGCAGGGATAATCTCGGCGCCGACGGCCTTGAACTCGTCATCCTTGTAGATGCGGTCGGTCGACTCCTCAACGCGCAAGACGTAGCCGGCATCAATGAGAGCCTTTGCGGTCTGAGGGGACACTTGATGAAGTTTTGTCAGCTATGAGCTTTTGCGAGAAGCTTTCCAGGAATGCATACGGGGAGAGCGCCTCTCAAAGGGCTTGGTCTCGGATCTCAGGTGAATAACGGTAGCCATGGTGGTAATTTTATGAGTTGAAAGCTTTCGCAAGTCGTGAGAAGTGAAGCTGGAAAAGCTCTTTTTGTAAGTGACGAGTGACACAAGTGACTCAGTACGTAATAAGCTAGCCGATGTCGGCTAGCGCCGGCCTTCCCACCGAAGGCACGTGACAGCTAACAAATCGGCGCCGTTGCCGGCATCTCAAGGGCGATGGGATATAGGTGTGTCCCGTCGAATCAGCTTGGAGATCTCACTATTCCTTTCATGTAGTAGTCGGAGATTTTTATTGTTCCTTTGCGTTCCGTATCTGCTTGCGTTTGTTGTCTACAATCGCGGTAAGAAATAGCTGCATCGACTTGGGGTTGGTCTTTTTTTTAGTAATGCTAGGTACAGATTAGACAGTGCCATATTGCTAGGTGGACAGGTGCACGTGACGTGAGATACTTGGCTTTCTGCGTGCATGCCCACTTAATTCTATGTACCTCTATAGACTCTTCCTTTAACATTCGCCGCCGCCACTAAAGTAAATTAATAGCATCTATACATAGAAAGGAACTATTTATCTAGCCTAAGCGAAAAGGCGTTTTTAAGTAAGCTTAGTGACGGCGCTGGCGGCGCTATAGGGAAATTTAGTGTTGATGGCGGCGGCGATGGTGTTGATGGCGGCGGCGGCGGTGTTGATGCGGCGGCGTTGATGGCGGCCGCGGCGCGTTGCCTAAATAATACTTCTATATATATATATATAGATTGTCATGTAGGATGAAGCATCGCGCAAGGTCACGTGCACCTGTCCACCTAGCAATTTGGCACTTGTCCACCTAGCATTACTCGAAAATTTTTATATAGATTACCTATCTTTATTAATCTCTATCAAAGCTACACTATAGACTATTAGAAGCAGGCTCTAGATTTAACGTAGATCTAATAGCAGTAGATTTCTTCGGGACTACAGCTATTCCCTATATACACATTTCTTAAGTTAATGTTTCACTACTGCCCGTTTGCCTACTGCCTCTCATCTCTTGTCAAAGAATGCGGCTAGCACGAAGAAGGAGAAAGGATAGGTCGCAAGAAGGTAGCTGGTTTGTAGCTAGGGTGTAGCAAGTAGTTCCTAATAATGACTTTATTGATCACTGGAGGAGAGAAGTCCTCCTCCAGTGGCTTTCGCTACGTTCTCGCTCTTTTATAGCCGCGTATTCGCACGTGACCCTGGTGGGCCGTGACATCTCTCTACTCCTGTCAGTCGTTATAGTGTAGCGATCCGAGCCAGTGTGCGGCTCGGCTTATCTCAGCATTGCCTCCAGCCGTCTACCAGGTGGAAGATGCAAGAGGGAAGGCGTTATATTATACTAGTCTCGATATCTTTAACTTATCAAACAATGGTTTCAAGGAAAGGGCCAAACTTGCTCTACAGAGACACCACCACATAAACACCCTGGCGCAAGCTTTCCGCAGAGTTGGTGCCTTTACTCGAGCCATTTATCCACGAGCCAAGTTAGCCCGTTAAGAATGATCGGATCCTTCTCGGCTTTCCAGCCGGCAGAACACTCTGCATCAAATCCGTGCTCCTTGTTCTCGACTATATCTAAGCGTATCGGCCGACCTTGACTCTTCATGGTTTCGGCAAAGGCAATGGATGTTTCAACCGGTACAGCAGTATCGGCGCCGCCATGTAATAACCATATACGCTCTGGCAATTTGGCACCAGCCTGAATACGACGGTTAATCCATACATTTGAGTCTTCGTCAAGTTTGCCGTGAGGGCTGAACAGATCGTGAAACAGTCCCTTGCGGGCGACGGATACCGCAAATCCCAGGCGCTCTATGTCCTCTGTTGCAGAGATCCGAGCGCCTCCTTGGTGTTGCTGAATCTTCTCCTTTATGGCTGCTGTGTCAGGAATGAATGCGTCATCTGGTAAGAGCATGGGGTTCGGAGAGCCAGTATCCAGGCTTCCTTTACGCCACCACTCTGTATCGAAGTTGAGCATCGGATAGGTGAGGGCAAGAGCTCGGAAGAAGTCGGGGAAGGCCAGCGCATGCGTTGTGGCCACGTAACCACCGGCAGAGCCGCCGTTGAGCAAGACTCGAGTAAGATCTGCTTCGTACGAAGGGGCCTTGGCTGTTAAAATGGAGGCGAATGAGAAAAGCAGCCACTTGTGAAAGGCTAGCACATCAGCTTGGACAGCGGCGAGACCATCGTTGTGCGGCAGAAGTGTGTAGTCAGGCGAGATGATGATGGCATCGCTCTTCTTGGCAAGATCGAGGATGAATTGCGGGAAATACGGAGCGTAGAGGCCGTGAGCCATGATAAGGTAGCCGCCGTGCCAATTGATGATGATTGGACGAGGACCCGAAGGGGCGTTTTTGGGCAACAAGATGTGCGCCATGATGGCATGGCTATCTCGCGTGACGAAACTGTCTCTATCAGCATCTAAGACTCTCACGTAAAATCAGTCAGGGGAGTATTACGGTTCATCAAGTATGCGAAAGTCGTCAAAGATGTCCATTGTTCGTAGTGGAGGGGTTCTCAATTGACCAGCTGATGGGTGGCTCCTGCGGTGATAAAGGGTTTATGTCGAGTGAAGCGGATGTTCGAAAGAGATGAGTGCTCTACTTGTGTAAGTCGCGTTGATGGAAGCGATAACGCGGCCCTTTATATGCTACGTGACCGAAAGTTATAACAAGTCAGGTGCTAACTATTTAAATAGCGCAGTTCTGTCTCAATGGCTGCTCTAAAACTTGTAAGATTCCTAGTCGCCACCACAGGCAGCTACTACACTGGTATTTTAGCATTGGAAGAAACATGCGAACAAGTATAAGTGAGATAAGCAAAATATCAGAGTGCGCTACGTTAAGAACTAATAAATATAATCTATAATGTACTGATTAATTTGCATCACATTTATATTAAGAAGCCATAGGATTCTCATGCGTTGCTTTGTGCTTAGTGGAGTGTATTGCACCGTACCTGCTGCACATGTAGGCTACTATCTGTCTAGCATTATCTACTTGGCCTTGCAGTGGTCTCAGGGATAATGTCCCTCGCCATGCATATTTCAAACTGCTAATTAAGCTATTATTAATGCTAGTGTCGGGTTTGGTCGGCGTAACGTTTACCGAGCGTCTCCCCTCTTATCTTACAGATCGGTGACGGAGTGAGGTGGAGAAGGCGTGCCGTACATATACTCTAGCACTTGGCCCGAATCAGAATGCGGTGCGAAAGACCATTTGTAGGCCTAGCCGAACAGTGCCGGAGTAGGTGATACGTGTATCAACAAGGCTAACCTTAGACAAATGCGGAAGATAATTCAGGATACTGCTTGAGGGAGTAAACAGCCTCTCGCACTTGATTGCCCAAACTTGTCGAGCTCCACTAATATGGCTTACAAATACAGTGGTAAGTAACGGAGTGAACAGGGTTGGGTGGGAGGGGTGGGGCACAGGCTCGGATCATGGATTGCTGCCTGGTTCCGCGGTGGCGCCTCCAACGTGAAACGTCGAGTTTGATGAGTCGCGGCCAATTGATTGAGGGAAAAAAGAGAGAGAAAAGCGAACGTCTAAACGTCTTATCATTGAACAGTTAAGACAAGTTGAACTTAAATCCCACCCCCGAGAGTTCTGCGAATGTTCCGTGGTTTGCTAAATGTTATGCCAACTGAATTTTTTTGTTGTGGCATGAAGGTTCATAGAGTGCTGCAATCGAATAAACTCCATAGCTGCTCTCGATCAAATTTTTGATAGATTATTCGCTTTTGTATAGGCATACCGCGCCCACAACTTTGCCAATAGGATCCAGGCACTCGGCTGATCATTTTTGCAGTAGTATACGCAGGGATATCATGCTTTAGCAGTAGTTAACTGCCAAGACTGTCGTCGTTCCGCAGACTAATCAAAGTAGAGGTGGGAAATTTTGGAATAACAGAAAAAGCGTACCGTACACTACTTTTATTTCAGTGCCGACGCTACAAGCTCTACGTACATGAGTGTGTGCTATTTGCGCGTCAAGGAATATGTTGTTGGTACCAGAGCTTGCCTGGCATAGCGGTATTCATCGTGTATTTTACTGCTCGCGTCTAGTACAGCTATTTCAATATCATCCCACTCATCTGCCGATGCCGCGCGACGTCAATGGCCCTGAGCGGAGCCTGCTGACAGTAGGCTGTGCCTCATTTGATAACTAAATGTAGTCAGCATATATAATTAGAGCGGATTAGCCATTACATACCAAATTTTAAGACGGCAGCAACGCCAGAACCGATTATACGGGCGTGCAGGGTGGATGGGCATGCCTAAGGTAGAGCCTAACTAATTCACATCAATGAAGGTGCGGGTCCACAATTTTAATGCAACACGACAGCCCATCCAAGACACATAAATAAGCCAGCGGACAGTACTGCACAGATGCGCACGATGCGCACGCTCGCACAACACCGCCCCCACCATCCCGATCTAGTCCTCATGTCAGGGCATTTCGCTACCGTCAATGCTCTCTCCATGTCATTGGCCCGTGTCATCTCGTCTGAATTCATCTCGTCTGGATTTATCTCGTCTGGATTTATCTCGTCTGGATTTATCTCGTCTGGTCATTTTATTTCGTCATTTCTGGGTTGACGTTCTGGCTAAATAAAACCTTGTCAAATTGTCATCTGTATTGCCCACAGTCATGATGCTGTACATTTTAAAGGCCGCCGCAGTGCTCTATAAAACTGGGATGTAAAAGTCGTCTCCTTTCTGTCTGTCCTGTTCCCTTAGAGCCATAGTCCGCTCTCGAAACAGCAGTACGCCAAAGAATTCGACCAAGACGACATCTTCCGACCAGCCAATGAACATACTCGGCCCTTCATTACTCGGCGAGGGGTTTCAAGAGCCCATCTGCTCCGACACCTATGGCGCTTCTGTCAGTGACTTCACTGGTATGCTTCTTCTACTACCGTCTTCCTGCAGGAGGGTGTTTTGACAGAGTCTTATCAGGTAGAGTGTCTGCTGGATCGGACCACAGGACCGTGGCGGTGCCTCGCAGCACCGACAGCCTCGTGGTGAAAACGCAACAAAGCTCACAAAAGTGGGAGGACCAGGAGGAGACCCTAATTGAGCTTTACATATGTCGGGACATGACCCTCAAGAGTGTTGTGAGCGTTATGAAAGCCCAGGGTTTCCACGCTAGGTGAGTGCATCTCTGGCCACTTTTCGTTTTCGATAATTTGACCTTGCATCGGCAGTGAAGACAGTCTCGAGATCGCTTTGAGGCCTGGCATGTGCGCAAACATCTGAAGCCCGAAGAGAAGCGCATAATTGCCCAGATATGGCTCTGGCGCAAGCAGAAATGTGGCCAGGAGACGGCTTTTATGGCGTGGAGTCGGCTCGTGTCTCAGAACAAGCTCAAGAGGATAATCAAGGATCATGGGGAGCCCTTGGGACCCGACGACCCAACTTGTGAGTTGCTGATGAATCGAAACCGAACGTCTTGTCTCGCGAAAGTCAAATCTAATGGTATCTGCAATAAAACAGTAAAGCCTCCGCCGTTCTGGCTGTACTACTGCACCCCTCCTTGGATCAATCCCTCCGACAGTTCGATTATGGTCACGCAGGACGGGTTCGGAGAAGTGGCAACGCCATCGACGAGTAGTGACTTGGGAGAGTTGCTGCACGTCACATCAGCAAACACTGTAACGGCGGCCGCCACAGACCGAGAGCTTTTCCAATTTGCACCACCAGACCCTGTCAACCTGCCTGCTGTTCTGTGGCCCAATCCCGAACAGGTATCGCTAGGCGTGAATTGCATGCATCAGCTTTTGCCAGCTGAGTCGGAGGAGGCAATTACATATCCTCTATGCTTTCGTTGCGGCTCGTGTGCCCTCCCGGCCGTGGTCTCTTTCGTCAACCCCGCGTCTAACCAGCATCAGCAGACAGCTGAGGGCATCCCGGAATGGTTCCCAAACAACGAGGCGGGCGAGCTAGCGGTCGGTTTGGGGGGGCATGCAGTCAACATTTATCCCAACAACTTGCAGCAACTCTGTGGGCAGTATTTGTACTCGTTTCCGACAGCGTTCGTTCCTGATGGTGGATTCGACCAGCTTTCGGTGCAGGTGAACGCTCCCCGCCAGATCGAGCTGTCGGGTGTGCATGGGGACAGCCTCGGGGACCCCTCAGCTATTCGAATTAACATATTCGACGAATCCGAGCTTCCCAGAAACCAGGTAAACAGGTAGCTGGGCGATTTGAAGAATGGGTTGCATGGTCGAGGCAGCTCACTCATAAAGCATAACGGACCAAATCGCTTGGCTAGCTCTGGGGGAGGTAATCGGCAAACGGAAAATCGGTGTTCGGGAAACGTGAAATCGGGGAAACGAGAGCGGGGATAATCCGTTGTTTTGCACTTGTATAAATAATGTAGTTATGAATTTAAACGGATAGATGAGACTTGTGTGATTTCGCTTCTTGATTAGATATCGACATGTGGTCAACAATTTGAGGGAGCTACACTGCCTCTGAATCGGGTGTCGTCTGCAGAATCTCCCTGCGGACGCCGGTCAGCAGTGACTTGATTTTGTAATGTACTCTTTCTGCATATTTCTGCATACTCTCTGCACATTTTCTCTGTCGATCTTACTTGCCGATGCCCTTCTAATTAGCTAGCCGGGTTTTAGGAATCAGAGGCTGGAAGGGCCTTTTTCATCTGGTTTCTCTCATAATCCGGTCTATTTCTGTGTCACTCTTCGTTTCCAAGATTTTTCCATTGACTTATCGACGGGTACGGGTTCTTTATGCTGGCTAGCTACCTAGGTAAATAAGGTAGCTAATAAGCTACCTGCAGCAGTGTCTTGTGGCGGGGAGGGGGAGCAGACGGGTGCGACCGTGAAGCACATTCAACGAACAGGGAGCTGCACGGGACCAGATTCCGAGTGCAACAGTGACACAACCCGCAAACACAACGCTCTCCTGTTGCTGATGCGGAGGAGACATGTCAGGTACATGTCTGATTCTCGGCGCGAGCATACTGTCGTGGCCAAGTTCCCTCGGCACAATCTTCCACACAGCCTCGATAGCGAGCGATGAGAGGGGGTTCTGTCTGAGCAGCATTACTGCTACAAAGACGCTACTGCCAAATTAAGCCAGTGACGTGTTTGTACGACGCGGCATCTATGGTGCCAACGCACTGCGCGTTCACTCGTGTGGCACAACAAGGGCGGTGAAACAACTGCATATTATATATGCACCTTGACCCCCCATTGAACAAGCAACCCATCACCTGCCACGAGCCAAACTATTAAGAAAACCGGATTCTGCCAAACAAGTATGTCCAGACTCTTTTCTTTCCAAATGAAAGTAGAAAATCGGCGGGGTAACAGGCGAACTAGTCATTTATCATATGGGTTAGCTTTATGTCTCAATGAAGCTGTCGCGCTTGCCGTCAACAGTCGTAGACACGAGGTACCTTGGTTAATCAGGCACGTCAGTTGAAGAAAGCAGAGCGGCAACCTTACGTATGTGGTCGATACGGGAACACTAGCTGCTACGAGAGGGCCGACAATAAGTAGTGATCAAGTGTCTGGAGGGTGGCCATGACAGCGAAGCTCGAAAGGGTCAGGGGCAGACTGACTTGATCACAGGGAACAGCGGAAACAGTGCGTCACGGACGAGCTACCCGCACACACAAGCTTGTCCATGTCCATGGTGACGGCCAATCACGGCCTCTATGTTCGGAATCAGCCACGCCATTCTACCAATAGGGTGCAATTGGACATGCTGGCAGAATTTGTACCACTATACAGACTGGGCAGACAGACTTCTAGTCGCGCCTTCCCCGTAATAGTGGCGGTCGGCAGCACATTAGTGACCACTGGCGGGAACTGCCCCCCCCCTTTCCCCCAACAAGTCTAGAATCAGGCTTCTCGTCCGAGTTGACAATCTGTGTCAGCCTCGTGCCTGCACCCTGCATGGGGTGTTTTGTGATGTTCTGCTGCGGGTGGGAGGTGTGTTTTGCGTGTGGCACATTTCACCACAGGGTGCCCAACGTTGTAGGCCGGGGTTAGGCGTCGAGTTTCTTTCTTCGAGGCGAGTATAAAAACCACGGACGGCTGGTCCATTGACGTTCTAGACTTTTCAACTGTACAGCAGGGCCCAGATTGAATAGAAGAAGCAAAGTAGAGCAGGAAAAGAAAGACAGCTCTACTCTCATTCTGCGCTCTTATGAATGCTGAAATGGACCCCGCCCGCTCGCATCATTGGGGCGAGCTGCCTCGAGATACGAGCGACGACAATGTTGACTTGGTGCCTCACGACACTATCCCTCACGACACTAGCCATGACTGGTATAGCCACTTAGATGACCAGGAACAGACCTTTGAATGGTTTCTCAGGCCCATGGAGCTTGAGCACGATGAACCGCCTGCTATCCCTGCGTATGATGCAGCTGCGAGGCTGCCCAATGGCACCACCAATGACGGTGATGCTCAGCTGCAGCCGCGCCGTCATGGGTGGGCCGACTTTGAAACGACCATTAAACATCTCTACCTGGACGAAAAAAAGACCATCAAGCAAATCGTCGAGATTATGCAAGCTCAATATGGCTTTTACCGCAGGTAAGCAAGATTCACGTCTTACTCGTTGTGCTTTTTTTCTTTTTTTTTTGACCTTTTGGCAGTGCAAAAGCATATCAGAATCGCCTCAAACAGTGGCGTGTTCACAAGAACCTGAATTCAAGCGAGATGAAGCTGGTTCTCGAGATTATGAACTATCGCAAGCACTTTGAGGGCAAAGATACGGAATTCTTTGTCCGGGGTCGGCTGCTGCCCCCTCATAAGATTGCGAGGTTCGTCTCACGAAATGGCGTCACGGCGAGCGTCGGCATTCCTCCTGGTAAGTCGTCTTTTCTTTCTGTATCTATGTGCTTGCATCGTCTGCGAGAGAAAACATAGGCCAACGTGAGACATTAGAAACAGGGACAAACAGCATTTTAACAAGACAACAGGACCGTCGCCGCCTTGGTTGAGCTACCGCACCCCTCGCCGTACATACTCCCATGGTGCCTATGGCAGAGAGAGAAGCATACACGCTTCGTCCTCTGCCACGCAAGGCGCATCCAGTGCCTCATTCGTGCCCACCGGGAGCGGCTCCCACGATTGGTATATGCAGAGCACAACAACCAACGACCCAGCGGCCGAAGCCCGACAGAGCACAGCCAACGACACGCGCAGAGTGCCGCTCATGCTTACACAAGAAGATAGGAATGAACTGGCGATATTCTACAGTCCCGTTCCCAGAACGGAATTGCGGCGCGGCACAGACAAGCTGCACCGATTACTGGTGGCCGAACGCGCAAGACCGTTGTGTCCGGTTTCCTGCTGCAGCTACTGCGGCTTCCTGCCCGGCTTAATGGACGTCTCGATACAGGGTGTGAGCTCGCTCGTCAGTCGCACACAGAAGGACCTTGATATGAGGACGCCATCGCTGATAGTGCTACTTCAGTTCGCCATCAGGCACAAAGAGGACGCAGTCTTGCGGCATCTTGTGCGCCTGTGCCAACAGTCAAAGTTTGCGCAACGCATACACCGCCATCTGTTGTGTGTGGCAATGCAATACTGCAGAGGAGAGCTCTTTCGTCAGCTCTTACTGCACGGTCTCGACGTGAACCTCGATGGCGCCAGCAGCGCCAGCGCGGGCTTGCTCGAGCAGGCACGTATGACGCTACGCGACTTTACAACCAAACACATAGACTCGAAAGGCGACAATAGCAGCACCTATCAATCGATAGGGTTCATGTATCGCGCGCGCGTCATAACCGAGAGGTTGTGGAGAGATGTCGTGCTGTGGACAGCGTTGCGACACCGACGCCCAGGTGTCCTCCGCGCGTGTCTGCAGCCGCCGACCAGCGCGAAGCTCGACCTCGACGAGCTTATGGACAAGGCAGCATTCATTTGCCAAATCAGCAAGGACACGGGCTCGTCCGAGGCAGCCGCAGTGCTGGTTGAGCCTGGCTCAGCTGTGGTGTCTGAAAACGGCGCAACAGTGCTGCACCTGGCCACGAGCTTGCTGCTGGTAGACCATGTGCAGCGACTCCTTGGCGAAGGTGCCGACGTCAACGCGGCGATGAAGACGGGAGAGACGACTCTTCACATACTCGCGGCGTCGTTCTCGGACGGCACCGACGTGGCGCATAGCCTGCTCGCCTGGGGTGCCTCGGTCGTCGCCACAGATTCTGTCGGTGACACGGCGCTGCACAAGGTCGCGCAGCACGCTTGGGCGTCGTGGCGGGAGAGTCTAGCCGCGCTGCTCGTACAAGCCGGCGCCGACGTCAACGCGCTGAATCACCGCGGCGAGACCCCGCTCATCGTCGCGGCGCGGTACCAGGATCTCGAAGCGGCTAGGGTTGTCATGGCGTGGTTTGTGCGCCAGGGGGCGCGTGAGGACGCCCGCGATCACGACGGCAACACGGCAGAGGTCTACCTAGATGCCCGCGTCCGGCAGCTCGAGATGGAAGAGGAGGAGTCTGCGACCGCGTGCGCTGACGACCAGGGCTGGGATCCCCTACTGTGTGACTGGGGCAGCGGCGACGCCGGCCCGTGGACGTCGGCAGAGGTGGCGGAGCTTGAAGCGGCGCGGCGGGAGTCGAGCCCGCGGGCCGAGTCGGTGCGGAACCGGCTGGTGTCGTTTCAGCTACGAACACGATGATGTCTAAAAGACAGGAAACAGATTGACACGACTAATGATGATGGGAAATTGGAAATAGATCGGGTCATGATTTATTTTGAGAGTCCAAGACGACTGATGATGATGATGATGGAACTTTTGACAACAGATTGGCACGACTAATGATGATGGGAAATTGGAGATTGCGACATGATTTATGCTGGGAATGCAAGACGACTGATGATGATGGAACTTTGACAACAGATTGGGTTGGGACAACTCTTACATGATACAGTGACAGAAACAGTGAGCTAGAATGCTCCATTATGTTCTAGGAAATGCATTTAACTGTTTTGATACCTCTTTGACTTGACCAATGTGCAAGCATGGTACTAAACTGTTGGGAAAGCTCTCCCCGAAGCTGCTATGACCTAGTTGGCTAGCAAGGTAGAACAGACTCCCCCAGTGACGACAAGGCTTAGGCCAGATGAGTAGTGTTGAAGAGCCGATTTCCAGTATCAGTAGATTTGGTCCCCGTAAATTTATTACCTGATACTCGCAGGGCTACCATGTTGACCCGATGCTGCTCCATCATGGTGCGTAGCGCATGACCGTCAGCGACTGCTTCCTTTTGGACCACTCCTGCCACGACGACAATGTTGATGAGGTCTTGCTTGAGCTGCGTGACGTGGCGCAGAAAGTCAATGATGCTTTTGCCGCTGTTGACTACGGAATCGACAAGAATTACATTCTTTTGGTTCTCCAGGTGATGGGGTTTGATGTCTCTTGGATCAAAGGCATGCAGAAACATGGCTCTTGGAAACACCTCACTGATGCCCAAGGCCATGGGCTCTCCGCCGCGCATGAGCGCTATGATGGTGGTTTGGGGTTCGTGAGCGAGGCGGAACCCATCAGTCTGGTGGCCCTGCACATGAGGCACATGGAAACTCTCAACGCCAATCAGGTCCGTGAGAAAGTGCAGCGCCAAGTATCTGCCAGCCTCTTGATGAGCATGTCTGAGTGCCGTTCCGGATACGGAGGCATCGCGGGTCGGAGACATGAGCAGTTTTGCTGCACCAGTGTCTGTGGCATGGACCACGATGCAACTATAAGTCGACACTGACTTGGATACGGCGTCGGCAGCCTCTGTCCCGCGGCGGCGTATAAGCGCTTCGATAAAATTGGCATCAGAGAATGCCAGCAGCGGCAACTTTGTAGCGTTTAAGCGTGGAGCGACATGTGGCGGTAGGAGCACTTGCTGAGAGCAGAAACCGCGGCTGTCGATGGCTTCGCAAAGGGCATTATCCATGCTGCGACTTTGATTTCGTGGGTCGCCAGAGACGACAACGGACTTGTTGGCTGCCTCTAGCATTGGCAAGTCAAGCGGACTATCTCCAAAGGCCCATACATAGAGACCCATTTGCTGTTGAAGACTCGAGACAACCTGTGCCTTGATCTCTGGGGTCACCACAATCTCATCCGCGATCCTGCCGCCACCAACGACTTTGATGCCATGACCCAGGCCGGCTTTGTCCATTACCATTTGCCAGACGCGTCGGATGCCGCAGGTCAGGACAAGAACTCGTACGTGGCGGTGGGTGAGAACCAGTCGAAAGAGGCTGATGAACTCGGGATGCACCGTAATAGCAGCTGCAAGTTCCTCGCACAGTGCCTCGAATTCAATCTCGTTGGCAGCTTCTTCATATAAAAGTGTTGCTTGGCGAAATGCGACCTCGGAATAGCCGAGCGGACTGCTAAAAAGGCTCTTGAGCGGGCACATGTCCAATTTCCCTTGGCCAAGACCATTTGTTGCAGCCTGCCAAAACATGGAACCGGCATCTTCGCTCGCCAAAGTCTTGTCGGCATCGACAACTAGCACAGTTTCTGCGCGCTCCTCGCCCATGATTGCCGCTTCGACTCTGTTCATGACGAAAGCGAGGTTGCGTTTTGCAGTTGTCTGTTCGAAATGGCGGACCAACTTCAAGGTGGAAAGAAGCGAGCTGCCGTTCTGCGGAACAACAGAAAACAAGATATAATGCCGTCTACAGAGCCTGCGGAGCTGGTCAATCTCGGCTCGCTGCCACTGCTCCAAGTGTGCGGCCGACACTGGCGGGCGCTGCCGCTGCGTATCGCCTACCCGACGCTGGAGAATAGTTTGGACTGGCACATTCAAGTAGATGATGTGTGTGTAGACGTCAAAATCGCTGGCGGTAGCGACAATGTCGCCCGCCAGTTCGTCTTGTCGCCAAAACATGTAATGGCCAACGACGAGAGCGGTGCGGTTCTTGGCCGAGCACTCTTTTGCGACGGTAGCAATTGCCCGCTCTCGCATGAGATGCTTTTCCTGCTTGTCGAGTTTTGCAAAGACGGCAAGACCGCCAGCAACAATGGCGGATATCAACTCGGATCCTTCGTAAAAGACGAATTTTTCGTCGTCTAGTTTAAGCTTGAGCTCGTTCATCAAGGTGGACTTTCCAGACCCTGGAAGGCCGTACAGTCCAATGATTATGGGCTTCTCCTTCTTCTTCTTGTTAGAGTCTGGGTCAGAGTCAATTTTGACTGCCGCAGCAGCGATGGATGCTTGTGATGTGGTTGGGGTAACCATGTTGATGGGTAATGTGATGATGAAGGTGAAGAAGATTTTGCGTCGAGCGCGATGAAGGAATCCAAAAGGTATTTTAGGTGATTGTGTATTAAAATGGAGGAGTAGGGATGTCTGTTAAATAATGATGGAGGCTCGGTGAAGAGCAGCGGATTTGCATTCTTGTCATCCAGCAGCCTTACATACGGCGGCTCCGTGCAGTAGTGGTAGGCCCTGCATTCGCACAGAGCAAATTTCGGGGAGAAGAAGCTAGAACCGTCTTGACCGAGAGTGCACTTGTTTAAACTCGCCGAATGAATACTTGTTGATATTCGTGGTGGTTTAGAGCACTTGGCGAGAGAGGCCACCTCTTTGAACTTGTTCTTCTCAGCTGGATTCATCACTGCTCGTAACCTGGCTGGCATCCGCAGAGTAGCAGGCCTTGGTGGCCACGCGGCTAAAAAAAGCCACCTTGATGTATAATCTCAAGCATATAGGTGTAAGTGAGATTGTCACGCATCGGTTCCGATAGCGGCATACTCTGAAGCGGGTGGTCGTTCTGTATTACATGACAGAGGATGGAATAGACGTCAGTAGCCTGACTTAACGATGAGATGCAATAGTTGGTACAACGGGAATCAAGCCTCGTGACGTCGAATACCAGCTTGCAATACAATATCATCAGGGGTTTTGCTTTTTTGGACCTCTTGTAGTCAGCATGTTCAATAGATTGATACGGCTGTGACGACGAAATTGGCTAGAAGCAGAGTCGCTGCGCAGCTGCGCTCCGCGCCTGAAGCTTGTATCAATAATACATGATCAGATATTTTCCTTTATTGAAGTCATAGTATCATAAATTTCTTTCCTTACGTAGAGAAGTCCTGACCGGTTGAGGCCCGTTTAGCTTGGGCCATGTCGGGGCCTTTTATTTTATTTTATTTTTCCTGTTTAAATAGCTAGACGATACGAATTGGATCAGAGTCTCAAAGAGAAAACCCTGCTCCGTTCATCATACAGCAGCAAACAGAGCAAAGAAGGGAGATTGCAGCAGACTTCAAACAACAAAGCGCCAGAGCAATCAATTGCTTTGCGGGCTGTTATCGCGCGCTTGCTCACGGGTAGCTACAGTGCCTGCCGTGATGTCTTTACCAAGTATAGGAAATGTTGATTATATAATTTACTTGGTCCAGATCAAGTCTGTGATTCTGGCTTTTTTTTCTATAGAGTTAATTCTCATAAACAAGACTTTCTTTCAACGTATCTTTTTCACTATCAAAGAGAGAAGAATTCAAGGCAATTATTAAATATAAATAATCTATGTAGTATAAATATTACAGGGGTATATTCACACAAATGTCCCACTTGCGCGGGATTGGACAGTAGGTGCAGGGGCGGGGCATTGTCTCAGCATAATTCACCCAAGTTTTCGTGGAGGCATTAACTGATAACAATTCTTTTTTCTGCTTGTATTTATTGTATTGTAAAATACAGTCATGCGTCGCATTCAAATAGCGTCCAAGGTCTGAGCACTTGCGTAGAGAACGAGTCGCAACTCACGCTCCTGCCCACATATTTACCTCGCTCCTTCCCACCCTCCAATCTAGGGCTAGAGACCATCAGAGGCAGTTAGTTGCCTTTGAAGGAAAGATTATGGAAGTCTTTTTGAAGAATGTCCCCATCGATGTGGGCGAAGACCGTCTCAAGAAAGAACTCACGCCCTTTTTCAATGCTCTCGGCATCGTCGACTTCATTGTCGATAAACCCAAGCGAAAGCCCATGGCCTGGGTTTCATTCCTCAGGCACAGCGATGGTGAAGCCTTTCTCAAAACGCATGGCAAAGTAGCCGCCCTCCCAACTACCCAAAAGCCGACACCTACCGATGGTGACGCCTTTTCCAAAAAGCACGGCAAAGCAGCCGCCGCCGCCGTCGCATCCCCCCCAAAGCCGCACCCCTCAGGTGGTCGCCTTCGAGATATTGCGCGGCTGCACTTGCTAAAGACACCCATCTTTGCAGAGAGGAGTAGGCGACCGGTGAACAAGATGGCGTTGCATCGCCTGGCGCACGAGCGCGATGAGCGCCAGAAGAAACCAGACAGAAGCCAGCCAGCACCGGCCATCATTTGTGCCATCAACGCAGTCTCCTGTGGCAAGATTGTCTTTGCGCCGCCAGAAATGGGGCTGAAATACATACAGCAGATCCATCATCGTTTTGAAGCCACTGCCAAGTTTGGTCCTCAATTCCTAACGGTGCACGAGGAGAAGGTCGCTCGAATGGACATACCCTATCACGTTATCCAGTCAGTCATTCTGGACGACGGGTCTCAGAGCATGACATTGATCTTGGAAGACCCCCCGAGATTCTTCGTTGCACGTTCGGATCTTGATGGCCAAGGCGCAAAGTGGGAGCGGCTAACAAGCTTTCCTTTGTGGGCGAATCATGCCAAGTACGTGTCTCATTGTCTGGTATACCAACTGACGCTTGCTGGTGGCTACAATTCAACAGTTCGCGCTCTTAAGCGCCAGGATATTCTTTCGCTCAATCACCAGAGCATCCCGCTTACAGCTACCCCGATACCTACTGTGGAGGACTACTCTACTGCCATGAATGCATTCGAAGGAAAGATGCAGAGCCTCGGTAATGCCACGAAACATGTACTCCCCTTCCCCATTCTCTTTCAAGTCCAGACGCTCGTCTGGAACAACTACCTACACCCACACAGCGGACTGCGTGTACTCGAAATCATCGAGAGTACGGCCAAAGATGCCGCCTGGAAAGGCGAGACACCGCCCTACACCGTCGACAGCATGAAGCGGCTCCTGCGCAATATTCCGTATCCTGACACTGGCACAGACCCAGCCGATGTCAATCCGGTGACCTTTCTGCAACGCGTAGCGCAGGAGGAGACGGATCTCCGCAGTCGAGATGTGTCCAGGCAGGGCGTCTACGGTCCCAGCATACCGCGACATCAAACATGGGTCTTCAAAGCCATGGTAGCTCCTACACGCATATTCTTGCAAGGCCCCGATCCGGAGAGCCGGAATAGGGTTTTGCGCATGTTTCCCGATCACGGTGATTATTTTCTCCGCGTCACCTTTTGCGACGAAGACGGCCAAGATCTTTCCTTTAACCCCAGGGTTTCCAACGATGCCATCTACGAGCGATACCGCCAAGTTCTCATCAAGGGAATTCGGATTGCTGGCAGGCAATTCTCTTTCCTGGGTTTCTCGCACTCGTCCCTCCGATCGCACTCGACCTGGTTTATGGCTCCATTCGTCGGCGCAGATGGGCAGCGTCAAAGTCGCGACACCATCCTTGCCGCTCTGGGCGATTTTAGCGACATTCGCATACCGGCAAAATGCGCAGCGCGCATCGGTCAGGCCTTCTCCGAGACTCCTTATGCTGTTGACTTGTTCAAGTCCGGCATCGGTGTTCGTTGGATTCCAGACGTCAAATCGGCCGATGGGGAACGCGTCTTTAGCGACGGCGTGGGTACACTGTCGAGGGCTGCCGTGGAAGAGTTTTGCAAGGCACTGCCCGGGCGCTCTACGACTGCTACATGTTTCCAGATTCGCTGGGCGGGCGTCAAAGGCTTGCTCGTTCTTGACACGAGATTGCAAGGCAAGGTCATCTGCGTCCGCAAAGAATCAATGATGAAATTCCCTAGCCAAGATTTGCAAGAACTTGGAATCTGTGATCTAGCGTCGAGACCGTTGCGGTTGGTACTCAATCGTCAGGTAATCAAGATCTTGGAAGACATGGGAACTCGCGATTCGTGGTTCCTGGCATTGCAACACGATGCGCTCGAGTTTCTGCGCGCTGTCACTGCTACCGCCCTCAATACCAGCACTTTTTTGCAATATCAGGATATCGGGAGTGCCATTGGTCTATCGTCATTCATCAAACAACTGGACAAGATGGACATTGACTATCGCCGCGATGCCTTCCTCAAATCTGTCGTGGAACACGTTGTGCTGCGCGAATTGCGGCTGCTCAAACACAAGGCCAGAATCCCCGTCCACAAGGGAGTCACGCTTTTTGGAGTCATGGATGAGACCGGATTTCTTCAAGAAAATCAGGTTTATGTTACCTACGACGCGACACGGGGTAAGAGCGGAGAGCGTCTAGATACCACCTTGACAGACGGTCCTATCATCGTTACCCGATCTCCTGCTCTGCACCCCGGCGACATTCAGTACGTCCAGATGGTGACGCCTCCCGAATCTCACCCTCTAAGAAGCCTGAGAAACTGCATTGTCTTCAGCCAGAAGGGTTCTCGAGATCTACCGAGCCAGCTGAGTGGTGGCGATCTTGATGGGGACCTATACAACATCATTTGGGACCCTCGGGCTCGTCCTCAATGGACATTTGCACCTGCTGATTACACACGCGTTGTTCCTCCGTCCCTCGATAGGCCAGTCACACGCCAGGATATCGCCGACTTCTTTGTCGACTTTATGAAGTCGGACATTCTGGGACTCATCGCCATTCGGCACCAGATTATGGCCGACGTGCAAGATCTTGGGACTCAGGACGGCGAATGCATTAGACTGGCCGAGATGCACTCCACTGCCGTCGACTATTCCAAGACTGGAATTGCCGTCAACTGGCGAGATTTACCCCGGGCGCCACGCTCGCGGCCCGACTTGTAAGCTCGATCCTGCCTTCCTTGATATAACAACGGTCATCCCATTATGCTAACGCAAATTCAATAAAAAGCCTCGCTCCCGCACCTCCACTTCATCTCTACGATCTCGGCCAAATTGGCCATATAGCCGAGGAGGACGATGACGACGGAAATGACATGGCCCTTGCCAAACCTAGGTATCATCGGTCTGAAAAGATACTAGGTCGCTTGTATCGCGAGATTGACGAAGGCAAGATTTGGAGCGAAGACATACACAGGCCTATTCCCACGGATGGTCCGTCAGTGTGGGTGCAGCTGTTGGGACGAGTTCAATATGAATTGAATTCGTGGAACATCGGGACCGACTACGCTCGTCATTATGAACAAGCATGGAATATCCGCACACTGTTAGTCAACACTCATTTGAAACGGTGTCCTGGAGGCAATTGGCAGATGACTTCATCTGCTTCATTTCTTCTCTCATCTACTAGACCATGCATGCACACTGCTCAGAACTAACCGAGAGACAGGTACGAGGATGCAATAACGGGCAGCATGTGGCACTTTTCGGACAATCCACGCAGCCCCGTTTCCGAAGCAGAAGTATTTTGCGGCTCCATTCTCAACAAGAGAGGAGTGCAGTCACGGCAGCAGCGTGAGGCGTCGATTCGGCTCAAAGACGAGATTGACAGAGTCATGACGTGGATCGTCAAGCTCATTCGCGACGGGACAGACCAACGCGGCGACAACACGGCATATCAGGACGACGATGGCGTCACAGACGATTACGACGAGTACAGAGCACTTCAGTTGTCTTGGGCGTGCTTGGTCGTGGGCTGTGTCCCATCTGCGGAGCAAGCAGCCAGCAGCGGGACCGCGGCGCTCGAAAGCTTTCGCGTCGTCGCTGCCGCTTGCTTGCTAAAGGAGCTCAATGATTTGAGGAACAACATGTTGGAGGAGAAGTTTTCCGCTCTCGATATCAAGCATTCCAGAAGGGGTTGAGCTTCATTGAGATGGGTTTGGGAGCTGTTGGGAGCGCCCGACGCATGACTAGATTGTCCATGAAAGTGAGGCAAGGATGAGACGGGCCTTGTCAGCCATCTTGACAGCATTATTAACTTGTAGAGACAGGGACCGGACAGGTCCTGACGGTTCTGAGCGATTGACTTTATCCGCGCATGTCTAGTGTCATTATGAAGATGTAGAAGCGGTAGTTCCCGACGATCAACTTCTCTACGTAGAGATTCCATGTTGATAACAAACCGGCCGCTGTTGATCCCTTTAGCTGACGGCGGCTGGCATAAACCCGCCAATCTAACTCGATTCTGCAGATACGAAACAATCCCATATGCACCACCTACCTGTGGCTCTTGCAATTTATTCCTACATATGGCAAAGCGTCGCACTGAGCTTGGTAGGTCTAGGATCCGTCACTGTTCCTCTGCTCTTTTACTGCTTGTTGCCTGCTGGAGGAGACGATCATCACCATATCCACGAGCGTCGAGAGTGCGAGTTTGATATCCAACACAGGTCAGGTAGTTAGTTTTTTATGGGTGTTCTGCTTCGCTCAGCCACAGAGCAGAAGCCGACTCTCAGACTTTATATTTGCGAGTATCTTTACTGTAGAAGCCAGCTTTCAAGATGATATGCAGAAACAACACCATCATTCGCTCTTTCCTTTGTGTCTTGATATTACTCTTCTTCTTTGCCTGATAATACTATACTCTTCTTCATACAAAAGCCCTTATACCCCATAGGGGCGGCATTGTTATCGTGGCTGAAGGGAGAGGGGGCGGCAACCCGCTGCACGTTGACAAAGAGCCGCGCTGCCACGCAAAGTGAAATGGTAAAGAAAAGGTCTAGTCTACGCGGTGTGTTGCATCATGTACTTGAAAAACATAGAACAGTGTGTGCGCGAGCCAGGTGAAGCCCTCGTGCATTGCAACTAACTACATCTCTTTCGAAAAACCCCTGTTCCCAAAATCCTATCCGTGACTTTTGCAGCCATATTGAAAGTTGTAAACTGAAAAAAAGATCCCGGAAAAAAAAAAAGAAAGATTCCTTTTAGTATACACTTTCGCCACCCTTCTCCCCTCGCACTCTCCATCTACGCATTACCATTCTCGCCATCCACCACCATCTTGTCCTTGGTCGCCTCCGCCACAAACGCCGCCTCCACGGCCGCGCGGCGCCGAAACACGCGCAGCCAGCGCTGGCCCCATCGCCGTATCAGCGCATCGTCCGTCTCGCTCGCGCCGTCTTGCTGCATCAGCTCGTCCTTGCTGCCGCCCGCCCACGCCTCGAGCGCGTCGTTGATGGTGCGGAACAGCTCCGTCATGTCCGCCACCTCTTTGGCGCGCGTCTCCTCCTCGTCGTCGATGGCCGCGGCCTCGCTGTTGTTGGGCGCAGCCGCCGTGACGAGCTGGCGCACGCGCGCCGTCACCTTGGAGACGGTGTTGAAGATGGCCTCGTAGATGTGCGGCTGCGCGAGCGCCGCGCCAGGCGAGCCCTTGTGCGAAGCGCTATCCGCGAGGATGGCCCAGTCGGCGACGGAAAACGGCGTCAGGATCGAGTAGTTGAGGAGCTTCTCGATAATGGATAGCGCCACGCCGGGGTGCGCGTGCCAGTACGCCATGACGGACGAAATGATTTGACTGCGGGCTGCGGGCGAGGCGGCGCCGGCGTCTAGGAGGCGGACCTTGCTCCGATCGATGCAGGCGAGCACGTGGCTCAGCGACTTGGAGCCGACCCAGCACATGGCCGTCACGAAGACGTCCGTGCTGGTGACGACAGGGTCCAGGGCCCGTTCCTTGGCTTGCGCCTGGATGGCGTCAATGGTGGGCTGAATCTCCTCGTCTGTGGCCTTGCGACGCAGTAGGGCGCCGATTTCCTGACCCTCAGCGGAGAATGGGGTGTCTGGATTCTTGTACTTGAAGTCTGGCACGTCCTGCTCCTTCTCGGGACCGATGAGGTGCTGGTACGCCTCGGGGAGCGTCTTCTGAATTCGTTGCGCAAAGCTAAGGCGAATCTCTTTATCCAGCGCACCATTCAGGAACCACTTGGCCGGGTGCAGATCCGACAGCGCAGCATCGTCCGACCACTCCGCCCACTTCCACGTAAAGCCAAAGTTGCTCAGGTGGTGCCCGAACCAGTTGACGCAGCGGTACGACAGCTCGAGGTCCATGCGCGGATTGTTGCGGTACAAGTAGCGAATAGCTCGGCCCAGACTAGGCGCAATGGCGGCCGGTGCCAGCTTGCAGGCTTCCGTGAGGACCGAGTGGTAGTAGACAAGCTTGCAGTTTGGCGTCGGCAGTTGGAGGAGCTGCGAAAAGACCGTGTCGACGGCGACATCCTCAGGCTTCCACGTGGAGCGATTGTTGCCGGCGAGGTTGCGCAGTTCATCAAACGGAGTCGCGCGCTTCACAAAGGTGCCGTCGGCAAAGTAGCAATCAATGTCCATGAGGAAGCGAGCCGTGGCATTTCGGTTGAAATCGAGGCCGTTGACGGTGTCGACGAGCACGTCGCGGATAAGAGACGAAGCAATGTGCTGCGTGCCGGGCACAGACTCGACGTCGTCCTGATCCGAGTAGACGGAGAGATATACCTCCGGGAAGAGCGCACGGGGACCGGCGACCATGTTGGCCGGGATAGAGATGGCAGGGATCGCGTGCTTGCGCGCGTTCTCAATCTTGTCCTTTGTCTCTACGTCCTCGAGCCCCATCTGCCATGGGCGAGGCAAGCATGCCAGCTCCCACTCCTTCGCAGCCTCGGCTTGCAGCTGCTTCTGCAACAGCACCAACACGCTGGCAGAAGCAGTCGGGCTATCTTCATTGCTCTGGGTATAGTACGGATCGACCAGCGCATGCAGCGCATGGGGCTCAGAGGCGATGATGTCGGTCTTGTCCATGAGCTCCGCGGCCTTTTGCTTGAATTCGCCTGGCGCAGAGACCATGGCATAGGGAATCGTGAGGAGGATAATCTTGACGATTTCGGTTCCAATAGTCTACATCTAGTCAGTATGCAAGGGTTGCGGCGCGGTAGCGTTCTCGCCCAGCCACGTACATCTTCAGAGCTAGCCGTCTGCAGATCGGCCGCGCGGTTAAAGAGTTCCTCCAGCAGGGGAAATACTCCATCACCCTCCAGATTGCGCTGCAAACAGGCCAAGAACTTGAGATAGAGCTTCACCTCGGTCCACTGGCCAGCGGCAATGGCGCTTTCCAGGTCCTTGGCGAGGCGCTCGAGGATAATCTCCATGGCCTCTGGCTTGAGCGCGTTGGCAACGAGCACCACAGCGGCGACAAAGGGCGTCTTTAAAGGCTGCTCGAGCACCATTTGCAGCACCAGGCTCACGTAGAGGTTGCGCAGGTGCTCATCGTCATAGTTTTCGGATATCATCTGCGCGAGGGAGAGCACCTCGTCGGCCCATCGTCGCAGGGGGGACTCAGCTACGGCGACGAGCTGTCTCCTGAATCGAACAGGCACGGGCGCCGGATCATGTCGCCTTCTCTGCCGTCGGTCGAACTGGTCATCGTCGTCTGTTCATTCAATTCGTCGTTGTCAGTTTCCATTTTCTTGCGGCAGACAGCGGGAGCTATCAGGTAGCTTCGAATTTGAGCATCGTACCTCTATACCGCCTCTTGCGATTATAACCGCCACCCTGTCTCCTGTCATAGTCGGCCATGGTGCAATTTGGCTGATTAAAATTCCAGGAAACACTGTTTATTCGATTGCGCACCGCAAGCAGTCTCGTTCTCGGGCCTGCAAACGCTTGCGCTACGCGTAACAAGATAATGCATGGAGCTAGCAGGTCGACGTGATGCCTCAGGCACCAAGTTACACTGAGACGTCGAATCGGAATGAGCCCAAGACTTTGAACACACACTCTACCACATAGTTGCATAAACATGCTGTGCAAGACTTTCAAGCTTGTTACTTCTCGATTTGTGATGATGACATTTCGGCGTCCATTAATTGTGCGCGCACTCAAACAGCTCACTCGCATGCAAACGTCATTCAGTACACAGGAACGGAAACACAACCTGAATTCATTTTGGTATATCGAATATGCAGCCAAATTCCGACTTGCAATGGCATTATGGAATACAAGCGGCAGGCTTGCGCCACTTTGTCGTTAAGAATGCTCCTCGGTATAATTGCTCTCCGCCTTCAAATAAAATCCACCGTGCGTAATTCATCATCCGTAGCAAGCACATGAAGTAGAAGAAGTAGTATCACCAACGGATGTCAAACGGTTAACGCTGCTTTGAGTTCATCACAATCGGGGCCATCCAAACTTGACGCAGCTCATAAACAAAGAAAAAGGGGACATGATGTCTGCTCATCGGCTGACAATGCTTTGCGCAACAACGGCCAATGGTCAAACTGCCCTGGCACAAGCATCGCTCCGGTAACAGAAGTATCCGTTCGAGCCACTTCAACCCCACGCAGTGAGGATAGCAAAACCACCGGCCATGTAAATGATAGAAACAGAGTAACCGTCGTTCAAAACACGCAACTTTGTCAGCCAACTCAAGGTTTGCGGATCCCCATCTGCTGCAGCTTTTACCGGGTATTCTGCTGCAGCCAATTCACCGAACAACCGTTCCGACATGGGTGTTCTATGCTCATTTTGCTGGCGAAACCAGGCTTTCAACAGACCATGGGACGCGAATCCCATCCCTCCACGACTTTTGACCGAGCCACCCAATTACTAGTTTGACAGATCGGGTGTAGTTTCGTCCAGAATCTCGTAAGCAGAGCTTGCATGCGGAAAAAAAGACACCTCCCTCCGTTGCTGTGAAAGCTGAGGACCAAGATGGCTCGCCAGCCCCTCTTGGCAAGAAATAAGAGAAAAATGAGCACTACCAACACGAAAGGTGCTCAGTCAAGCTTGGCCATCATCTCCTGCTTCGTCATCGGGGTAATATTGTCAATGTCGAGACCACGTGCGGCGAGGATGGCACGCTGGTGAAGAGGAACTAATTGGCTGTTGAGGTCGGGCGCAATGGATAGCTCTGTACGACAAAAAATATTAGAGTCGCAGACATAGAGTGGGTAGAGTAGAGAGCGAATTCTTACCATGACGAGTGAAATTGAAGAGCTCCGGAAGATCGCGGAGCTGGCCAGTGCCGTGTCTGGAATCGGGGAGTTTTGTCTCTGGATCGCGCAACTCGTCAAAAAAAGGGTGGACCATGGCGTTGACGGCAGCCTCTCTTTCAGTGGGGGTGTATTCGAGTAGCTTGGTGATGAGGTCAATAGCATTGGCGTCAGCCTTGCGGAACACCTTGTTGAAAGGATGCGGCTTGATCTGGGGGAACTTGTGTTCCATGTAGTTGGGGTTCATGGTGCGGATCTGCTCCCTGGTAGGTGTGCCGAGGACTTTAATAATTTCCACCAATTGGTCAATACCAGATTCTCCGGGGAATAGAGGTTGGCCAAGCATCAACTCTGCCATAACACAGCCTGTGGACCAGACGTCTGAAGGACATGTAAATTAGCATGCTGTGTGAACGAGATGATATGTGTGAAAACTCTTACCAATCTTGGTTGTGTAGTTTGTGGCGCCAAAGATGAGTTCAGGGGCGCGGTAGTATCTGGAGCAAATATACGAGACGTTGGGTTCGTTCTCAACGAGGATCTTGGCGCTGCCAAAATCGCAGAGCTTGAGGATACCGCTAGTAGGGTCGAGAAGGAGGTTTTGGGGCTTGATATCACGATGGCAGATGCCTTGCGAGTGAATATAGGCGAGGGCGCGGAAAAGCTGATAAATGTAGAGCTTGACCTCGAGAATGGGCATGGTAGTCTTCATCTTGTTGAAGAATCGCGAGGCTCGGTAGACAGTCTCGGGAACGAATTCCTGGACCAAGTTGAGGTAGACCTCATCTTTCTGTACATGTCTCTTTTAGCTTGTGTGGTGATGGAGTGGGTGCGTGCGTGGGTGCGAGGATGCTTACTCGTTCGCCATTGGAGTAGTAGAAGGCCTTGAGCTGGACAATGTTGGGGTGCCGGACAATGCGCATGATTTGAAGTTCACGGTTCTGACAAGGCCCGTTAGTTGTTGTTGCCGTGGTAGGGTGAAGCGGCCACAGTGGTGCATACCTTGAAACGCTTGTCTTGGAGGACACGCTTGATGGCAGCATCCTCACCAGAAGGAGAAAGCTTCGTCTGGAAGACGACACCGAAAGAACCATTACCGACAATTTTGCACTGGGTATACTGAAGCTCTCTGGTTTCGCCAGTTACTCCATCTTGAACGCGCTCACGGATCACTTCTGCAGAGAGGGTCAGTAGTTGGGCGGAAAAGGTTTGGCTGGTGGCCAGAGAGAAGACGGGTAGGGTTGCTCACCTCCCATCCGTAGACTATTGAACGCTCCGGGTCGCTGCGATGACATGCTGCAGTTATCTGGGCCAATTGGCGATCCAAATACTATTGAAAGCAGGCGCAAGACCGAGGTTGCGGTATATCAAGGGGTTGGATGGCTTTTAGGAAAGCCGTATTGGGCAGCAGGGTCCTGAGAGACCCGAGTCAGACTGATACGCTGCGACGCAACGTATACCTTCTTTAGTTGGGAAACGTGAGCAGATGCAATCGAGAACCGAGCTATTGGGCGGACAGATGTTAGCGAGTCGGCTGGGTAGAGTCGGGATATGAGACGAGAAGCGACGAGGCAGCAAAAGGTAAGCAGAACGAGTGAGTGGCGCCAAGGACGCAGAGATGCGACAATTTCAGCCAGACGACGTAAACGAATTAGAAGAAGCTATCATCAGACGCACCGTCAAGCGCACGAAAGGGGCAGACAGAGGCGTAATTGAGAGAGGCCGGCAGAGGAGAGAAATTAAGCGTGGTATGCAAAGGCGATTGTGGAATGATGATGGTAAGGGACGCTGGCTGGGGCTGGGAGGGGCGCGAGTGATGCGGGGCATTGCAGCGTAATGTATGGGACGTGGGTTTGGAGCTCGTCTGCATGCACAAGCTATGCGTCCGAAGCAAGACTGTCCATTGAGGCTCAAACAGCGACGTTGAGGCTCAAAAATGACGAGCAATGAGTACGCAGGAGGATGTTTAAGCGCAAGGGAGCCGCGGCGGAGAGAACAGCGGCCGGTATGTGAGGGCGGCGATGAGAAGCAACTTACCGGCACGAGGTGCAGAATGGGCGCGAGATGCGAGAGAGAGGGCGACGACTTGGAAGCTTTACCAAGAAGACACGAACAAGAATGACGTGGAAAAAAGAACACAGACAACTGCGAAGGCGCAGGTGACGATATAATGCACGACCAGACGATAAGCCAGCAACAGCAGCAGAGGTTGGCTCGGTCGGGACTGAAGAGAGACCTAGGCAAGAGTGTCGTCAGAGTTTGGGCGTAGATAGAGCTCTCTGCTTTTTTTCTGTTGCGTCGGTCGAGTACGGCGGGCGTTTCGGAATCGACGAGGAAGAGATGCGAGGCACACAAGACAAAAGGGTGGGCAAAGGGGGGGCCTTGGTTGCTTGGACAGGCGTAAAGGAAGATGCGAGATGTAGATGCGCTCTGAAGAGGGTGGTTTTTTTTGTGTTGGAATTGGAGGGGGAGGGAAATATTAAGCTGGGAAACGGGAAACGGGGGGATGGTGGTGGGCGTGGTGCGGGAGTGGTACTTTCAGGGAAGGGGTGGCAGCGAGGTGCAGCCAAGTACCATTCAGGCTGTACCTTGGTCCTTCAGCGAGGCCGGCATGCTCTCTGGCGATTTCAGTGCGGCTTCAGTGCTCGAAACTCTTGACACCCCCAGTCTGGGCACCGCAGGCAGAGGCCTGACAGCATTGAAAGCAGCGGGCAAGGCACTAAAATTGGGCTTTCATCCACTGGGCTGCATACAGCTACTTGGCCCGGGGTGAGAGTTGCGGGTACAGACGAGCAGGTGATGTGCCTGTCGAGGGGGTACATGGGGCTTTGCTGACAGCTTGAGCCAGTCTTTTAGTACCGACCCGACAATGACAGAATGGAGAATCCATCCCCGTCCAGTCGCGTCTAGTAGACTGCAGTTGGCTACAGCGGGGGCACTGGCAGGTCGGAGTGGGCTTGGCTTGCTTGCCAACTTGCTTGCTGCTTTGCTTGCTTGATGCTATTTAGGCAGTTCGGATGATTGACAGACTGATGATTATTGCCTGGTTGACTGATGATTGACGATTGACTGACTGACTGACTGACTGACCGGGGCCAACATCAAGCAGCAAATTCCTTGCGCCGACCCCCCCCCCCTCCCCGGCGCATCTTGGGCTTCGGATTTTAGCTGCTCATGTGCCCATCTTTGAGACGGCCCTGCCGGCGAAAAAGCTCGGCAGGCCAAAAGTCAAAACATGTCCATCGTATCAACAGCAAACTTACTAATTATCATTAACCAGTCATTGCCATGCCCTTCGAGTTCGTTCTCTTCCTTGTCCCATTCTACTAACTATTCATCCACCAGCATCGTGGTGGACCGAGAGATACGCAGCTACGTAATCGAGAGGAAACAGTTTTAATTGATTGCAGCGGGTAATTTATTAGCATTGCTAAAGCACTCGCCTAGTGCCTTTGGGACTCACGCTTTCATGCAGCGCTTCTCACCTCCGCCTATTGTCTTCTTTACTCCCGCCTCTCTCAGCCGTCCTTGATCGTACTGGCACACCACCACACAGCCGGGCCTCAATGTCGCATTTTCTGCCTCATTTGCCTCTTCTTGCAATTAATACCTCTCCTTGTTCTTGCTTCATTATTTATCCCTCACTACTTGCATCATTTTCTCCTGTCTCTCCTTACCCACCCTCTGTCTTCCGATGAGGCTTTTGCTGACCCTCCCCCTGCCACCCTCCATCATGTACTAGGAGAAAACAATGATGGAAAGTCCCTTTGCAGGGGTCAGCAGCCCAACGAGAAACTCGTTGATGCACAGTTCAATAAAGCATCATGTTGATGCAGAGATGCATGCCTACTGTACGCAGCATCCCATAGGTAAGTAGTCAAGCCATGGAGCCTTTCTCGCCTAGAGACATGTGGTGGAGCCATAATTTACAGTGCAGAAATCAGCCGTGTGCTCTCTGTAAACATCACAATCCAGCTGGCGCCTGTAGGCTGTGATGACCTCGACCTGCTCGTCGTTGCAAGTGCCAGCTGCCAGCTGCCAACTACCCATACCATGCCAAATGCGTGCCACCCCCAAGCTGTCCTTCGTTCGGTAATTTTCTTTCTTCAACGTTTCATCCCCTTGAAAACATATCATCTCACCACATTCATCAGACTATTAATCAAGGACGCACCGGAGCATCTTTCCGGCCGCGTATGCTCAACCGGCTCGCTCCTCGCCAGCCCTCCCTCTCTCTCTCTCCCAGCTACTCCACCATCAGCTTTTCATCTCGACATTCATACCCGTGTCTAACAGAGCCCCCAGTGTTGTTCAGCCGCTCATATGTTGCCGGCATGGCATTGACCACCCAACACCTCTTCCATCTACCAGGTGCCAGGCCCTCGGGAGACAAAACAGACGACGCATCGAGCCTAGAAGGCTCACTTCGTCTAGCAGCAATCATCTTAGTATATAATCCGAGATATAAGTTTTCGACTAATTTATCTACACTTTAGTAGCTAAGGAATTTATTAGTATTTATCTTATAATTTTAAACCCCTAGTCTAGTGAGGTAAGTGACGGTCCCTATAGCAGGTGTTAAGGCTTATCGGCAGTCTATTTTGTCCCCCAGGTGCCAGGCCAGGTTGTTTCGACTAAAAGAAAAGCCAGCCGCCGCCCCTGCGCCAGAAAAGAAAAAAAAACCAGCAACATCACAAGGTCACTCTTCAGGTCCTCAAGTGGAGACCAAGCCTCCAATAATGGCGCTAGTCTTTGCGCTGATCGAGAGATGGCCAACCGCTGACAACCTAGAGCCTCCTATACGCTGCTACGCTAACCACTTTCTCTGCGTCTTTCTTCGCATGCTCGGGCCCGGTCCCTGGCACCTGGCTCCCTGGCCGCCAACGCCAACGCCAACGCCAACGCCAACGCCAACGCCAACACCAACATCAACGCCGTGTTTGACTAAAATGTCTCCATGTCTGACCTGTACCTGCCCTGACCTCTACAGGGCTGGCCTGCTATAACAACTCCTTTTCGCCATTGTACGACATGACCATTCCACTGCCAGACAGTATCATCAAGCGCTAATGCTAGCTCGCCAACCACATCTGGAACAAGAGTCTCTCCAAAGATAGACGACGACAGTCCAGGAACCCCCCATCACCTCGTACATGGCGGGAATGGCTGCGGTCTGCATGTTGCCTCGCCCTCTACACACATTGGCACAGCAATCTGCACCTTTGACACTGTTCAGGGCCCTCAGAAACCCAGCTGCCCCTCCAGCCCTCCTCGTCAACTTGCTCCTCAAAACAGCGCACAAGGGCTAAAACCGGATCTGTCTTACTACCCTGTCCTCCCATCAAGATGCGCCAGCATGGACCAGGGGTTTCCGGCCACCCGCCCACCGGCATTGGCAGCCTGCCACCTGCAACCTGCGACATGTTTACTCGCGCCAACCCTACCGGCAGCTTCGACTACCAGCAAGCTCTACAATCCAAAATAGCAGTCCCTCGCTTCACAATGAAACCGGTGGAGAGAGAAACGTCGCCCGCAGAAGATGCATCGGCGGGGCGTGGATAAGTGTGGTGGGGCTTTTGAGATGTTCTGAACATGGCCTGCTGCTCTTCCCTTGGCTCCGTCTGCCTACCTGATGCTTCGCGGGCTGATTGGGTCTATTATTGCCAGTCCACCACATTGGGACATGGCCACGCCGTCTGCCGGAGGCACGAGTCCTCGTGCCCTAATCCCGTATCCACTGCCATGATCCATCTGTGCCACCGACGGGCTGGTGGAGCGAGTGACTTGGAGTGCTTGGCTCGTGCATGTCCTGCTCCGAAGGATGTCCAGACCATTGGGTCATTTTGGGAGCAAGTGTGCGAGTCTGGTGAGTACATATTGGGTCTCCTACAGCACGGCTCATGTATATGCATCCACCATTGATGCAAGAAGTCTGCGCATCACGAGACACTGAGTGCATTTCAAAACACGTCGACGCACGCACACACAACCCGCGGTAATCTGTGCTGTTGCCAGTCATACAGTCAACTCGGTTGAGAACTGCCTTACACTTTTCAATGCTTCCTACGGTCGCTGCTCTCATCATCCAAAGCGCTCCATGACGCACAGTGCTGCAGACCACGACCAATTGGCGTACCACAACGCCATGCCGCTGGCGCATGCCTCGCAAAATCATCGCGACCTCTTAAGTGCCAGGTGCATGGCGTCCAGCTAGTGTGGGCACAACGGGCGTCGGTAGTGTTGCGTGGACACCAAAGCCTGCTACCCCTGCCCTGTGGTCACACTGGGGCTCGACGTCATGCTCCGCCTGCCACAGTAGCACATTCCGTCCAGAGGTAAAGGGGCAATTTTGAAGCGCTCCAGGTCGAAAATGGGCTTTCTGGTGTTGTACGATTAGGCAGAGGCTCAAAAGCGCCATTCGCACTGGCCATTTCTGCGAGTCCCAAAGCCAGCCGGAGCATCCCAGTCCAAGACATGAAAAGTGTGCTTCTCATGAGATACAAAGGCCCTTGGTCTGGCGAGTGGCTGGCGGCGCCGAAAACGCTAAAACGAACCCAGCCAGAAGTTATCCTCCGCTCTCGCAACACTTTTGGCCTAGTTAGAATGTCGCTGCACCACTCACCACTCACAGCGAATGTCTGGGGAAGAAAAGGTGGAATGGGAGGTGGTCTCATGACCAGACCCATGCAGCGCTAACGTCCGAATTTGACTCTGGAGCTAGGGCCACTGAACCCATCACCATCTGATCAAAAGATGCAGAGAAAAGAATGATAAATACTCCGTCCGTAGTGTCGTGTCATTTCCCCCCGAAGACATCGTGCCTGGCCAGCTGCCTCTCGCTAGAGCCAGTCCAGATTCGCTACCTGGTATCATAGCTGGCAGACGGCTATGGCGGCGCAAGAGCATCATGCTGTTTTTTCGATTAGTCAAGATGTCCTAGACGGGGTGGCAACTCCCCTACTCCCTCCGACAGGCCTCTTCTGAACCGAAGCCATTGACGCAATGACAGGATGCACTTATTGCCACCACCATTACCCGTACAATTGCTGCTCTTTTCCTTGGTTGTCGCACGAACCGCTTGCTTGCAGTCGTCCATCCTTCCCGGGATGGCAGGATCCCAGTGATAATTTCTAGCCTAGCGGCGGCGAGCTGGGGCCACCATCACGCTACCCTGTGTTTCTTATTTCGTCCACTTGATCGTCGACTGCTCTCCTCTGGCCTGATATTACAGCATGGCATAAACGGTGGCTGTTTTGCACCAATGATCAACACTAGGTTGATGCAGATGATTCACTTGCAGCCAGGGAAAGCGAGGCAGACTGCCAACAAATGCCTCAACAAACGCATGGTCTTGCATGGCGACGAGGTAGGGGCTTGCAGAGGGGCACTAATAAGTGACAAACGCTAGGCTGCCGACTGGCTGAATCTCGATGGCCGTGGACTCGTGGCCAGTGTTATTTATTTAGAGAGCATCGACGAACCTAGGTGGCGTCGACATTTCACCGAAATAGAGTGCTTGATATCATTCATGGCTTATACCCGTATGGTTGTTTTTGGACACCGGGAAGCCAACGAGTCATCATGCCACGAACACAAACACCGAGAACTATTAAAGAAAAACATTGCGCTTTCTCCGGGCTCTCATCTGGACGCCCATTCAAGCGATGCAATCCTCGATCAATCCAATTATCTTTCTATTCATTCACCAAGAAACTGCTTTCCATGGCAGCGTTGCACCGGTCAGCTATTTACCTACGAAGTATACTCAAGTCTTAGGGGTACGCCATCATGAAAGATGGGTCGGGCTATCACAAAAGAGGCAATACATGGAGCCTCGTCTTCGGCCTTGAGATTGTATCTCATCTGCAAGCCTGCAGAGCTCCTCCATGTGTCATGCGGCCGGAAATGCGGCCTACAACGTTGTGCACCCGCTGCAGTCGGCTCTTTTTGTCCAACTTCCCATGCTCAAGACCCAGGCGGCCACAAATGCAGACGGGCCATGTGAACAACGCTGTATCCGTACGAGCCTTGTTGCTTGTTAGGACACATGGGCACTTTCAATACAGGACGCCTCGGTTCCAGCCATTGCATTTCATCCGAGTCACAAATGCACCCTACAATTGCTGCAAATACATTACGAAGTGATAGAGAATGAGGCTGAGTTCAAAAGATTGCTTCCAATACATGGCGCGGCCTCAATCGAGGCGTGAGCAGCCTCACGGCAACCAACCAACCTCGCTTTCTAGTTACCTGCACGGCCAGCCGGCGGACGACCGACCCATGGCGGCGCCACCGGAGCAGCTGATGAATGCAGGCGGATTGGCAGGCCTTGCAATAAGCAAAACGCATGGCGGATTGCTGCGGCTAGCTAGGCCCCCTTTTCCATCCACTCAGCGAACCCGGCAACGCACCACCCTAACCCATGGCCCCCTGCTGCCGTACCTGATCTTGTGATTGCTCAATTCTTTTTTAAGGGACCAAGGCTTGTTTCAATGCATGGGCGCGCACAGCCTCGAGACGTTTTCCTCAATGTGTCTCGGACCAGTTATTCGGGAATGATTCATGAGCTATTTACCAGTTCATACGTATGTACGAATTACTGGTACGGTGTACCTGGCAAGTTTCCCCTTGCTGATATTGGTCCAGAGCTATTGTTCCCAATTGAAGCTCTCTGGCAATGTTTCTATCATCGCTCGTTACAAAACATTTGATACCATGCCGTTATTGAAACGCCAATGGATGACCGCAGCGCGCATCTTGCAATTTTGATGGGTCAATGTCTCGAATGACACGAGCACGTGGCTACCCAAAACCTCCAGGGTCTCCCGAACTTTCCTTCGCCAAGTAAATATGTACGTATGTACGGATTACATGACGGCGTACATGACGGCAAAACACCACTTTCGATCGAGCCGAAACAGAAATCAGGCCAATCGAGTTTGCGGCGCCTCTTACACCCCTGTTCCGTCATCGCACAACTCATCTCATGAATCATCCCGGCTGCGTGGATTGATTGATTATCCACACGCGTTGGCGGAGCCTCAACATCCTGCCTGGGCCATCGTCCCATCGTGTAACCGACACGGCGGCGGCGGCGGCGTCGACGCCCCTTTCCCCCCTGCACTTCTCTTCAACTCTTCGGCCCTTTAAATGTAAGTGCGCTGATGCCAATATTACGTCCCTTGGTCCTGTGCACGGTGTGCCTCAAGTCCCGGCAATATGGTGCTCGCATGGCCATTCTTCGCCTGCCACATGTCATGTGGTGGTGCCGTCTTTTTGTCCAATCCTCCCTGCCCCTGTATGCACACGTAGCTGGATTCAAGGTTCATGTGTAAGGCGTAGCAAATCCTGTATTTCCTCTAGTCTCTTTCTGACATCTTTTGATGAACCCCGAAATTTGTAACGTCCTCTTTGAAATTTACCACGTTGCCACATAAATCGCATGTTACAAATTTCGGGGTTCTCTTTTGATGACCAATTTCCAAAAAAGATTATCACATGGCTTGAAGAAGAAAAAAGAGGCGTACTCGGTACGTGTCACGACGGTGGCGTTCTCGGGTGTGACATGGCAAAGCACGAAACTTGGACAATCGGCCAAGACATGACTGGGAACTAGGAAGAAAAGGTTTGAGCCTTTGTTTTATGCAAGGATGGACAAAAGGAGAAATTTCCATCGAGGCTAGTAGACCGCTAACATTGAGCTGGAGGGACAAGAGTCGTCAATATGAAAAAAAGGTTCCTCATGCGTGTCATTGTGCAATTTCTGTATCACAAAAATCCTTTAGCCATACACAGCAAGAGGTGAAATCTCTTTCGGTTCACATGACGCACGATTCATGCCGCAACAACCCTTTTCACGCAACTCCGCCACGACAGTCTAATCCTCGTCGTCCAGTTTATCCGCCACCGTGTCCTTGGACTTGTTGATAACCTTTTCCGGGCGCCTCTCCACGGGCGCCGCCGCCGCCGTTGTGGATGTCTCGTTTGCTGCGACCGCCGCGGCAACGACGCCGGCCAGCGGCGTCATCTGGCCGCTTGCGGGTAGGCTCTCCGGGCGGCTGGCCGATCCAACGGGCGGAGCGCTGCTGCCCGCGGCGAGTAGCTTCATGCCGTCGGGCGAGCCGGGGATCATCTCCGGGTCGAGGCCGGGGATATGGATGCGGCGCGCCTCATTTTGGTACGCGGCAGGGATGATTTCGATGATTTCATCGCGCGGGAACCGCAGCGCGGGGATCTCAACGGTCGAGCAGTGCATTAGGTAGGCGTAAAGGACACGCAGAACCGACTCGTGCGCAATGATGAGCAGGTCGTTTTGCTCACGCTCCAACTCGAGAATGATGGGCTCGAGACGGACGGCAAGGTCGTGGTAGGACTAATATAAACAAGTGTATTAGCGTGCGAGTTGATGGCCGTGGCAGAAAGGGGAGAGATATACCTCTGCGCGGGGATACCGGTGATGGTAGGGGTCGACTTCGTGTTTTTCAACCTCGTCGGGGTACAATTGGCGAATGACGCGCTCTGACAGCTTCTCACAGATGCCAGGGTTGAGCTGGCTCATCTGAGATCGTTGCCGAACTTTGTAGCCCATGTCCCGCAGAGTGTCTGCTGTCTGAATGGTGCGTAGCCGCGTCGAAGTCCACACCGTCAGCGGCGGTAACGTAGCGGCAGTCTCGCCTGATTCGACGTGTTCTTGCACGCGGTGTTTGAGAATTGTCTCCGTCATCTTTTTCGCGTACGTGCGGCCGGCGTCGGAGAGCGGCGCATCGGCGCGGAACGAGTCCTCGTCCGTCGTCGTGCCTGCACGGACAAAAAAGGTCTTGCGGGCCTTGATGTGGAGGTTGGTGAGATAGAAGACGATTCTGTGAGAGAGGTAGCTAAAGTTAACATTGTTGTAAAAGAATTTTTCGCCGGCGTTGATCATTTTGATATAGTTGAGCTCTTCTTCGGCCATCGTCTCAAACACGGGGATTCGGACTTCAATCCGCTTCAGATACAGCTTGGCAGCCTCGTCGGGATCCATTCCAGCAAACTTGTGGCATTGTTAGTCTAGCTCAGCCTGTGGGAAAGAAGAGGCGCATACGTCTGGGGAGGAGATTTTGACGTTTCTGGCATTTTCCCGCAGGATACGCTCGTCATCCACAAACGACTCAATGAAGAGGGTCTAATATTGTCAGCAGGCTCATCCATCGTGCCATCTCCGATATCCTTACTTGAACGTCATGCTTGGCCAATTCCTTTGCCAGCGAGCGACGACCGCTTGCAGTCGGGTTTACTGCGTCGTAAATGGCGACCTGACCATTTTCATGATTGAGCCAGCCGTAAATATCCTCGCGACACTTCTTGAGAATTTTCTGACGAAGAATGACGGATTCCGGAGAGGCGTCTGGAAAAAAGTAATCCTTTGGAACAGCGCTTTCCGGGCCAATGGTGGCTCGTCGGTAGTCTCCGAGGTGGAAGATGCGCGTCTTGACACCAAGCCACCCAAGATAGCGGGCTAGCGACACACAGACGTGGCTTCAATGGTCAGTAGAATTAAGCAGAAGCTCGACTGAAAGTTCTCACGTCTTTCCTCTCGCAGGAGGTCCAACCATGACGATGGCTATCCGACCCGAGTGAAACAGCCGGCCAGACATGGTGCTGTAGAGCTGCGCCGGAGCCATGTTGGAGGAGTCCTCGGTCACATCGTGGATGCCGTCGATAAAGGTCGAGCTCTTTCGACGGTATCGAGGCGCATTTGCCGCAATCTCGGCGGTTCTGTGGCGGTTAGCATGTTGCTTGTCCCCGTTTCTTTGCCCCGGTATCCGATCACCCCACGCGATTTGCTCCGACGGTTGTGGACAGGTCCGCCGGTCGAGCGATGGGCTGAGACTTGTTGGAAAGGGTGCTGATGAAGCGTTGCAACGTACAGTAATGTGTCCATCGTGAGGGGGCTTTAGTTCCGCGGGGTTTAAACGGCGGGTTTTGTTGCTTGACAACGGGGAGTTTGGTTACCGCTCCCGTCGTACCGCCAAGCAGCAACAGCTGAGCTGTCTCGTTGGTGGGGTGCAATGACAGAGCTTGTTGTCACCACCTACAGCAGCCGAAAGATCAGAAGATCAGGTGTCAACGCGGCCTTTGATATTCTACGTAGAGAAATGCTGGAGAAATAGGGGTGTAGCCTTCTATTCTGAGCGAGGAGAGACACAAGAACCTGGACTAGGTAAAAGCCAAGAAGCACAATTTGCTCGGCTATCCAGGGTAAGTGGCTTTGTTACTGCGTGGCGTGCATCAAGGATCTCGGCCTGGATAGATTTCGGCGGGGCAAGACCTTATGTAATGAGCCAGCGGGGAGTGTTAATACGACGTTATGAGAATTTGAAAGAGCCAATTGGCGCTGTAAAAAAGTGTATGCCCTTTGAGAGCCAGAATAGTGACATTTCGCACTGCAATTTCTTCTCATTTCGCTCAAATTCACGTTCTGCTCAAAAAGGCTTCTCGTAAATCGATTCTGAGGCCGCTTGCACTCAACAGCACGTGCGCCTCCCCGGAACGGAACATTCTAAATGCCGACCCCCCCAATTGGCCAGACACGGTTCATCCACACTGTGGCTCCAGCCGTCATCAGCTCTGGTGCCACCTTTTGCTGGTCAACACCAAAGGAGACGGGCCTACCCAATTGGGGCCACTGAAAATTATTCTCCTGCCTTCTCCCATCCCCAACTCATCCGAGCTTCGCCCATCCGCGCCCCTTCGACCAACCCGGCGTTCACGGCTACACAAGACTCCTTCCTTAATCCCTACCGCGACCTGGTCTTGTGGACTGGCCTTTGATTCCTCTTTACCAGCGTGCATTGGTTATTTTGTTTAGTTTCTCCGTCGCACCTTCCGCATTCCCCTTGGTACGGTCGTCGCCTCTAGGCCCGCCCTCTCCCCCAGCATCATCACCACAATGGCTGCCGCCGTCGAGTCGCTGCGCTCGATTCTCTTCGGCAACCCCATCGCGCTCACTCTCGGCGATGCGCTCAACTCGTTTTCGGAGCGCCGCGCCAAGCTCGGTCTGGCCAACCCCGGCACGATAGAGCACCTCAGCAAGGAGGTCCAGCGCGATGTCTTCCTCACCAACCACATGTTCACCGGCGTTCGCGCCGACCTCAGCAAGGCCTTCAGCATGTCCCCGCTGTTCCAGGTTTCGCACGGCTTCGCCATGGGCGAGAAGCTGAACCCCTACACCTTTGCCGCCATGTACGGCACCTCCAACGTAAGTCTGGCATTACTGTCACTGATTTTCTCCCTCTCTCTGCTTCTTTGCGCCTTTTCATGCTAACACCTTCACTCAAGGTCTTTTGCCAAGCCAATGTCGATAATGAGGGCTCCGTCTCCGGCCGCTTCAACCTCCGATGGTCGGACAGGCTCATCTCCAAGGTCCAAGCCTCCATGTCCCCCGATAATCAGGACATGGCTCAGTTTGAGCACGAATATACGGGTAACGACTTCAGCGCCAATTTCAAGATGCTCAACCCTTCATTTCTCCAGGGTGGTCTCACAGGCATCTTTATTGGTAGCTACTTGCAGTCCGTTACCCCCAAGCTCGCGCTTGGTCTCGAGTCCGTCTGGCAGCGCCCCTCTCTGGGCCAGGGCCCCGAAACTGCCGTCTCCTACTGCGCCCGATACAAGTCCGCAGACTGGGTTGCGACAGCGCAGCTCCAGGCCGCCATGGGAACACTCAACACCTCGTTCTGGAAGAGAATTTCCGAGCGCGTCCAGGCCGGCGTTGACCTGACCCTCGGCCTCGTGCCCTCTGCCGGCATGATGGGCGGTGGTCTGCAGAAGGAGGGCGTCACGGCCGTCGGCCTCAAGTATGACTTCCGCATGTCCACGTTCCGTGCCCAGGCCGACTCCAACGGCAAGTTGAGCTGCCTGCTCGAGAAGCGTGTCGCGCCCCCCGTCATGGTGACCTTTGCCGCCGACATTGACCACTTTACGCAACAAGCCAAGCTCGGCCTCGCCGTGTCCATCGAGGCCGCTCCCGAGGAACTCCAAGACCAGCAGGAGGCTCTCACCCAAAACGCCCCCAACATTCCCTTTTAAATAACGGCCGTCGACTCCCGTGATAGTCATGCCCAGCGCGGCGATGGCTCGATTCTACTTTGACGAAAAATACACAAGAATCGACCACCCTAGCGAACCCGAAAGCAGCGAGAGAGGCCAGACTGTCCATCAAATTCTTCCCCTTATTTTCTTACTACTTTCTCCCCATCACACCCTTGTGCTTTTAGTAACGCTTGATGGCTACCCGCTTTTTTCCACTGCTCTGGGCACGCGCACACGGACGTTTCATCATTTTTTTCTTAAAACCATAGACTTGGGCGGCGCGGAGAATCTCCATATTCTACATGGCCAGGCCCAAACGAACGACTCGTTTGGGCCCTGTATATTAAACTCCTCTTTTGTTTTGTTTTGTTTTCTCTACTTCTCTTTCCATTCCTCTCTCATTGTTCTTCCTCCCACTGACTGGGTAAGAAGAAGAAGGAGAAAGGTCGACGTGACGGGAAGAGGAAAAAGAAGAGGCACATCTGTTGGCATATATTTGGGTTCTTAACCAAAGGACAAGGAAAGAAGTTATTTGATTTGATGTGACAGCTTTGCATCGAATAGTGTACAAGAGATTGGGCAAGGGTTGCAAATGTGTTGAGAGCAAGAGTCAAAAAGGAGAAGCTGAATGAAAAAGACATGCCACGAAAAGCAATAACAATGAAAACGTTAATTCCCCCCCCCTGGGTCTGCCAGCATGAGCCGTGGGAAAATGTGTGTATTTACGGGAGCGGTGTAGTCTATGCCCTGTAAAGAATGCATAATGCTAGTTATGGGAACAAAGAATGGCCATGCGCCCTGGTTGGCGTGTATCATGACGAAAGGCTACCACTGTTTCTTCTGCTCTAGGTGACGTCGCCGAGCTTTGTGTATCCAAATGATCTGGGCTCCGAAGATGTAGGTTAGAGTGGCGCAGCTAGGAAGAGAGAAACGAAAAGTAGAAATCAAAACACAATACTGCATCTCCATGGTGTATATCCGGAAAAGCACCCGAACCCTCCTCTTTCTCTTCTCATTCACCCAATAATGAAAAGTAACTATACCCAAAACGCCGCCTTGTTTCGTAATCAAATCATCAATGTTCGTCATCTGCTTGCCCCCGCTACATCAGGACGCATTCTCGGTCCGGCTGCGAACTGTCCTTTTGCTTGGCAGGCTTGGGAGGCTTCTCTCGCGACTTGGTCTTGTGCTTTGACTTGTTGCGCTGAACCTTGGTATCTGGCTCTGCGGCAGTCGCAGAGGTAGCAATGGTGGTGGCAGTCGTGGCCGTATTGGCGGTGGAGGGTGGCTGTTGTTGGCTATCGAGGTTGCGGAAAACTTCAAAACTGGCATTTCTTGGCGAGGGTGATCCTAGGGGAGTTGATCCTCTTTCCTCGCCACTCTCAGCACTAGGCAGAACCTCCCTATTCTGCTTCATTAGACCACCAAGACGAGAAATGGTCAGACTAATGCGTCCCTCGCCAGACTGGCTACTTGGCCGGCTCTGACGACTCAGATTGAAGCGCGACGCAGCTCGCGATAGTCGGGGCGTCTTGTTGTCGCTCGGTGAAATGATGGGAGAAGTAGCCTCTGGTGTACGAGTCGGGGTCATGATAGGCGTAGCAATGGAGGACGTGGTAAAGTTTGCGCTATCACGCCGTGACTCTGTAGGGACGGATCCAGAAACCGAGGGCCGTGCCGAACCATCAAAGACGATAGCTGTGGACCGCTCATCATCCATGGAAAGGCGGATGCTAGGAGGCTTACTCGGATTAGACAGGCCGCCATCAGTTGCTGCTCGAGAATTCTGCATCTCCAGACTGATCTTAGATTCCTGGTAAGAGGGCGGTCCCGTGGCGGTGCCGTCTATCGAAGGGCAAGCTACCTCCAGCATGGGCACAACCTGGTAAAATAGTAGATAGGGCATCTCTTCGGTGAGAGACTTCTTTATGTTGTCAACATAGGTGACACGGGGTTCTTCGAGATCATCAAATTTGACCCATTGGGCTTCTTCATAATCCGGAGGTGGATCGATGTCATGCCGTCTGTTGGAGGTGAGAACTTTGGGAGCAGCTCTCGCAAAAGCAACATAGTGCCCACTTTGGAGAGAGTCGCCCCGATGGCAGATAACTGATTGTAGCACAAGCTTGAAATCTGAAGTCAAGGGTGAATCGTCCGCCGTTGTGTCAGGGCCGTCAGCAAGCATAAAGTGTGGAAGACGAAGGCTGTCTGGAATGTCGATATAGGTGTTGTGTCTTTTTGGCTGCCCAGTCTCTGTCATGGCGTAGCGTTTTAGGCAAATGCCGACGACAGGACGCTGTTCAAAATTGAGCACAACTTCAGAGTTGCTGCGAGGCTCATTTGCTCGAACGGCGTGCCAAGCTATGACAGTTAGCCTTGCTTCCTTTGGGATATTTGTAACACCGTGGCAAACTTACGGATAAGTCGGAAAAATTGCCAAGCAGGAATTGTCACGGCCTTGACCACCATAGAGCCTTTTCGCTGTGGCTTGCGAGTGTCATCGGCATCTGTGCTTGTGGGCTTCCCATTTGCATCGAGAACAACCCTTTGAATAACGCTGGCAGACCTGTGTCTCAAAGAGAGCCGCTTTGGAATAGCGGAGGCCTCAAGTTTGGGCACCTGATCATGAGAGACACCTGTAGACGTCGCTGGCCGCTCAAGGGCGGGTAAGTCGCTTGCAACTGATGAATGGCTGGGGAATTGGCGCAAAGGCGACATTTCCACGGGGGAGGCACTCAAGGTTGCAGATGCACCGTTCTCTTCGCCTCGAACGAGCCGCATCGTATTTTGGTGTAGAAGAGTGGGAGTATCAGGCCCCTTGTCCTCCGAATGGGATTTCTTGGCTTCTTCACTGTCCCGCAGCACGTCGACTTGAGCGTTAAAATATTCTTCAAGGCAGTCTTCAAGCCTAATTGCTTTGTTGTCATGATTTGGTGGTACCGCCAGGTTCAATAGACGTTCATAGACGACCTTGTGATCATCTTCGTCTCTTCTTCCTTGATGAAAAAGATCGACCTGTAAAGATAAAAGTGGGAGTTGAAGGGTCTCGGTGAGAAAAGCGAACGCTTCGGATGTATCTTGTTGTTCCAGTAATCGGGCGTCTGGCCAGCCACTGTCGCCCATAGATTCTTGAATTAGACGAGTCTGTTCGTTGTATCAGCATCATGTCGCGCATAGATAATGCATTATAATGCATAGCGCTTGCATACCAGATCGACGTTGATTAGCTTGCCAGACCGAAGCAGATTGACCCATACCCGTAGCAGATTAACGAGCTTCGCCTTGGGGTCCTCGGCTGGAAATTCCGTTTTTAACATGCACTCAAAGGCATCTAATTTGCAGAACATGGAAAAGAGGAGGGCGTCGAGGTAGCAAGTGACACCACCGCGGTTTTCAGCGCCAAGCATCTGCACACTAGGATTATAAGGAACGATTGTGCCGGCAGCGGATTTCTGCTCGAGGCTTATGACTTCGGCAGTGTCTTTGGCATCGCCGTCACCGAATCGAGTACTGAGCATCTCTCGGATATGCTCGCTGGTGACGTTGGTAATATTGAGCTCATCGAGGCGGCGGAGAATATCCTCAACCTAGCAGCTATTTAGTCGGCCGATCTGCATCAGAAGCTGGAAGAAGCTTACCTTGGCATCTTCTTCAGCCTTGTCGACTGTGTCCTTTGACTTGGCATCGCGACCAAACAAAGCAAAGAAAGCCTCGGTCGATCGGGGTCGGCTCTGGGAAGGTGAATCTTTAGCATGGAGCCGACTGGTAAGAAACCTGTCCTGATCTCACCTTTGAGGGCGGCGCCGACTTGCTTCTGTTATGCGAGGGGTTCTTGTCCCGAAGGCTCAAGAACTTGCGAGGAAACTCCTTCATGCTCAATATCCACCGGGGGGAGGAGCTGTCGGAGGATGATGCGCGTGGTTGCGATGTGCAATGCCTCGCAGATTTTAGCGAGGCAGCCAAAGATGAGCAATAGTCATGATACGGGAAACACGACTTTAAGTAGCTTGTTTGTACGGGCTAGACGAACGAAGCTCGCGGTGGCGCGCGCGATGCGGGACCGGACGAGGATAGAGAGCCGAGTAGCGCTGGCTGGCAAAGAGTCTGGTGCTGCAGGGCGGATGGCTTGCGAAGGGGCTGGACTAGCGGGATCGGGGCTGATGCGGAATTGCAAAGGATGTGAGAATGATGTTGGAGAAGCCTTAAGAACTCGGGCGTCTAGCAATGTCCGTGACCAGAAGCAAAATGGGAGCTTGTTGTCATCGCGAGATTTCCAGGGACCTGCCAACAAGAACCTAGGTGAGGCGAGGCGGGTGGGGGCGGGCTGTTGGGCTTGTTATAGCGGGGTTTGGCTCAGCGAGGGCCACTAAACAAAGGTGATGGAGTACTCGCCTTTCTTTGAAGTTATGCCAGGGAGCTTTGCGCTCATACATTTCGCTCTCCTTGATCATCAAGCTCGAGCTCTCAAACAAACAATTTCCTTAGCTGCATAGTAGCCCTTGCACTGATATGACCAATGCTCTGGATTCCAATATGCTTTGTCATTTGAGTTTGCCCATGCTTGCGCCTGCTGTGGCTTGTGCCCAGCTGCCACCGCCACAATCTGGTTTTGCTCTAAGCTGCTGCCTCCAGCCGCTGGCCGTCGTACGCCCCAGGATGTTCTCGTTCTCACCTGATGAAACTTTGGTGTGAAACTCATATATTTTGACCTCATATATTTAGATGCCATGCCGTCACACGCCCAACACATGAAGGCGCCCGGCAGTGTTGACGCGTTGTCCCCTGACTGGCTGGCGCTGGTGACCTATGGCTGCGTAACTTGATGATGCTGGCCAGTAGGCAGCCATATTTGTCACTCTAGGTTGCCATAAACACAGATACTTCTGTGTTGTGAGAAAACTTTAGCCTTCTGTCAACACTGGAGCGTCACCATGGTAGAGGATCCAATTACGGTCGTACTCGTTCACCCAACTGTTGCTGTAACATAATACCCGTACGGGATGTTTTCGAAATATTCAGTGTCTAACTTGTGGATGACATCAATGACTCTCACGAGACGATAAGTTTCCTAGAGTAGTTTGCGCCTGATATCTGGTTCCTGCTTGATGTAATTCTTCGGCACCGCCACATCGCTTGTGGCTGACAACGCACGAGCCACACTCCATCGATAGCTGTCTAGTAAATTTGCAGGCTTGCATGACCACGCGAGATTTGACGTTTCCATTGTGACGCCTTTTTTCGCAATCCCCAAACGATTGTCGCCATGGCTGGTGCCCGCAAAGGTATGCGCGTACTGCGCACCGTCAGCGGCAGACAATGGAGCCAACAGGCTGCCACGCCGTGTGCTCGCCGCTTCGCTTCGTCTCCAGCGAGCCCCTGGGCAGCCATTGAAGAGTCGACGTCGTTTTCTACGCCAGGCCCCGACGAAAACGCTGCCAAGTCCTTCCAAGAGGCCAGAGCCAACACCGCGAGAGATAAGCAGCTACCTGGTGGTCGGTGAGTAGCTTCTCAGCCTCATGCTTGCGCCGTCACTCTCCATGATATCTCATCGCCGCATGCAATTTTGTTCGGCGTCACAGGCAAGATTTTAACATGTACATGCAGTTACCAATACCACCCTCCCAAGTACAACCGAGGACCCCTCCATCCTATCCAGTCGCCGCCCTCTTCCGACCCGACAGCACGCGACTTTGTGCCCGGACCGTTCAACCTGCCGCGGCTCAAGCACACATATGACAGCACCATTGCGCCGGACTTGATGACGCTCACGTACACGCACAAGCCGCGCGGGTACGAGGCGCCCGAGTCGAGCAAGGGCGAACTCCGCGAGTGGGACGGCTCGTCGCCTTATCATAAGAACCGACCGCGCCGCGGCCCTCGCGGCGGGCAGTCGGGCCGGCTGGGCCTCGTCGAGCGCGAGATAAGTTGGCACAGCCTGCCCGAGATCGCGGCTGTCACGGTCAACTCGTACGCGCCTGCAGCCGCCGATAACAAGGAATATCTCGACGTGGCGCGCGCCGTCGTGCAGGCCATCACCGGCGAGTTCCCCGAGACGACGCGCACTCGGTCCAACGTCATCCACTGGGGCGTTCGCAAGGGCCAAAAGACGGGCGCCAAGGCCACGCTCCGCGGCGGTGCCGCGTACGAGTTCGTGGATAAGCTGGTGACGCTTGTGCTGCCCAAGATCAAGGACTGGCCGGGCGTCAAGGGCAGTTCTGGTGACCGCGCGGGCAACCTGGCCCTGGGCCTGGCCCCCGAGTACATGTCTTTCTTTCCCGAGCTCGAGTATAATTTCGATGTATGTTTACACGTCGAATCCGCGTATGCTTTGTTTGAAGCTGACACTTTCGCCAGATGTACCCGACCGGCTTGATGCCTGGCTGCGACATCATCATCCATACGACCGGTACCTCGGACAGGCACGGACGTCTGTTGCTGGAAGCTCTGGGATTCCCATTCTACGGCAAGGTTACGTACTAAAAGCGAAATTCGAGATGGAGCAAAGAGAGGTGAAGAGGACGACGAGTGCTATTTGTCATTTAGCATAGGCATGTTCCCATGTACCAACATTTGTATGTATCAACAAGAATATATTTCTTCAAGAGTGATCCCGCATCTATATCTATGTTTCGTTTAAATAGACCTGGTATTTTCAGATACTAGTTTCTTCATAAGCATTACGCCCCAACGCCATAATTCATGCAATTGTCCCGCCATGACTGGCATTTGTTTGACGCTGCTTCGTCTACTACGCAGAAGTGCCCTTGGCCTTTTCGCGCAGAGGTGTGATGATGGTATCGACCGCTTCCATATCCGTCGCGTCCACCTTTTCCGCCGCGTGCCCTGCGGCCGCAAGCTCCTCAACAGCCGCGTCCAGCGCGGGCTGGTAGTTGCGAATCGCCGAGCTCAGCGCGTACACGGCCTTGCGCCGCGCCGTCTCGGGCTCCCCCTCGCTCGTCGCCAGAGCCACCAGCGGCCGGATGCCGCCCGCCGCCAGCAGTCGCTCCTGTGTCTTCTCGTTATTCTGGACGGCGGTGCCGACGCACCAGGCGGCCATGGTGCGGATCTGCGGCTCGTCGTGGGCGAGCTGCGCGAGCAGCGGTGTCCACAGGCCGAGGTTGGCCATGTTGTTGGCGTTATCGAGCGACTCTATGAGCTGCTCCAGGTTGTCAAAGGCGATGAGCTTGTTCTCGAGCGTCACGTCGGCGGCCGTGATGATCTCCATCGACGCTCGCATCAAATCCGCCTCGGAGGGGCCGCCCATGAGGGCGGCCATGACTTCGGGGGTCAGGTTGGAGGCGGGTGCGGCGGCGGCGGCTGAAGGACTGTCGGTTTTACCATTTTCCGAGTTTTCGATGCTCCAGCGAAGGAGGTCGTTGAGCCGCTTGTCATCCATTGTGGTAGTGTTGATGATTTTGTTTTTTGGAGGGGTAGAATGAGGCGGGGTGCTGTGTGTGGTGGGGGAAGGTGTCTTATGAGGTGAAAGTCTGCTTTTAGGGTGTCGGATGGAGAAAATATCTGTCCAAAACCTCTATAAAGATAAAATTCAACAAAGTTGACGGCAGTGTAGCTGCTTTAAAAAGACCATGAGCGTGGGGTTGCTCTTTTGCATCACAAAGCTCTCTCGAAGATCCGCCTACCTTCTCGAATCTTCATGAAGGCGCTAACCACACCTGGGCTAGTGCCATTTTCCGGATCAGCAACGACTTGACAACGCTCAAGAATTGGGGAGGCGATGGACTACGTAGATACGACAAGAATATGAGGATATTTGAAGAGAGCCAGTGAGCTCCACGCCGATATTTATTCAACTATTCGAGTTGGATTAGTCGCGATTAGCTGCGCTTCTGTACCGGCGTTGCACTAGCACTGGCTTGTCGCAACGCATTACGGATCACAGGTCAACTTCTTTGTGGGCTTATACCAAGCCCTCGTTTGACGACACGTGTAAAGAACTTCAATGCCTGATGTCTTTAGCCTGGCAACATGGTGTGCACAATTTGTGCATTGAGAGGTGAATTGATTAATCTGCAAGAGAGGGACACAGTATCAAGCCGCAGGAAAGGCGCAGCTTTGATTATTATTTCGCTTTGCATGGAGGCAGACGCACAGGGCAAGGGAAGGTACAAGTCGGAGAACGGGTGTCAAAAGCGGCCGATATTGGCTGCTTGGTGGTGAGCCAAGTCGGTGTGTTGTCCGTCCCGATTGGGCTCAAAGGCGAGGCGGCCAAATGTACCTAGTGTGGCATACTGTTATTGTCGTCGAGCAGGCGTGAATACAGAGGGAAAGGAAAAAATATCAGTTGATATTGATTGGCCTTTTAGGGCTGGAGAGATGGGATCTGGCAGGGATGTTAGAATAGGGTTTCTGATGTATCAGACAGTGTTTGAAGGCGCGATGACGCAACGAGGCGATCAGAGGGTCGGCGAATGCAGTGGCAGGATGGAATCTAGATTCATGGTTGCGACATATAGAATTGTGCATGAGTGCCCCCTGCCTCGTAAAAATATGTTGCTTGCGCGTCTTGGGCAAGAGGCGAGGCGAGGTAAAGGTAAATGGGCCATTGTGGGATGGGATGACGACGCCAGGTTGCGCCACACGAGCCGTCTTGGGTGAGAGTGAGGGAGGGCAAGGTTTGCATATGCCAGGGTGGTTGGCAGTGTGATTAGTGTGGTATTGTTAGTAGCATGCTCAGCGACGAACTCAGTGCGCGGTGGTTGGAACATGGCGGCGTCTTTGGAGAAGTTCTCAATTAAAAGAACATTTGGCGAATATCGGCCTTGATTCAGACGCAAGATTTGAGCTAGAGTAAACGGACGAGTGATGGTAGATTGGGCATGTTGGATGACGTCGTCTGAGATGATTGACAGACAACCCGTTTACAGTGGCGGCGGGATGCAGCGGTGCGTGTCGCTGAAGAAGGCCAGATTGGGCGGAAAGCGGCGTGGCTCAGCAGCAGCCCAGCCTCAACGCAGCCTTGGGTCCACAGCACATAGGAGACCAGCGAATCAGAGGCAGGCAAAGGCTGTGGTTTGTGGTACCAAGTAAGCACTGGCAGCTGTCCAGGACGTGCTGCAGCTACTGATTGGGCCCCCTAATGTCTGTGACAGCTGGGGCTCTGCATTCCTGGGCGGGCAAAGGAGCACGAGGAAGCTTAACCGGCGGGCTGAACAGGCCTGTGACTGGCTATGAGACTTGATATGGTTTTAGAGAGATACCTCGGACTTTTTGTTCACTTTTTGCTTCTGTATTGAGGCATCGAGCGACAGAAGTAATACATGTACGTAGACCCCTCTCGTTGGGTGCCCCCGCCCACAAGTATTTTTTCGTTGGCGCCTCTTGTTGCTGGTGTCTGGCCACACACCAAAGGACCGGCCACCCGCTCGCACCGGCACTAGCCACAAGCACCAAGGTACTTGAACTGGCCAACAAAGCCCAAGCAAACACAAGTACTCCCCCGGCCATTCAAGGCGGCGGAGATACTTGCCTCCTTTCCTTGCGCCCCTCTTCCTCCACACCTTCCTGCCTTGACTTTCCCTCTTGTTCCCTCGTCCCTCTTCAAAAACATTCAATTCCCACTCCATCTTCCTTCTCCCCCGTTTCCGAGTCTTTTCCCCTTTGGCTCATTCTCCATCACCTCTGCCGTTTCATCCAGCTCTCGAGGTCATCGTCGTCCTTTGAGCTCATCTTCTCTTTCCGCACCTCGACTCTTTTCTTCGTCACCAATCTCAACTCGCAACTATGGAGGGTACGTTGCCTCTGCCAGCTCGCCGTCGCGTTTACGCAATCCCGCCCCTCCCCGCGGTGCATACTACTGCCACCACCAGCGATGCCATTGTCGTATTGATTTCTTGAATCGATTACTGACATGACTCTGCGTTTTTACAGAAGAAGTTGCTGCCCTCGTCATCGACAATGGGTAAGCTCAATCCCCCCACCGCCTCACCGACATGTTCGCCAGCCTGAGCCCCCTTACCCCTCCTGGTTCGATCTGCCATGTCGACAGAGGCATCGATGTCCGCCCACGCCGACACTGCGCGCACTTTGTATGGACGACGCAGGAAGGGGATAAGTCCAGGCGTGGACTGATGGCAGAGGCTTCCATTCTTTTCTTCATACTGACAAGCGCAATAGTTCCGGCATGTGCAAGGCCGGTTTCGCCGGTGATGATGCGCCCCGAGCTGTTTTCCGTGAGTACCCACCCCACTTTAGCTCCTGCCGCCAGCTCGCACGCTTTTTGGCCCAACGGCAAATCGCGCGCTCGATGGACGGCGATGCTTTGCGCTCAAAATCTAAGTCTTCGCTGACTCGTTACCATAGCTTCCATTGTCGGTCGTCCCCGTCACCATGGGTAAGTCTTCACGAGAGCAACAGCGATGCGCTTGGCAACATTTGCGCGCATGCGCCACTCCCAACGCCGACGCCACCATCTAACTCCGTTTCGCAGTATCATGATTGGTATGGGCCAGAAGGACTCCTACGTCGGTGACGAGGCTCAATCCAAGCGTGGTATCCTCACCCTCCGCTACCCCATTGAGCACGGTGTCGTCACCAACTGGGACGACATGGAGAAGATTTGGCACCACACCTTCTACAACGAGCTCCGTGTCGCCCCGGAGGAGCACCCCGTCCTCCTTACCGAGGCCCCCATCAACCCCAAGTCCAACCGTGAGAAGATGACCCAGATTGTCTTTGAGACGTTCAACGCCCCCGCCTTCTACGTCTCCATCCAGGCCGTCCTCTCCCTCTACGCCTCTGGCCGTACCACCGGTATCGTCCTCGACTCTGGTGATGGTGTCACCCACGTTGTCCCCATCTACGAGGGTTTCGCTCTTCCTCACGCCATCGCCCGTGTCGACATGGCTGGTCGTGATCTTACCGACTACCTGATGAAGATCCTCGCTGAGCGTGGTTACGCCTTCTCCACCACCGCCGAGCGTGAAATCGTTCGTGACATCAAGGAGAAGCTCTGCTACGTCGCTCTGGATTTTGAGCAGGAGATTCAGACTGCTGCCCAAAGCTCTTCGCTTGAGAAGTCGTACGAGCTTCCTGACGGTCAAGTCATCACCATTGGCAACGAGCGTTTCCGCACCCCCGAGGCTCTCTTCCAGCCCTCCGTTCTCGGTCTCGAGTCTGGCGGTATCCACGCCACCACCTTCAACTCGATCATCAAGTGCGATGTCGATGTTCGCAAGGATCTCTACGGCAACATTGTCATGGTATGTTTGCTATCTTGTTGCGCTCACTTCGCCGCTAACTCTTTTAGTCTGGTGGTACTACCATGTACCCTGGTCTTGCCGACCGTATGCAGAAGGAGATCACTACTCTTGCTCCTTCTTCCATGAAGGTCAAGATCATTGCTCCTCCCGAGCGCAAGTACTCTGTCTGGATCGGTGGCTCCATTCTCGCCTCCCTATCCACCTTCCAGCAAATGTGGATCTCCAAGCAGGAGTACGACGAGAGCGGTCCCTCCATTGTCCACCGCAAGTGCTTCTAAGGCAAGTCTACGTCCATTTGCTACAGCGAAATCTTGACTAACTGGTCTTCAGCGAGGAACAACCAAAACAAAAACCTCGGTTCCTTCAGCGCAGGCAAGAATTGCGAAGGTGGCAGACGGCGCGGAATATTGTCAGCATCGTGCGCGCCACAATCGACTTTTGTACTTGCCGCATGCGTTTGATAGAATCAAGGAGGCTGGGTGCTGGTTCTTTGAGGGTAATGGCAAAGGCCCGTGTGATGTAGCCTGGCTGGGTATTTTACGAGGCTTACGGACTAGACGCTGAAGTTTCGCACCAAAAATTCTTTTTTTATATCTTTGCTAAAGGGTGTAGCCCAATGGAAGAATGCGACGGTTAAGTTTGTATACTTATAAAAGGTGTTGTGATTTCAGCAAGCAGTGCTTGAGATGGCTCATATTTGCTTGTCCCCGTAGTGAAGTTATCTTTGCTTGTACTGTATCTTTTTTGCCTGCTTGTACTATCACTCTTATCTGGTTGTGATATCTGTCGGCTGCCTTGGTGCTGCATCGCAGCTTGTTTTTGTTGAGTCGTCATGCTCAGCCGCCTTCACTACTGGCTTCTTTGTCGCCTGTTCTATCTCGTCACCAGCAGTATTCCGGGGTAAATCGTCTTTATCCCCTACCCCTTCTCCTTGCCGTCCTTGCTCTGTCACGGCCGCCTTTTCATCTTCTAGCCTTTTATACTTGCGCCTGCTCTTCTTGGCGGCGCTGTCTGCCCTCTTCTTCTTGACCGCGCCGACAATGTTGGCGCGGCTCTCGCCGCCCCGGCGCAAATCATCTAGCTTTTGCGCGAGAATCTCGCGCGCGTGCTTGCGGTTCTGCGACCGTGAGCGCGTGGCCTGCGACTTGACGACGATGCCGGTGGGAATGTGTTTAAGTTGCACGGCGGAGTTGGTTTTGTTCTGGCGAAGAAATGTGTTAGTGAGTGAAGGGGTAGGGAGAGAGAGAGAGAGACACGAGGTCGTCGGGGAGGGGGGGGGGGGGCAATGTACGATTTTTTGACCACCGGGGCCGCTGCCTTTGAGAAAGGATTCCTCGAGCTCCGAGTCGGGAGGCGGTGCGGGGCGAGGGGGCATGGGTTTTTGGAAGATGATGGGTGAGGTGCTGAGGAATCGAGGGCGGGAGGTCAAGAGGAGGGTGCGGCGCAAGAGGCACTGCATGGTGCTTGAGGATGGCGGGCGGGGCCCCTCCCCGGAATCGTATGTTAATGAATGAATGAATGAATGAATGAGTAGTGTTTGACTCGGGGTGATGGGATCGAAATTAGGAGCTGGTTTTGGATGAAAGGCCAGGTGAGCGTTGCGGATGAAGGGTTTTGGAGACTACTTGAAGTGAAGCGAATGATGGTTTGGAGATGGGGTGGGTCGATTGGATGTACGGCGCAGTTTGCTCTGAGCGTGCAACAAAAGACAGCTTCGGGAACTGGATAGTGAGAAAAGATTTGAGTAAATGATGATTGATGACTGCTTTGTTGAGATTTATCGCAGAAATAGATCAAAATGAAGAACGTTGGCTCATTATTTTTCTGAGCTTTGTTCTTTCCGGGCTTCGTAGAGCAGGGATACAAGACCACTAACATGAGCAACCGCTCTTATAGCTCAGCAGCACCCGGCAACATGATTGAACTCCTGGGTCAGATTCCGTGATTTGTATCTGAGGAACGAATCATTCTCAATCATACTCTTGATATGCGAAAATGCTGCAGGGAATGCCTCGGACACACCATCACTTTTCTCCAGTCTTGCACGACTCGCCATGTATATTGATTGCATATATACGGAGGTCAGTAGTGTTGTAGTTTACTCACCCAGAAACTTACACTCTTGCGCTATTCGAGGTCTTTTTCCTTGTTGATCTGACAATTCTGCGGATATTCCTTCGACGCGCATCATCTCTACGCCGTTTCCGTAACCGTCGACGAATCGTTCTCGCATCATCACCTCCCAAGCTTCGAGTCCGGTAATGCGTCGGATGCTTGCTCCAAGAAACAGACGTCTGCTGGCAGATGTGACAATTTGATCCTCCGATGCTAATCTCGACAAGCGGCAAGTCATTCCACCCACACGCGTAGTCTTGGCCCACCGAAATCGTCACTCCAGCCTTGTGCCACGGCACATTGGCGACGCTCGGCTGCTCCTCCCGTGCTTCTACCTCCGGCTTCTCACCGACCAAGAGCTTATGCCGCCCGTCACTGCCTCGCGCATTGCAGTCCAGGGCCACGAGTTCTCCTTGCGGTCTGCGTCCGCCTGTGACGAGCACCGTGACAAACGGCACTGGCGAGGCTGCTACGCGAATCAGATAGCCAAAGCCAAAGTTGAGCGTGTCCATGACGCACTGCGATTGGAGCTGCATAAAGTCGGCCCATACCGACCAGGACCGCTCCGACGGGAAGAGGGGGTAGAATGCGCGCTCGGTGTGCTGGTCGATGCAGCGCAACGCACGCTCGTAGTTGTTGACGAGGGTTTGCGCGATCATGAGGAGCTGCTTGTTGGAATAGCGCCCGGCACCAAAGGCAACGGCGACGTCAACGGCAGAGAACCAGTTTCCTTTGGCGTACAGAATGAGAGTCAGGTCCCGATGAACCCACCCGTTGCTGCCTCGGTGCACAGGACCAAGCTCGCGAAGAAGCGTGCAAGCTCCGACGGGCCGGGCAGTCGTCAACACGGTGCCCTCCGAAACAGCCACCGGCCCGTACGGCGTCACGGTATCCAGCCCCGACGCCGAAGACAGCACATGCCGCTTCGCGCACACCACTTCGGCGCACGTCAGTCCGGCCGCCTCCTCCGGCGCCAGCACCGCCGGCGGCACCATCAGCCACCGCAGATGGCCCGCCTCCAGCGCCGTCTCCGTCCAGCGCCGCCATGCGTCCTCCCTCGGCTCTCCCGGGCGCACGGCAATTTCGACCGTCGACACAGCCATGGCGCCATAGACCTCGTCGACGGGCAGAAACGCCGCCCGGTTCCCGAGCATCTCCATGACGCGCGTGCGGTCCGTCGCCCCGGTGCGCCGCGCCGCCATGCCCGCAAAGTGCGAAAACAGCCGCTCATAGCGGGCCGTGGCCGGGTTGCTGTCGTCATCATCATCGTCCCCCCGGCGGCGCGCGCACTCGGAAATGCCGAGCTCCTCGCAGAGATGCGGGATGGCGGCAAAGAGCTCGTCGCGGACGGAGACGGGCTCGAGGTCGGCGCCGATCCAGACGAGCTCTGTCGCGAGCAGGTACTCTTGCAGCGTCCAGACGCGCGTGCCCCAGGCGGCGTCTGTAAAGCGCGCGAGCACGTCCATGGCGTGGACGAGCGTGGCACGGCCGGCGCGGGTCCAGCGCCGCCGCGGGCCGTCGTCAGTCCAGGCCTCGGCGTGCCAGACGGCGAGGGCATCGTCGAGCTGCGCGGTGCCGTGGTCGACCTGCGCCTGCGTCAGACGCAGCGTGCTGGTGAGGATGACGAGGACGGCCCGGGCGTCGCCGTAGATGCGGCCCATGAGCGGGATCTGCTCGCACATGTCCTGGTCCGAGTCCTGCAGGATGCAAAAGAGGTCGACCCAGCAGTGGCGGACGTGCGGCAGGGCACGCTTGGCGAGGGTCTGCCGGATGGCGGCGCTGCCGAATGAAGGCGCGAGGGGGAGCTGTTTGGGGAAGACGCGGTCGGACCAGGCGTGGGATATGGCGAGGTAGGGCGGTGACTGCCCAATCTCAAAGACTTGGACTGTCCATGTAGTGATGTCGATGAGCCGGAATGTCGCCATGTCGGCTCGGCAGTCTTGTCAATCTTGTCTACGTAGACGTGAATACACGTGAATACACGTGAAAAAGCAAGAACTCCAGAGTATCTTCATGCTGGGTGGCTAGTTCTTGCCATGGTCACATGGGCTACATGATTGTGGCAGAGAGCTGAACTGCTCCAAAGCTCACCAATTAGAGGTAATGGAGACGCCGTTCAGGACGAGTGGTGAGGGCTAGAGAAGTGCGGCATCCATTGAGAAAATCGGCATGAATTCAAGGTACGCTAAAAGCTCGTACCTTGTTTTTTTTTCTTTCTGGGAATATTGGGGTTAAAGTATTGGAAGAGCTGCTGCTCCAACTCGCTGAGTTGGCCAAGATGGTGTAAGTGGCAAGCTTGTGTGCCATGTCGGTGCCAACCAAAAAGCAGACTTCAAGGCCAACTTTTTGATGATGTTGCGCAGAATCGAAATTGAAAGTGAGAAAATGTTCAACGATTGAAATTGCTTCAAAAAAAAAAAAAAAAACGAATATGTGATGCTAGCAAGATGAAGAGTTAAAGACGCTCCGGCGTCGACCAAACGGCCAGCAAGCACTAGCATCGCAGTGACGCGACCGACCCCCCCCCCCCTGGCGACGAGACAGTGGGGGAGGGAGGTCCCTTTTTAATTTTCAACTTCTCGTGCCGTCGACTCCGAACAGACATGATTAACTGATTGACAAGCCAATTCTACAACGACCACGAAACAAACACGAAAAAGGACTGTCAGCATCACACGCAATCTCTTAATCGAACCCGTGAACTTTCTAACTCCTGTCAACTCGAGAAGGCTCGGCGCGCCGGACATCAAACGCCCAGAAAATCGATTCCGTTCGACACATACCCTTTCCACGAGACGATTTTGCGACGCATCACGACCGTCAAGTCCCAGTTCACGCAAGCAGGATTAAACCACCACCTCCTTTTTTTTTTTTTCAAAGAAAATATTGCTAGCAGCATAATACCAGCATCATGTCTACTTTTGCCCAGTTTACCAAATGGCTGCGCAAGAAGCAGATTCAGATTGAAGTCACCTTTGCCGTGTACATGTTTACGCCCTGGGAGAAGTTTGCCTTTTGTACGTCTTCGCGGCCGCCCCCCCTTTTCCCCCGACGCCGTCAAAAGGACTCGAAATTACTATTCCCTCCGCTAACATGCAACTAACCCCCCCCCCCCCCGAACAGACTCCATTGTCTTCCTCCTCTTTAGCCTCACCTTCATCGCCGCCGTTCTATACCTGCCGCACCACATCACCGTCCTCGCCGGCCGCGTCTGGTACTACATCAACGGCGACAGCATCGACGTTGCTGCCTCGGCGCGCGGAGCCATCCGCGAGGTCTTGACGTCTGGCGTGCTCGACGCCACCATTCCCATTGTCACTGCCGGCGCCGTCGACACCCCCCCGCCACCCGTCAAGGCCGAGCTGTAAAGCAAACCGCGGGGAGCCGGTCTGGCACGCCCGAGCTCGATTTTTATGTGAGGGAGCGCATCGTGGTGGTGGTGTGGTGACTGCGCATTGTGAGTCTGGGGAAGAGAAAACAAAAATAAAAAACTTGGACAAAGTCCGTTGCATGGGGGAATGGGACACGAGAGAGATGGACAAGCAGAGCACGTTTGCATCCCGACAGGAAGATGAACCAATCCCCCTTGGTACGGCGTTGTGTGTACATAGTTGGGTGGGAAAACGGCATTGGTGATCGTTACGCATTACTAGATTTACTCTGAAGATGAGTCCCTAATGATAATACTACTATACTGCATCCTTTACATTGCTCGGTGTGCCTTGCGAATTTTGTCTATTCCTTCCTGTCTTAGTCATCATATATTCGTTTTAGGTGCTTTGCAAAAAGCCATCTTTAAAGGCGTACAATCGCAGCGAAGAGTCCTCGCCGGCGACGGCAAGCTCTGCAGTAGCAGAGCTTCCTTGCTGCCAGGGCCGCCATGCGAGCTGCAGCACCGTCTTGGGTAGCTGCATGTGAGCAGGCAGCGGCTGCTCCGTAGCCTCTGCGCCGTCCGCCGACACCAGATACGTGCCGACGCGCCCAGTCTCGGTGCCAAAAGCCAGAACGTATCGGTCCTGGCCCCCAACCGCCCGCGGCAGAAAGTCGACGGCGGTGACCGGCACGCCCGTCGACACAGCCGCCGCCTGCGCAAACTCGATCCGGCCCTCGGCGTTGGCCTGGCCGCGCCACAGGCGGATCTGCTTGTCACGTCCGGCGGTGGCAAAGATCCGCGGGTGGCTCGCGTCATCAGGCACGGGCGCCCAGGCGCAGTCGAGAATCATGCGCGTGTGGCCCTTTGGGTTGGCCTGCAGCAGCGCATATGGCGTCTCCGCGGAGGCGCCATCGGCGGCGGCAGAAGACCGCGCGAACACGGCCCACTGGCGGTCGCGGCCGACGCTGAGCAGAAACGCGTCGTCGGGGGCGAAGCGCAGCCGGGTCGCGGTCAGCGTGTGCGCGGCCAGCGGCGGCCGGAGCTCTGTCCAGCGCGCCGTCTCGAAGAGCCGGATTACGGCGTGATTGAGCGAGCTGGCCTTGCAGGCGCTGGCGACGAGGCGGCCGTCGTGGCTGGCCGCAAGACACGACAGCTCGTAGCCGTGACCGTAGAGCTTTTCGGTTTCCGGCCAAAGCGTTGCGCGCGACAGAATCTCCTCAAACGGCGGGCGGTCAAGGTCCAGCTGCGACTTCTTGACCACGGATGCGGGGTCCACGGCCTCGCGATCGCGGTCGTCGACGGGCTGAATGTCGGTATCGTCGTCTACGACGGCGTCAATAGCCTTATTGGAGAGACCGAGCACAGGCATGTTGGCGGCGTCGGGCATGGACGCGCCCGCGCTGGCGCTGCCGATGCCGCCGAGACGGTGCAGCATCGCGGCGACGGCACGCGGCTCGCTAAAGACGCGCATCAGCTTCTCGTCGGCGCCCGACACAAACTGCGTGGCGCTGATGGAGTCTATGCAGTTGAGGTCGTAGCCGTGGATCTGCGGCCGCGACATTTCGTGCCACGTGTTGGCGTCCGACGACGTCCATTTCGTGTGCAGTCGCGTCGTCTGGTCCAGGCTGGTCGATAGCAGGTACTCGCCGCCTTTGGACCAGGCGATGCCCGTGACGGCCTTTGTGTGCCCCGAGACGGCGACGCAGGGGCGCCACGCGTCCTCGGCGGCGTCGTGCACCCACCGGCGCCAGCTGCCCGTGCGACCGAGACAGGCGACCGAGGTGCCGTCGGGCGACCATAGGCCGGTCCAGAAGCCGCCCGTGCTTCCCGTGGCCGTCGTGGCGCCCTTTTCGCGACTGATTTCGCCCAGCCGCACTGCGCTCACCCAGATACCAGAGGTTGGATCCGCCTCCCAGATGGCGAGAGAGTTGTCCGCCGACGTGGACAGGAGCTGGAGCGTGCCGTCTGTGCGCGTGTGCCACCGGGCACTGTAGATCCAGTCCTCGTGTCCTAGCAGCAGCGCCTCAAAGGTGACGGAAAAGTCCTGGCCGGCGGCTTTGATCCAGTGCGCCTTGTTTGAAGGCGACTTGCCGGGCATGTAGGCGCCGTTGGACGGGTCGGCACCATCGGCGGTCGCCGCGGGCAGCTCCTTACCCTGGTGGAATCGCCAAATACGTACGTATTTATCCTGGCTGGCTGACGCGAGCAGCAAATCGCTCCCTGGTGAGCTGCTTTCTCTCGCAAAGCTCAGTGACCGAATCCAGCCCTCGTGGCCGCGCAGGGTGGCCTGTACTTGGAACTGAATGGCGTCGGCCTTGGCCTCTGCGGTAAGAATCTGAATACTGTCCTTGGTGCCGGCCGCAGACAGAATAAGCACGTTGGCGTCATCGCTAAGCCAGCTCAGAGCCAAGGAAAGGGGGAAAAATTTGGGCGTTGTTTTAATGGTCTGGAGCAGCTCGAGCTTGTCCGACTCAAAGCTCCAGATGTGCATAGTGGCGTCGGCGGCACCGCTCGCGATGAGCCATTTCGCCGGCTTACTGGTGAGACGGATTGCCGCAATGCAGTTGACGGCGCCGGCATGGTCGTGTGATGTGTGCAGCAGTTCAAATTTCGATTGGTCTGGAGTGGATTTCCAAATGATGAGAGATTTGTCGTTGGCGCCGCTGATGAGATAGCTTGCCTCATCGCCGTCCTCTTCCGGGAGAAACGTCACAGCCTTGACAACATCCCCATGTCCGCTCAACAGCCCCGATATTCCTCTTTGAGCATCATCCTGTGTTTTACATTAGTATTGCGCATATTGCAGGCTAAGAATGCTACTTCGCAGTCGTACCTCTGGTGCCCAAAAGGCAACGTTGGTGTCTGCGCCAAACGCCAGCAGGCCACCCCGACTCCAGTCCGCAACCGCGGTTTGCCTATTGGCGCCGGCAGACAAATACGCTACAGAGACGTTTTGGCTGCTCATATCATTCGGTATCGCCAGGCTTGCGCTGTTGGTGTGAGTCTGAAATTTGTGTCCACCTCGTACTCTGATTGGCTGCCGCTGGCCAAGGTCTGGTTGACGGTTTTTGGTGATGACCAGAGATTAGTCATCATTTGATTGGTGCAGCCGTTTGCTGCCCAACGTCGTCGAATGTGGACAAATCTCGTACATGAATCAAAGAACAGAAATATTCTCTTCTAACTACAGCGATACCTTCAATCTCATTTACGGGACCTGAGCAGGTAGTAGCTTTGAACCTATGAGCATGGCTGCTTCTACAGAGCAACTATCCTTGGCGGTCGAGTTCTCGTACGTCCACCCCGGCTGTGAATAGAGCTATCAATTTTTCAATGCGAGGAGCAGTGGCCGCTGTCACCGACCCACACTCTCTACACGAGGCTACGGCAATTTGGGAAGAAGACACAAGCTGACTTTGGACTAGGGGCGGACTAGAGATGCTGTTCTCAGACCAAAGACTGCATTCGCTAGCTCTGCCAGCTCAGGACACGGAGGGAAAGCCCACCACTCTCGCGTATTTGATCAACCACCTCTGCCAGAACGTCATGAATGACACCAGAAGTGAGCTCTTCATCTTGGACGGCCATCTGTATGTCTCAAGCTCTGCACACACTACCGGACATCGCAGAGAGGAAGGCGGCAATGTCCCCATCCTGCTGCTGCCGCCTTGCGTTGGACCGCAGTAGCCTAGTTGCCTGCGCTGCTCACTTGCGCACCCTTCTCTTTTTCATTCTTGGGGCTAAGCCCAGAAGCTAACCTTTTCTGTCAAACTAGACGACCGGGCATCTTGGTCCTCATCAATGATGCAGACTGGGAGCTCGAGGGCGAGGAGACGTATGAGCTGAAGAGTGGCGATAACATCTTGTTTGTCTCGACGCTCCACGGTGGGTAGAGTGTTCTTCAGGCTCTCGCGCGTGCGAAAACCTTGGGGAGGGGCGGGGGGGAGAGGAAATCGTCCCGAAAACTGCATGCTTGACGGCTCATGACTGAGGACGTTGTCTCGTATCGAACACAAAAAAAAGGGCGAGTGGCTGAGCAACCTCACCGTGTCTTAGATCCCTACACTGGAGAGCGGCGGCCCAGCATCTGCGTCGATTCAGCTGTGCAGGGAGACGGCGGGCCATCACCTGAGAGCAATAGAGTCAGCCGGAAGAACATAATTTGCGCCACAGCCTGGCGCAGCTATTCCCGCTGTGCTATTGATGTTGGCTGTTGTCCTGCACACCTCCAGGCTGGACAACATTCACCAGTCGAGAGCGGCCTGAAGAGCGCTTGGGAACATCGAATGGCATGCGAAATAGCAGACCACGTGCAATTGAGCAAAAGTTAGACCAAAGCATTTCAGACTCATTCCCCGCCCCAACCGTCCCCGTCATCCGTTTGTCGTCGTTTTTCTTGTGTTGCGTCAAGGCTCGTCGGGGTGTGTCTAGTACGATTGGCAGTCTCGCTGTCGGGACTTTTTGGTTTCTCGCCGAGACATCTCAGAGGCTGACAGCTGTCCAGCACCTCACTACGACTCTCGAGAGCGGTGGGGGTGTTGGCAGCACAGAGGCTTTGACTCAACAGCATAGCAGCTTCTTCCCCCAGGCCTCTTGGAAGTGGCATACTTTGCCCACAACACTGCCACTCGAAATGGTCACCCAGAGAGCGAATCTGCATGATACGCCAATAGATGTCCTGTTTAAGGGACACTATTTTAACTGGACTTGGCTTCCATCTGCGGCTCGGTGCCAAGTTCCTCTTACGCTATAGCCCCGATGGCCTTGAGACGAGTGATGGTGGAGGGATTGGTTGGCGACTGCAGCATGACCCGACAGCTCGGCGCATTTGCTACCTTGGGTAAGACAGGCACGGATGTGTCTGCAGACAGCGCCGCTCAAATATGTACGCCCCTCAGGATACTACGCTAATAAGCCGTGCTTGAGTAGTGACGGCAGGGCGAGAGGCTGCAGACTGGGTGTCAGATCAAGGTCTCGGGTCTTGGGGCACTGGACGGGCGGCTGCGTACGATGGCATGGGCGGCTGGGTCGGCCAGCCTTGCCGCCGCAAAGGAAAATGAGAGTGTGTCTGTCTTCCCCGGGACGGCCCTCTTTGTCGCACAATTCACAATGACGCGGGCTGTACCCTGAAATCTGGGCAACCATGCGGATATCGCTGGCTAAATTGCCATCGTGGAAAGAAACACGCCTAGGACACTGTCTCTGTCCAGTGTTGGAAGAGGTCAGACAACACAGCATCCCGCGCCTCCACCATTGAAGATCAGGACGGACAATATATCTACGTTGCTGTATTACGCAAATGTTCCAGCAAAAATATGTCGAGGTCGATCGATCCCCAACACAAGCGCGGCTCGTCCCGCTGAGACTTGTAGGGCTATTCCGTGATTTGTGCCGTTGCGCGTGGAGCGCGGGAGGGTTGGATAGCGCAACTTGTGCCTGCTTCGATTCTGCGACGCATTCACGCCAGAGTTTCTCAGGGGGGGAAGTGTGGTACTCATCGCGTATCGGCTCACGCGCGCAAGTTCCTGCTGACTCTTGATCTCATACTAGAAACAACGAAACCTGCAGATAGCACAACGCAGGATAGCACAACGCAGGATAGCACAACGCAGGATAGCACAACGCAGGATAGCACAACCCAGCTGTCAGTCATGCCATGCAACATCAGCACGCATCAAATTTGGCCTCGTTTGCTAGATGAGCTGTCCTTTTGCTCTCGAAGCGCCATTCAATGTCCCGTTTTCTTTAGCGCTTCTTCAACGCTATTTTTGAGTCTTGGCCTCTCCCTCCCTCTCTCGCTCTTTCTCTGTCCCTTATTTTACGTCTTTCTTTTCCCCGTTGGCCGTGTTTTCAGTTCCCCGGACCAACCCCGCCGCTGCGACTGCATGACCAAACGGATTAGGTGATTCTTGCAAAACCCCTTTCGGGAGCAAAGTCGACGCAAGGGATACCCAAAAGAGGCGACGACGAACAAAGGGGGGGTGGCGTCTTTTTTCTCTTAAAAAGTCCTTGTCTCTCTCAGTGGCCAAGTCAAAGAGTTCACCCCCCCCGCCTACTTCCTCCCTGCCTACAGCGGGTGAAAAAAAAAAAAGAACGGGACGTACGCTGTTCAAGGGTGTGCAAGTCAGTCCCGCCACCAGGGCGTATGCTGTTTTTAGTGTCGCATCAAATGGAACGTCACAGGTTTTTATTTCTCCATCTGGTTTCTTTCCCTCTATTTTTCCTCTTGCTTGTTCATGTAGGGGTTGAGGGCGTGTGTAGTGAGTGGTGTGCTGGTTCATTCAAGCTTGTGGGTGTGGGCTCTCAGCCACTTTGTACCACTTGGCTTTACTACTACTAGGAAGGGACAAAAATCTTTTATTTTTTACACGAGCTGGGATTGGCATAATCGGAATTTGTCATTTGGCCACTGGTGGATTTGCCTGCTGTCTCACCCTTTTGGCAGGATTCAAGTCCGATGATACACAAGGAAACGCCACGGGAAGATAGAGAGAGAGAGAGAGAGAGAGAGAGAGAGAATGAGTGAGCCGGAAGTCGCCCAGTCGCCCTGAGCTTTGCTTTACTTGTATCATGTTACACAGCACGGGCGTGCGTCGTATGCGAGATAGATTGAGAACTGACAAAAAGAAAAAAAAGGCCAACTGGTACACTTTGCAAGCCATCACAGAGCTAACAGAGTCCTCTTCACTCCTTCTAGAATGTGCCATTTGCTGCCGTCTTTCATTTTACTACTAGTGGAAGACGTTCGAAAGTCGGCTCCGAGAAAAAAGGTCACTGTGGCCAGCTGCAGAGGATAATTGGTGTACAAATGTGTATTGTGCGCTTCATATTACTTCTCCTCGCGGATCCACTCTTGGCTTTGGAATGTACAGACAGGGAGAGGAAAAAAAAAAAACTGGTAAAGCACGAAAAAAGTGATCGTGGTAAAGCCAAGATATGCGGATGCCGAATGTGTAGAGCCAACTCTCCCAGGAGGGTTGTCAGCAAGCAGCTGTGAAAAGGAGGTGTGCAGTACAAGATTGAGCAGTTCAGATAGCCAACCACACCAGAAACAATGCGCACAAGACACACACAATGAAAAAAAAAAAAGACAAGAGGACCTCCAACTTTTAGTCCGAGGATCGCGTTGCAGTTGCTGCAGCGCCCGGGCGATGCAATAGGTTGCAGCCGCTCCACGTATGCCATCCCAAAGTCAACGATGTTTTTAAAAAAGAGCAAACCCAATCCGAAATTTTTTAAACAAACAGTAGCGCCAAACAAGAGACTTCCGAGATTCTGGGCGGGATCTGACTGTTGACAGAGTATCATGTCCCCGCCAGGTCATCCATGTACAATCATAAGAATATTTCATCACGTCGTGTCAGCTCCATCCACCAGAGTCGACTTTTTGTATCCGTTCGCTGCCTTCTCCAAGAATTTTTGTCCTTCTCTCTCATGTATGATCCTCATTTAGTACAAGCGGTCGGTGAAGCTCATGTGATGACCGTGTTCCTCCTCGTAGAGAACATCCTGCTGGTCAAACATGGTGTACTCGGGGTTGTGCGTTCTGGGAATGCTGGCGATGCCGGGAGCAGTCGTCTGGCTAGTCAGGTCGTAGGCAGACATGCTGTGGTGTCGGGGAACATGGGGTAACGGCTGCTGGGGTACAGGGCCGGAGAGGCTCTGGGATCGGGGTTGGCCCTTAGGCTTGCGTGCTGCGACAGTGCGTGCCTTACCACGACCCTTGACGCCCTTGTTGCTGTTCTTGTAATGCTCATGGAAGTACTCAAAGAGCTCTTGGTGCTCTTCGGGGACGTCACCCTCAGCAGCAAACTTGATAAACATGGCAGTGAGTCGCTTGATACTTTCTTTGTGAAAGTTGTTCTGGTGAGTCTTCATATTGCCAAGCTGGGAAAACGTCTTGTTGCAGTCGTCTAGCTTGCAAACATAGGGCTTCATGCCCTTGTGAGTCTCCTCGTGGGAGCGGACATTGCCACGCTGAGCAAACGTCTTTCCGCAGATGCGGCAGGAGAAAGGCTTCTCGCCAGTGTGACGGCGCATGTGTGTCTTGAGGTTGCCGCGCTGAGAAAACGTGAGTCCACAGTTCTCTTTTGTGCAAACGTATGGCTTGGCACCAGAGTGGGTGCGGCGATGAATATCCAAATGAGTCTTTTGGACAAAGCTCTTGCTGCAGTTGGGGCCATCGCAAACCCACTTCTTCTTGGGCTTATTGTCGGCAGCAGCGACAGTGCTACCTGGAGTGGAGGGCTCAGTGCGATCAGCACGGGGAGTGTGAGCAGGAGTAGGGCCTTGGGAAGCTTCAAGACTGGTAGCCGAGTGCTTTCTCTGAATAGCTTTCATGAGCTCGTCGACGTCGGTGTCAAAGTTGACTCTATCAACCGGGTTGAGAGTTTCGTTGTAAGTAATCGTTTTGGCGTTGGCAGTAGGGTGCGAAGAAATAGACGAGCGCTTGGTGGAGGCTAAAGAGTCGCTGCGGGTTGAAGGCGAAGGAGCCTGCATCTCATGGAGAGACTTTGAGTCGCGCTGGAAGATAACGCGAGGCTGGTCGACCTGGGGTAGCTGGCGCTCTTGGTAGTCGTTGCGGAATGGCGAGCCAACGGGCGAAGTGGGCGAAGGGCTGTGATACGGCACATATTGGAAAGCATTAGGCCCCTGATATTGGGGTGTAGTGAAGGTGGGAGGAGCCGGATGCGAGTTGTAGGCCGGGCCAACCACATACTGAGGAGCCATCTGACGTTGCGGCTGTTGTTGCATTTGATGAGCAGGAGCAGAATGATGGCCGCGAGTGTCGTAGGGCAGGAATCCCTGGCCGTCCATCATGTTGAAGTCGTTGGAGACATTTTGCGGCCAGCGGCCCCAATTGGGGTGCGCGGCAGGTTGAGCAGTGAGAGCCATGGTATGAGAAGTGTGAATCTTGCTCATGGGAGCAAGACGAGGAATATTGATATACAAGAGTAGCCGAGGGGCAAGCACAAAGCAAGCACGAGGCACAAGTGTGGGCGGTGATTCTTTGCAACAGATAAACGTTGATGTCTGTATGCCTTTTTTGCTTAAGATGATGCAACGATGAGCCAGGTGAGAAAGTTTGAAGAAGGGTGGAGGGACTGAGGGTATATATGTTCGAGATGCTTTGCAGAGATGGGGACTTTGAGGTGGTGGACGAGGGGGTTAAGTATCTGGCGAGGCTGCAGAGCAGGCATCCAGGTGTACTGGGTAGAGCTACTGGTAGAGACACAGAGACGTCCAGAGTGGTGTAAGTTTTAGGACAGGGAGTGGACCGGGATTCTGGGTCGGAGATCTTGGCTCAGAGTAGGCCTGCATTAGAGCAGAGGCACAGCAGTGGCTGTTGTCGCCCACGGGGGTCAGGTCCCATCGCGGCTGGGCAGGCTTGAGATGGACGGAGGCACCCATACCAGTACAGTACTCTGAGTACACAGGCGTGACAGGCAGTCAAGAGTGACCCTCTTTGTTGAGGTGGTATCTGAGAGGCGAGAGGGTCCAGGGTGTGTGATGCGTGAGGATGGTGAGAGGCAAGAGGAAGATGGTGTGCGGAGAGCGGGCTGGGGAGAGGGGTGTCTGTGGAACGGATGAGGATGGTGTGTACAAAGAAAGACAGACGAAAGGGCACGGACGAGGAATTGGGAATTTGCTGGTGAGAGGGACCAGGGGCGGTGGGTGACAAGGTGGGACGAGTTGCGATCGAGGTCAGCGGCCGAACCAGGCCAAGCTGGCAGGAGCGGATGAGTTTTGGGCTAATTCTTCTTGGTGTGCGGCCAGGAAGGCATGGGATACCTAGCTAGAAGCGGATTAAAAAGGCCGTGAGCGCAAATACTGAATAGTTGTTACTCGATGACTGCGCAGCAAGCATCCACTCAGTATCGTTGCTACTCCGTACAAGTCTAGCAGCACCGTCACTGCCAAAGATACAGACGTCTGCGGGGCCTCTTGTACTTGGCAGTATGACAGCTGGGAAGAAGACAAGCTCTTCCGACCTGTCATCTGCGTATGAGGACTGAGCGCAGTGAAGGGCCTGTCAAGCAAAGCTGCAAAGAGCTGGAGGCTTCTCGCAGACTCGGGGCACAGCAGAGTACCTCTTGGGATGGGCGCAAGCCTCAATGGAGCAAGACAGGGTGATGGGCTAACTAGCAGGTTGGTGGACCGAGACATTTGGCTGGTCAATTCGTCCCGTTTTGGCGTCAGAGACTAGGCCGCTACCTGATGAGGATGCAGCCACCAGACAGTGGTGGCCAGAAAGGGTCCAAGAGGGCAGAGGCTCGGGGCTGGGCTGGGCCTGCTGCTGTGCGGATGGGAATGCAACTCGGACGAGGGGGATTGGAGATCAAGGTCAGACTGTCGGGGCAATTGATCCCGGCGGGCAAAAGATTGAGTGGGAGGGGCCGAGCAGACGTTGGAAGCCTCACTGAACCACGGCTATATCACGCAGCCACGGCATGAGTGGTTGAGCGGGCCGGGGCTTGTACAGCTCTCAATCATAATCTCTTTGCTCCATGAGCGAAAAAAAAAAAGCAAGAGGTGGAAATGACGTTATGCAAAGTTTTGCGTACAAGCGACGATAAAGATCCGCCAGACAAGATGAGATGATTTTGCACTGCTCAATTATCATGGACTCGGGGCACGGGCAGACCAGCTAAGCCACAAGTCGATCAAGTCTGTTGAGAGCTGCTGAGATGCCGCCCGCAGATTGAAGCAACGGGCGAAGGGTGAAATGTCATTGGCGCAAAGACGGCCAAGAACAAGACAAGGGGAAAAGTCGAGAAAAAAAGAGGAAGCACAAGGTGTGTGTACGAACAGTTTAGCTGGAGGAGGGGAGGAGGATGGAGTACGTATAGAGCAGTAAGGGGTGATATTAGTACGACAGGGATCTATGCGGGGCCGACTTGTTTTTGGCAGGGGCCGGGGCAAAGAGAGGGGGGTGTGTGGTGGGACCGACCATTCGGGCCAGATGATAAGTTTACTGGTAGGAAGAAAAACCAAATGAAAGAAAAGAATTTGTACGAGACGGAATAGAAGAAAAGAAAAGAATGGATTCAACTGTCGGCGTTGGGGCTGCGGGCGAAGCCTGGTAATGAACGGGCGCGGCAATACGCAAGGAGATGAAGGATTGTCAAGGCAAGTAAGGGACGGAGCACGTCCTCTGGCTGGGATACCTATTTGAAATGCAACACCAAAGAGGTTCAGACTGTACAAACATCGAAATGGCAGCAATGATCCAAGATTAATATTATTTGAACGATGAGAATGGACAGTGCTCTGCTGGTAGTGACCAACCAGTATTCACTGATATCAAAAGTCAACTTCTGTAAATACGCACAGAGCCACGGCTGCCCACAGTGCCGACGGGCTGTCTCCTTTCGAGGTATTTCTGAGCAATACTGCATGTCGATTGAGTGGTGTTTTTGCTCAGAGCTACTCGGGGCCCGCCGTAGCAGGGCTGGTTTAGGTGCGCTGGAAGCACCTGGAACCCCGCCTGCAGGGCCTGACAGGGCCTTTTAGCGCCTCATCTCACCTTACAGCGCCCTGCGCAGTGCCCTACAGCTCCCTGCATGCGCTGTACCAAGGAAGGTGTAGTAAGGTATCACGACGGTCGGACCCCCGCGGTACTGTTCCCTAGGCGTGCCTCCACAGCAACTAGGTGCTTGCCCGTGGTTCGCGGCTGGCTGTCCGCATCTGAAAAAGTTACTAGCCTCACTCTTCCCGTCTTGTTCCACCTTTGTGTTCGCTCGCCACCATCAGTGTCCATCACCAACCTTTTCTCAGTTGCTAGCACTGCATCCATCGCCGCATCCTCTGCGGCCATGCCATAAGCCGGCTCATACAGGAGTTCCCGCTGGCATTTCATCGTCACCTCTTGCCAACTTGCTCGATCAATTGTTCAATCCGCCTCATCGGCTCCTCTGCTCGCTTTCTCGTGTTGCCTGGCAAGCCCTACCCACAAACGGGAAAAAGCCACTGTCTTGCTTCTATTCAATTTTTGGGCCAATTGCCACCACCCAGTGCCTTTTATCCGCACTCGACGGCGCAGCTGAATCTGGAGACGCTGATGCAGCCGTCCCCCTCCAGCTCGACTTCTGTCACATTTCTGCAGAATCCCCCCTACAGGGCCTTGCCTGGCGTGCGAGCCATGGATCAGGTCCGTGGGCCATCCGATCTCTCTCACTTTTTTTCGTTATTACAGACGCCCAGGCACTAATCTTTTAAATAAATAATCGATTAGTACCACCAGGCTCCTTACTGGTCCGGAACGCCAGCAGGCCAGCCACATGCACCTCGATGGTGGACTGCACCGCACATCCGTGGAGACCGGAAGAGGGCCTCTGTGCATTGGTGGCGTCCACCTTGACGCCCGTCCAGCAGCTTTCGAGAAAAAAAGGTCGTCACTACCCAAATACGATGGCCTTCCTAACCATTGTTACTACGAATCGTGGTCTCTTCCTCGAATTCAACCCTGCCCGCCGCCGTTGTCTACACCAAGCCCCGCCGCATCCCCTCCGGCTTGGGATTCGTTCCTCTGGCTTGCCCAACACTTGGGGCCTCCACTATGCAGTGATACAGTTCTCGTAAAGGATACATACTACGTTAACTACTTCGGTGCGGAAGCAATGCTGGCACCTTGTTCGACCCGGCCAGTTTTCACCGTTTCTCAGCTGGCGTACTGCCCTTTCCTTAACTGCACCACCAGTGTTAAAATAGCACGACGCTGTCCCGCATCCTTGCCAGCTCATAGCCTCGGATCCCGCATACAAACACATGCAGACTACTCGCTAGCATTACCACAGGACAACACACAGTCACTAATAACCTCTACTCAGTACGTACATACGAGCTTTGTATTCCCAAAAGGTACTTCCGATTCTGCTGCTTCAGCTGACTACCGCCCAATATCGGTTTTGTCTGCTGCAAGACTTTGCTGGTCCACGCTCCGCCTTGTGAAGCATGTCAATTCCTAATGACGGTCGAGGCATCCCACGATACGGGCTATACCCCGGATGGACTCGAGTTGTCCGTTTTCGGCAAACTCCTGAAGAAATGCAAGCCGCATTTCCTGATCAATGTCTTGTCACGGCATCCAGACAGTCGGGACGAGATCGGCGTGCCAACTAATCATTCAGCTTTGTGCGTGTGCAGTTTGTCCTGGCTTGCCGAAATCTCATTGCCCAGTTGGGCTTAGAGTTCTTCTCTCACTTCTCTCACAAGCTAAGCCACCGCTCCGGGGAGAGTTTTTGGCTGCTCTTTATTAATAAAGTGGCGCTTATGCAGCCACCATTGCTCCCTGTAGCCGCGCCATCTCAGACAGCAAATCTGGCGCGTCCCTTCCCAGTCAGTACCAAGGCTCTGGTTACTGGGTCGAGTTCTCGCGATGTCCCGAGTGGCTTGCACCGATTGACCGTCATCACCAGCTCTGTGTTCATCCTGTGCCGCCCTTGCTGGTTGACAATGCCATGTATCACTATCTAGCCCCGCTTGCCGAATTTGTTCCCTCATGCCTCCGGTTTCGAGGTACCCGAGAATCTGTCTATCCGCGATGCCCGTGAGCACACAGGCGGCCGGTGCCGTGACATCCAGCAAAGAGCTATTTAGCTACAGCTAAAGCATTGGGCAGAGTACTCTACATGGACGCCCGAACAACGCCGAAGGCGCAGGATCGCTGCTTTTCGTGCCACAGACGAAATTGATGCCAATGGCGATTTCTGGCAAAGTCTAGTCTCGTCAATCTTGCAGTCCCAAGAGACTCAAACAATTGGGTTCTCAAAGCTTTGTAGATCAAAAGCCAGAAGACGAAGCCGGGCTCATCACATGAAGTGTAAAGGTGGTGCGCCACGCAACTTGACAGGTAGATACGCCTGTACGAAGCGAAAGGACAGCCCACAGCTGCCGGATGCACTGCCAATGCATGCATGACGGCATCAGTCGTTTGATCAGTCGTTCGATACAGCCTCGAGCCTGGATTATTGTCTTCATCTGGACCGTTGCACGCCTCAGAAGTCTAAAAGACGGATCGTCCTTGACAGCGATGACCTCTAAACAGAGGTAAGAGTACAGACAATCTGGGTATGGCCTATTGTAAACGCTAAGCAGCAATTTTGGCCTTTGTGCAAGGTTTTCAGTGCGGCGCCTGCAGTGATGTGGCTCAGCTGCTGATTTTCAGTGTCTTCATTCACCACACACGCCATTAGAACAACCAACGAGTCGTACTCGCCAGATCATGACACTTTTAGTCACATTGGTAGCAGCGATAATGGCAGCGCTGTGGTCTCTTCTCGCGTCATGCCAATCAATGCCTAGAAAAGACGGACCAGAGTGACGTCTAGTTAACGCCATAGTGCCAGATTCGATGCCAGGCCCAAATTCTGAATGCCCGCCAACTGTCAAGCGGGTTACGGGACCATCGCACCGCTGCTGTTAAATCGTGGAGGCAATTCAACGACTTGCAGCTACACAGACAACGGCTTTACCGAATTTCTTCGGACGCAGGCAATCATTGGCCAATCCTGTTAACCTGCCAACTTCCTCTAGACTCTTGGTCAAGGGAAGGAGTCGGTGGTAGCGGCAGAGTCTCAGCCTCAATTTCCGGCTGGGTGCTGGCTGCATGGCGCCATAGACTGACACACACAGGACCACCCTGACGCCCATTGTGGCTTGCAGCGGCGGTCCCAGAGCTTGGGAATCGTCCCGTACAGCTGGCTCAGCTCTGCCGCCCTGGCAAGGAACATGCGACCTGGACCAATGGGATCAGAATTCTGCTGCCCGCCACGGCCCGGATATTTGGAGAGGCGGCACACCACACGACGCCTCGACCACAACTTAAATAGCCTTGCGGTGATGATTGACAGTATGTGGCTTGCTCAATTAAGACTGCCAGCTGTGGTCAAACACGCCTTCTAACAATAATGACAGTTATTTCGGAGCATTCTGTTTTTAATGGTTACCCAGGTATTGCTGCTTTACGAAGCACACTCCCTCGGCTCATGAATAAGAGAATATCCCCTGCCCCGCAACCTGGAGCTGCTAGCTCCCAGCTTTCGGGCTGTCTGATTGGATGTTAGGCGCACGCTCTTACCAGAAAATGATATGTCGCCTACATTGGTGGCTCCCTGTTCCGGGAACGTGGGAGGGTGACTCGGAGGCTGTCCTGCGCCATACTTGACTGGTGGCCACTGCGCATCGACGCTCACCACGCCTTGGCGCTATTCCAAATACTGGTTACTGAAAGCTCGTTCGATTCATCATTACGCACATTACGCACATTACGCAACAATGTGGCAATCTTGCTGCGGTGTTGGTGGTAGATCTCTGCGACACACCCTCACAATCCTCGACGAGCTGAATGGCTTGATTTCGGCTGCCTCTCTGTAATTACTGACAGCCGCCCAAATTTAGCAAAACGCAAGCACATGATTCAGAGAGGGCAAAGTATTCCTCATTGTCGTGTCAATATCTGTCTCTCACACCAGACATATTTTCGGACGCTCATGACACTAGTTCCTTGATTGGGCGTTGGATTTGGTTGAACGACCGTGGCAGGCACAGTGCGACAAAAATAGACACCAAGCGACGGAGAATAAAGGTATCCATCAGGACCGCTCTGCCTACCCCGGATGTCAACGTTGCGTTTCGCGCTTTGTTGATTCATTTATTGGCAATCATCTTCAAACAATATACGTGACAGCGACCCCAGCATGGTATCAGTTGTGGCAGGTGGACTGCGGATGGGGGACCAAGAGCCAGGCTCCTGGCGCGGTGGTTTGACGCCCGCATTCGCGCGAACGCACAACAATATATTAAACTAATATTCAGCAGCCAGTAGGTGGAAGAGCCGGCCGACGACTTGTGGGCACACCAAATATCTGTGCACTCCCTGTCACTGCAAGAGCAGGGGGTACATTGTTGGGTCCCGGGGAGAGTAGGCCCCAGTATCCGGTTCGGTGGAAGCCGAGTCAATGACGAGCCAATCAATGTATGAAGGCCTCTGCAGCCACTGTGGCTCTCATCTCTGGTTGCCATGGGCAGAATGCTGGGCCAGCAGCCGTCGGCAGCAATTGTTACCTAGAGTGGCACTCAGCAAGCGATTGAGAAATAGTCTCACTTGCTCTCGCAGAGTATCATATGGCGAGACATCGGCACACGGCTTTTTGTATTACAATGCTCGGAACTTGAACCAGACCGGAACGGATTTCGGGGTCTGAGATGCCCTTTCAAGAATCTGGAGTGATCACATGCGCCGGAACAATTGACAGCAGCAGCAATCCGAAAAGACAATGGGCCAGCGCTGCAGGCCGAAGACACTGATTAGTGAACCGTGGCTGTCATTGCGAGGCTTGCTCTTTTTCGCATACTGGTAATGGAGTGTATGCTGTCTGCAGCCACCTATCCGTACCCAGCAGAATGATGCGTTGCACTCGCATGCGATATGTGATTGTCGGATATGGCCCCGGTCTATTTTGAGTCGGCGGACACAGCACGCTACGGGCAATATGGCAGACTGCCATAAATATTATCAGTACAGAGCGCGAAAGGGTATCGCAGCCATAATAGGAGGATGATTCCCGAAAAACAGAGGAAAGCAGCGTGGTGTGACGAACCCACTCCCACTCACTGCAAGCCTCGCATCACGCCCATAAAGATCTACACCACTGTAGTTATGACAGCGGTGCCATTATGGGCAGTGATCAGCTTTCTCAGCTCGCAGCGAGGTACGGAGTACGGATTCTCCGTACAAAACTACGAAAAGAGCACCGGCTTTGCCAAGCACCAGCCAAGCGGATAGGAGGATTGAATGGCTTGCGATGCTTTGCGTCAAATCAAAAACATCCTCCTTCAATTAAAGACTTGCCGGATAGCAAAAACAGAGAGATCACAATTCGAATCAAAATGCCCTATCTAGCGCAGACGATGCACCAGCCGGACTCTCACGCTAGCATTATTGAGCATGACGGCCTAACTAACGATGAAATATGGCTGGGCGGGCCCTGCCCGTCATCTCAAAAGGGAGGAAAGCCAGGCGAAAAATCTCGGATGATTGATGTGGAGGAGGTCAAGCCATCGACGAAGCCGCCCCGACGACAGTTGCCCCGTATAAGCATTGGCACAATCGACACTAAAATGGAGCAGGTCAGAAAACGCCTCGCTCTTTGCACCCTATTTATGCTCGTTTTCGGACAAGCGGAACACTAATAAACTAGCTTCTGTTATTCCTAGGTCCGAGAAGCTACCAGTCAGTAGCTGGAGATGGAGACGGAGAGTCACTTGTCGCATCACCCACTCTTCACAAATGCAGGGATAATTGCAACTAGCAAGGCATGCGCAGCGAGAAAAGAAAGGCCTGCAGACTGTATCTCGCAAGAACCGAGTACGTGGAAATATGGCTTGGGATCCGCATGCACAGCTTTTGTACCCCGCGGTCTCAGTGATGCACGCAGGTACGTGCAATGCACACAAAACGTTTGCTTCGGCTCCGCTCTCGCCGTCCTTCATAGCTGTACGCGAAAGAGACAATCGCAAGCCAAGATGGTGACACATCAATGAGCCACCAGTAACCGGGTACATGGTCCGCCAAGAGCTAACTTTGGACCCTTTTTGCAGTTTTGCTCAATATCAGTCATGTTTTCTCAATTGACAATCACACATCGTATCAGCTTTGGCTTTTCGCAATATGACAGATATCCAGAGAAGGAGATACACGGTCTGGTACACCGTTCGGCGTTCGACTATCGCCGGGGAACACAAACCCGGGCGAAGTGAAGATGGTACCACTGTTAGTTGGAGAGGCAGAGGTTGCACGAAACGTCGCCTAAACCAACTAGTCATCATCCCGTTTGGTCCCCTCGTCCGCGCAACACCCCGGTCTTCTCTATCGGGTACGAGCATGCCTTGATTTGTACAACATTACGCGCAGGCTGCAGCAAGAAACATGCATGCACGTCAACAAGTAGGCAGTTTTGGGTCAAAAGGAAAGAAGGCGGCAGAGTCGTGTAGATGTTTCAAGACACCTGAACACACGGCGGGAAGGCCCGGGACAGTTCGAGGCAGTGGACGGAGAGGCAGGGAACCCTGAGCAAGAAACTCTGAGCAGAGAGCCAGGAAAAGAGGGAAAGAGGAATTTGGGGCACAAAGTGGAGGATCTTCAGCAGTCGTGTAAGCTAATTCATTGTTCTGATACATTGACGAAATTTTTTTTCCCTTAAGCTGAAGCTGTCTAATTGTCTAGTCGTAGCGCAAGACATTGTCTGGGCAATTTTTGCCAGGATGGGTTGGCACAGCAAAGCAGGCATGTATCAGGATTGTCTGTACGAAAACAAGATTTTATTCGCATTCAGTAGAATAATGGGAGAGAAAGTGAGAAGTCGCATGCGAAAATATTCAATTCATGTTGAAAAGGCATGAAAAAACAATTAGATCAGTCATTTTGCAGTAGCTTACATTTCTCTCGCACTAATAACAGCAACGAGACAACAACAACAACCAACCAACCAACCAACTCTGCCGCAACGTCGATTAAATACAAGCCAATCGAGACAAAAGAGTTCATCAACTACTGCTGGGAGTAGTCGTGACTTTACGAGTTGAAGATTTTTTTTCCCCGATACCAGACCATTTTTTTTCTTTAAAAAAAAAACAAAGCTTTCCTTGCACATGAAAAATTAGAGACGGAACCTGGAGCAGGCGTCTGCTATGGCGAAGAATCTGCAAAAAAAAATCCCAAGGAATTCTGAATCAATTTCTCGCCTGCCTATCATTGGCTTGATTCATCTTGGTCTTTCGATGCGATTGCAGCTGTCAATCGGTGTCAAAAGAGGAACCCTTTACCCCCCATATCTCCCGTCTCTTCCATCTTCTTCTCCGATGACAACTTACAACTGATAGTTGCTCCGTATTCTTACGGCCGAGTGATTGGAGAGCTTCTGACCTCGCTCTTTTTTTTTTCCTTTTTTTAAAAGTAAAAGAGGGCGTGAAGGGGCTTCTAGTAGTTATAGTGTACACACACCTTTTGAACAGTCTAGCTCCTAATTCGGGGACTTTTTTTTTATAGTCCAAAAATTTTCCTTTTTCAACTCTTTATCCCCGCGTTTGTGGTGTGTGTCTGTGTGTGGGCGTATACGCACCACCGCGGCGCAAACACCCCGCCTCGGAGGGGGAGGACTTCAACCCATTGTGCCTGGGAGAAAAGAAAGCAAGTGATCTTGTCTAGCTGCATACCCAAGACGAAGGTTAGTTCCCCCCCGCCCTCCCGGCTCTCTCTGACGACCATGTATGTACTGTGGAGACAATGACATACAAATCCAGGAAGATAAAGGAGAAAAGAAAAGAACAGTGTCGTTCACGTTCTGACAGACTAATTAGCTGTTTGCCGTATGCGGCCACGCCAAAGCTTTGCGATTCCGAGATATGCCGCTTCCTGCTCTTCATTCCGCGAGGCATTGTTTCTTTTCCTGTACCGCTGGTCCGGGTGCTATGCAGGGGAGGCGCTGCTTCAGACCGTCGAGATTCAAGTAGATTGAAACCCGTTTCAAGGGAGTACAAGACAAGTTGAAGACAGAAAAAAAAGAAATGAAAGACTCGAGGCGCAACAGGCTCGCCAATCGAGGTTGTGGCGGGGACAATGACGCAGACGTTTACGATTGACGAGAAAACAGTTCTTGTCCGTTTCAAAAGTTGACAAATGACAAGACGAAACGAATAGTGTAGAGGCAGGTGTAGCAGTGACGAGGGTGGTCATTTGGTCCGTGGATCGCTTCTCTTGGTCGGCAACAGGCCACATCGCCAACAATCATGGCATGTCTTGTTCTCGCGCAGCTTGTACTCCAAATGTCTTTGTCAAAGTCTCCGGGACCAAGGATCTAGTGCCACCTCCGCATCAGCTCGCTAAACAAGGGCGAGACACAAAGAACCGATCTGGTGCCTTTGATTATTCCACCGGCACGGGACAACCGTTTGTACGTCTTGTGTGAGTGTATGTATGCCCTCCCTTGTTGGGCCACAGCCCGTGCCGCACCGTACCGCAACCTGGCTGATCATGTCCGGGACGGGCAGACGCGGCGCGGGACGGAGAAGCCAAAATTGGAGAAGAGGAGAGGGGGGGTGGGATGTGCCCAGTGAGCTCAACAAACTTACAGACTCTCTTGTTTCGCTGCAAGCGAACCCTTGTGCCGCGAATCACAAATTATTGCTTTGTGAAGTCCGTGTGAGGGCCATGATATAGCATGCTGAAACGAACTATAAAGAAATCTCCTTTGTGTTCAAAGGGGCGCAGGTTCGTCCTCGCTACTCTTCCGGAGTCTCTCTTCACTCTCGGTTGTTCACTCTTGCCAGGAGGTGGGGCGGCGACTTGACTTGTCGCAGCATCATCAACAACAAAGTTATTGTGTCATCAGGCTGCCAAATCCCAGGTTTATGATATCGCAGTAATGCTTGGTGAAACCGACCGCTGAAAAGAACTATGTCGCTTCTATTCCACCAACTGATCACAAAAAACGCGGCGAGCAGCTGTTTTCAAACGGGCCATGACTATTATTCGTCAGAGGGCAGCTTTTGTCGCCTCAGTGGCACTTATTAGGCCGACACCCACAAGGTCACAAAGCTCACACCCCCAAAGATGGATCTCAGGGACGCAGGGATTCTACTTCCGGAGCCTGTCAGCGGGGGCTTCCTTTGGGGTGTGAGTCCAGAAACGGGGTGGCGGGCGTACTGGGGGCGTGTGCGGGCGCACGAGATGCCGCATTTTTCTTTCTTTCCTAAGAAAAAAAACGTCATATTTCACTGCTTTCACTGGTAACTACATCGTAGAAAGTGCAAGAATAGGAAGCCAAGAAAATACTGTAAACGGTTGTGGGGAGGACACCACTGTCATGTACCAGTTGGTGGAACGCCACTCACACGCCAAGGGCTAATAAGCAAGAGATGGCTTGTTTCCCTATAAGGCTGGGTCGACAACAAAATATATCACGGATGTAGGGGTTAAGGGGGCTTGCCTCACCTAGCAATGAGTTCGAGAGCCTCTGCAGTCGCGTTTGCGCCGCCGCCGTCTTCTTTCCGCGACTGGTGATTGATATTCCCTTGTCTACTCGCCACTCGACTCGTGCTTGCACACTGAGTCTTCTTTCAGTTCAAGAGAAAGAGGAAGGAAAAAGTTGACAGCTGTCAAAGTATACCATGCATGAAAAGCTGCTGAGCAAACTTCTGTCTGTGCCCCATTACCGTCCGGAAACGGCCTGAGAAGAATGACGAAGTTTCAGGTATGGATTAGGAGTGTCCCGGATACCGGGACTAACGCCACAGAAGGATGGCACGCAATTATCAATGAGTTCCCAAACGGTCCAGGAGTTCGCACGGATTGCATCCATTGTCTGTACTCCCTTGTGTCCCCTGGGAGTGTACCAAATGAGCGGGGGAAGAACAGCCTGCGGGCGTCCGAGAGCGAGATATGTGTGTCGCCTGGCCCAGTTGTGGCTAACACAATGGTGAGAAAGAGAGTAGGCGATAAGATTACCATCAGACCGGGGCTCTCCAAAGATCGAGCGAACCACGGGATGTGGTGAGCAGCTGTGCCATATTTAGGGCATCTTCGTCCTTAGAGATCGTCGCTGATATCCCGTCGAGCAGGGGCTCAATGTCTAGTAAGAGGCGTCGAGAGATCCCAATTCGAGCGATAGAGCAAAAAAGCTTGGCTCCCGAATCAAAAGCGGCATATCAACAGGACGAGCATGTACTCCGTACACCGTACGACACAAAGACGTTGCGAGTGAGCGCGCGCGTGTGTCTGTGCGATGAACAGGTCGCCGTACCAGTAGTTAGTTTTAGTGGTGGGCGATGGAGCCCTACAGTTGTGGCAGATGCGCCCGCAGGTGATGCAGTCTCACTGCAACTTCTTCAAGCCTCTTGCATCTCTCCTTGTAACTTGAAAGAGCTGGTTGGCTCCACCATTGACCGCATACGGGGACGTGTCTGTGCTTGCAACTGTTGCCCCCATTGATATCGCTGCTGATGGCCAATCAGTGTACACGGAGGGGTACCGGCTTTGCACTTGGCTCCTGATCGTATAATACCCCTGCAAGCCATATTTCGGTCGTAAAGCCACGTCATTGGCCATGGAACGACACACCATAGTCCTCCCTGGTGACGGCAATGACATTGACATGAAGCCATGGTGGATACATGACAAGATATGATGCCGATTAGTCGTCTGCGTTGCAACTTTCGATGCTGTGACTTGCGCAGACACAAGG